ACTTACTTGGCACATTCCTCTTTTCCATCAACATGGTGAGCATTCTCCTGTAACTAAGTCCCCTTCACAAATGTCATTTGAAACCCTTGCTTTATAGTAGCATAATATTTCACCATGTGGCTATATCATAATTTACTTATTATTCCCTGAGTTGGAGAAAACGTACGAATAATACAAATTTAAAGTTTCAGAAGAAAATCTGGATAATTGTTTTTATAAATTTTGGGTTTATAACCTTTTCTAAAGTGACACTAAACACAGAAAACCAAGGAAAAGACAGATTTGTCTTCTTTGTAATCTTATTCTTTTTTGTAGCAAACATACTTTTATCATTAGAAAATATAACAGAGCTATTTCCACTGTAATTAAAAAAACACCAAATCTTGATACTTATGTATCTTTGTACATAATCTCTGAGTTTCATATCGTGTTGTTAGGTCTTAGACATGAAAGTTCCAAGGCTCTGAAAGCCCTGCAGAACACGTGTGTCGAGGGAGGGGCGCCTGGGGGCTCGGTCGGTTAAACATCTGGCTTCGGCTCAGGTCATGACCCACGGTTTATGGGTTCGAGCCCCGCATCAGGCTCTGTGCTGACAGCTCGGAGCCTGGAGCTGCTTCCGATTCTGTGTCTCCCTCTCTTTCTGACTCTCCCCTGCTCACGCCCTCTCTCTCTCTCAAAAATAAATAAAAAATATTAAAAAAAAAAAAAAAAGAACACGTGTGTCGAGCACAGTCCCTCCAGCGCCCAAGAGAGCTCTCGCCACAGCACAGACCTCATTCTTGCAAAGCCTTTGTCACCCTGACCACCAAAACACCACATCTCGCTGCTACAGTGTATTCTAAAAATTAAGAAATAGGAAATGTTTTGTGTGTCTACAAGCAGTTGTCACGTCTTACTCTGCGACATGCCTGTTCACACTCTGCCCCCACCCCAGTTTTCACAAGGCGCCCCCTAGGAGTCGTTTTTAGTACAGCGACCCTCAGCTCCCACGCCTGCACAGCTGGCCTCCACCCAGCTAACCAAGCTTCCTCTAGGGGCTGGGGAGGCAGGAGCGAGCCAAACAGAGAGACCCCACTGCCCCGTGAAGCTCCTGTGCGGTGGGAGAGTGAGAGAGAAAGGTGAGAAACCACGTAAAGTAACGGGACTCCCACCTCAAGTGAGGGGAGGATGGAGCCGGACTCGCCTTTTTTGTCGTAAACCAGAAGGCGGGACAGGGAACAGTGTGGCCTTCTGCCTGGAGGTGCTCTGTGGACCCCAGGGGGAGCCCAAGCAGAGTCTGGAGGCCACACTGAGTGGAGCCAGTGAACCTGGTTTGGGGAGGCAGAGGCAGCTGGGTTTCTGGAGGGGGCGAGCTGTGTGGGAAAAAGCTCCGGAAGGGCACCCGGTGTCCCCTTGAATCTTGGACTGACAACTGAGTGTGGACGGTGGCATGAAACTACAGGACTGGCCAAAGCCCAGAAGCCACGAGCCGCCAGAAGCAGTGAGCTGGGCGAGGCCAGAGCTCACGCAGGGGAAGGCAATTATTTTCAGAAGTTTGCTGCATTTGATTTTGATAACTATAAACTCACAGATCCCAAAAGCTCAACAGCACATTACGTTCAAGTTGCAAGAAATAAAAGTGACAGGAGAACACAGAAAAGCAGCTGGAAGGAGATGGGGGCGCCTGGGGGCTCAGTGGGTTGAGCGTCCGACTTCGGCTCAGGTCATGATCTCACGGTTCGTGGGTTCGAGCCCCGCGTCGGGCTCTGTGCTGACAGCTCAGAGCCTGGAGCTGCTTCAGATTCTGTCTCTCTCTCTCTCTGCCCCTCCTCTGCTCTGTCTCATGTTCTGTCTGTCTCTCTCTCAGAAAACAATAAACATTAAAAAAATTATTAAAAAAAAAAACTGCTGGAGGGAGAGAGACACATCACACAAGGGAGCAAGGATGAGAATGACCGACAATCTCATCAGGAACAGTGCAGGCCGGGCACAACGGAACACGTACGAAGTGCTGTAGGAGAAACCGCCCAAAACTGGCAAAGTACAAAGTAGAATTGTGTATCTGTAATACCATCCTTCAAAAATGAAAGCAAACTAAAGAGACTTTTCCAGACAAATCAGAGCCGAAACAATCAGTTTACAGCAGGCCACACAATAAAAAATTACTACCATTCTTCAGGTGGAAGGGAAATGCCACAATGGAAACCACAAAAAAGAATTAAAACATGTCAGAAATGGTAAAATAAGCGGATTTTGTTATTAAATTTCCTTAGAAGATAACTGATACGGCAACATGTCAAGGGGTTTATAACCTACAGGAAGTAAAACACAGAGCGGCGTCAGCTGCTGGAGAGGACCGTAAGCGCACGCGTAAGGGACTTACATCGTTTGTGACGTTACCTAACATTATTTGAAGGCAGGCTGTGATAAGTTAAAAATCTATTTTGTGATTCCTCGAATAATCACTGAAAAAGCGTACAGATATAAGCAAATATGCCAACAGTGAAAATAAAATAGACTACAAAAAAATGTTGTTTTTCGAACCCAAAAAGAAGGCAGGAGAAGAGAAAAAGGAACAAAGAACATATGGGACAAGTAAAAAACAAACAGGAAGATGGCAGGACTTAAACCCAACCACTGCACAAAATGCAGGTAAATGTAACTGTGTTAAACATAAGTACAGTAAACACCTCACTTTATTAAAAGGCAGAGATGGTCAGACTGGATAAAAAAGCAAAACCTATGTGCTGCCAACGAGAGAGATATTTTACTTACTATGAAGACACAGGTTGAAGAAACAGATGTGTGAGGAAGACGCCCATGGAAACGGTAACAGAGGAAAGACACAGGGCCAGGTTAGCACAGAGAGGGCAGTGAGGAAATGGGACATTCCATGTGACGAAAAGACGATGCTTCAAGAAGACATTTACAATCCTAAACATGTATGCAACCAATAAAAACCTTCAAACTACAAGGAGCAAAAGCTGGCTAACTGACAGAAGAAAGCAAACCCGCAGTTGTGGCAGGGATATTCCACATCCTCTCAGTAACTGGCAGGACATACAGAACATCAACCAACAGAATTTGGGTGATTAAAAATTTATTAAGCCTGGCTCCCTACTTCTCTCTCCGAGACCAGCTAATAGCTAAGCACACCCTGCATGTGACATGAGCACAGGAGAGTCTGAGAGCTACGGGTTTGCAACCTCCCTTCCTGGAACACAATCCCTCAGCAGTGAAACGGCGTGACACGGCCTGCTTCACAGGGTTGCTGCGCCAGCAGATCAGAAGAGGAAGCAATCTGGACGCCATCAAGCACCGCAGGCTTGGCCTCATCGGACCGTCTTCGTCTGTTTTGTGTGTTACAGGGCAGGGAGCTGTCCCGCTTCCAGCGTGCAAGCCTGCCTGCCTGCCCTCCCGATGGCCGGGGCGCCCAGCTGGCCCCTACCTGTGGTCTCGGCACCCCAAGCTCTTGTCCCTTGGCAAGGCACGCAGAAGGCATCACACGTTTCAGAAACCCTGCTTCAGGATCCGCCGGTCTCCCAAACGTCTCCTGAAATTTTCTGCCAGGAGCCCTTTCCCTGTCACCAGGTCCTCTGCCACTGGACTCATTCTGTTTCTCTGTGGTTTCTCTGCGTGGTTCCCCGGCCTCTCCAGAGCCAAACTCCTTTGCTCTGCCCTAACCAGTCTATTGGCAGCCGCACCTTCCTTTAGGGGGTGGGGGTGGGGCGGGTAGCTGCACACACACCTTCCTTCAAGCGGGGGCGGCAGCTGCACACATCTTCCTTCGGGGAGGTAGCTGCACACACACCTTCCTTGGGGAGGGCGGCTGCACACACACCTTCCTTCGAGGGGGGGCGGCTGTATACACACAACTCCCTTCGGGGGCGGGGGGAGGGCGGCTGCACACTAGAACCCCCAAGCTCATAGTGGCTTGCTGGTGCCCCCAGCCTGACACCCCTTTTCCATCTTTCTACTCTGGTTCTGACCTCCCGATTTGCTCTGGCACCACAACCTGATGTGACCCGAGCCCCAGTGTGGTTAGGAAGGGGCGAAGGTCATTTCCACAGCAGGCTCCCTGTATTCTGGGGAGTCTTTTTTTTTTTTTTTTAATTTTTTTAATGTTTTATTTATTTCTAGGAGAGAGAGAGAGAGACAGCATGAGCAAGGGAGGGTCAGAGAGAGAGGGAGTCACAGACTCTGAAACAGGCTCCAGGCTCCGAGCTGGCAGTCAGCACAGAGCCCGATGCGGGGCTCGAACCCACGAACCGCGAGATCATGACCTAAGCGAAAGTCGGACGCTCAACCGACTAAGCCACCGAGGCGCCCCTGTTCTGGGGAGTCTTGGGTGAGCTTTCAAGATGGCAGAAGCAGGGTTGGCAGCACGGCCCCGGAAGGGAGGCAGGCCTCAGACTCTGCACGAGGCCGGTCAGGCTGGGCGCACCCAGCACAGCACTCGCTTCCAAGGACCTCAGGGTGAAACGCGTGCCCCGACCCCTGCAGGGGCCACCAGCCCGGGGACAGGCAGTGCACGCCCGTCAGGAGAGCACGCCCACAGGGTCCCAACACCGAGGCCCTCGGCTGGGTGACTGTCGTGCAAGTGCAAGGCCTTTAGAGGAGTCGAGAAGCTAGGACTCCTTACACCCTGCACCTCCTCACTCCTTCCTACCGGCTCTGGGGCCCTGCACCCCAGGCCACACCCGGACACCTCAGAAAGCACGAGGCAGAGCCCAGGGGACCGAGTGCAGAGACCCTTCGGGTGTCCCCTGCGTCCCCTGCGCTGAGCCGCGCCGGCTCCCGGCCGGGCCTGGAAAGCGTTCGGTCAAGGCAGCTCTCACACTACAGACCCGGCCCGTCATGTCCTCCTGGGGTCCGCAATCCCCAGAGTCTGGGAACCGCCGATGCCGGCACGGCCCGCGATCCCGCTGCTGGACGGCGCTGCCGCTCGCGGCCGAGGGCACACTGTGCCGGCGCCCCCGTGCCCTCCCCGCTCCGCCGGCCCCGGCGCGCCCGGCACTCACCCAGAATTCCTGCAGCTCTGTCAGATGGCTGATGTTTTCAATCTTTTTGATTCTATTTGACGCAATGTCCAACATCGTGAGTTTGTTCTAAAATAAGGAAACAAGATTGTTCAATGATGATCGTGTGACCCCACACACGGGTCTGGGCGCTGCACTCACCCCCCGCCCCCCCCCCCAGCAGGAGCAGGCTAACGGGATCCATCCATTCCGCTCGGACAGAACCCTCGCAACCACCTCACGGAGTCCCCGTTATCACTGGCATCTGAGGGTCTCAGCCCCGGGCTCCCAGGTCTCTGGGGACCAGGACCCGTGCCCCCAGTGAGATGCGTGGTCCTGGGAAGAGCAGAGTGAGCCCTTCCTAGACACTGAGGGGCCTGGGGCTCTGGGAGTGGGCCCTGAAGAAGGGGTAACCGTTGTAGCAACGTTTATTTTTCTGGTGAGGACACGTGCGATACATCAAAAACAATCTGCAGATTAGTATTTTTGTTTTCAATTAGGGATGAGGAGCCTGCGGGCTTACCCAGGGTAGGATGCCACCTGGGTACAAGCAGTGGGGGCACTGCAGCCCCGGCCCACACTCATGGAGGATGTCCTTCTGGGAAGGGGCCGCCAGGAGGAAAGGGGAGGGAAGCCCGGGTGCTGAGGGGCAGCGGGTCTGGCGCCGGCCTGGAGCTCACAGCTGATAGAAGAGAGGACAGCGGGCACCAGGCCCTACCGAGGACAGCGTCCAGGGCACACTGGGCGCCTCCATGCACAGACAACATCTGCTTTAGCATGTGCCCCACCGCGTCCTCTCCTGAGAATGTGCAGCACGTACGGTTTGCCTAATACCTATGAGCTAAGCCTCAGTAGTATTTTTTTAACGTTCAGAGTTTCAAGATTTAACAGAACTAAATTAACACCGTAGTAAAAATGAGGTCTGTTAAAGCGCACACTGCTTGCTGGTTGAATTAAACCAAACGGCAAATTTTTCTAAAATGAAAAGGGAAACATGTAGAAGCTGGTTGATAGCCTCCCAAAGAAGTCCATTCGCTTCTTGTCTGCCCATTTCTCACTGCAGATTCCTTCTTACGTTTTCTACTGCATTCCCAGGATGCTGAGTCCAGGTCCTCCCAAGTTTTAAAGGAAGATTAAAAATTGTCTTTGTAAAATAAAAAGAAATCCACGCACACACACACAGCCGCCAGCCAGTCGCGGTGCTGACTCAGAAGCGCTCAGCCCCGGTCTCGGGTTCCTCGAGTGTCTGCTGCCCATCTTCCACGCACGTCACCCAGGAAGAGCACTGGCCAGACAGTCAGTCTCCAGGAAGCCACACGGTGCCGCGCCGTGTCACGTGCAAGCAGATGAGCAGCTCCTCTGAGGAGCTGGTGTCGGGCCTGTCGTGTGTGTGGACTGCTGCACGACTGCAGTGTGCCCGGCGGCTCTGCCTGTGGGACTGGGGGCAGCTGGGGGTCCGCAGCAAATGGGGACTTGGGAGAACTCGGCAGAAGAGGGTGGGTCCTCCACGGCGGCGGTCTCCAGCCCTCTGGGCCCATCCTGACACGCAGTGCTCGGCGTCATCGGGGGTGCACAGGGAGACGGGCGGCAGGGCGATGGCCCCGTCTGAGGGCGCGGCGCTGGGGTCTCCTGGTGGGCAGCACTGGCGCAGGGACTCAGTCACGTGTGCAGCGCTGCCTTGTTTCTTCTGGGGAGCGGGACGGTGTTTTGAAAATTCATCCAAAAGGAAACCACTGAGAACTACTCAAGCAAAAAGTAAAAAGAGGAAGCAGGCAGGGCGGGAGCGAGCACAGCGCCGCAGTCACAGTGCTAGCAAGGAGGATGCGAGGTCGCCAGGAGCGCCTGCACACTGGGACGGTGTCGTCTGCGGTGCTGGGACGGGGGGTCGCCGTTTGGGAAAACATACACTTAATTCCTTATTTCCCGCAACAAAAATAACTTCCACATAGAGAGAAAACACAGATGAGTATTTGATCTCCAACTGAACAAGCCCGAGCAGACTGTCACTGGACCATGATAAATATTCTAATTAGATAATTACCTTCAAAAAGCCACAACTGGGTTTTTTTTTTCTTTCTGTTTTGTTTCAGAGGCCCAAGAACCATCTGGAGTTGACCCCAGACCACAGCGCACTCCTGCGGGTAAAATTCTAAGCTCCGGCTTCTCTCCCGCTTGCCTGGGGGCCTGCAGGCACACCCGTCCCCCACCCCAGGGAGAGCTGGGAGTCGGGGAGACCCCCAGCTCCCCCCGGGCACGGGCCCCTCAGGCCGGCCGGCCCTCGGGCACAGCCCGCCTGCTCTGACCCCACAGTCTCTGCGCGCAGTCCCGCCTCGCGGAGCGGAGCCTCCGGCTACCACCGGGCACTGCCGAGCGCGCAGCCAGTTGACACGTCAGGTTGGCAAACGCTTTATTTGACTGCCAGGCAGAGGAAGGCAACTTAACTTACCAGAGGCCAATTCTCCCTTGTCAGGAGTTTGGCAAAAAAAAATTCAGTACGTGGTTTTCCCTCTAAAACGTGACTAACAGTGACCAGGCCCAGGGCTGAGGCCAAAGGAGCCTCGACTAGACTGACACGCTGTGTTCACACAAAAGTGCCCTATGCGGTTGCCTTTGCTGGAAATGAACAAAACAGAAAAAAAAAAGCCCAGTAAAACTGAACGAGAAAAAATGTTTTATTTGTCTTGAATATCGCCCTGAGGAATAGCAGGCTCACCCGCGGGCAGCTGAGAAGGATGGGGCCTGCGCTGCCCACCCCCCACCGGCTCAGCACGTGTAAGGCTGTCCCGTGCTGGGTGAGAATGGGCGTCCGTGGGAGAGGCAGGCTCTCCCCAGCCTCAGGAGGGCTGGTGAGAAGCAGGGAGGCGGAACACACAGGAACTCAGTTCAGAACAGCTGAGACCTGGGGGCCCTGGGGGCCCTGGGGGCCCTGTGACCCCTGCGGGCTGGAAAGCTGCTGCCCAGAAGGGCAGCGGCCAGGATGGGGAGGAGGGGCGGTGGCCGACACCTGGCAGCCCTCTGCAGCACCGGGCACCGAGGAACACGCAGGGTCTGCTCCAAAACTCTTCCCGAGTGGCTGTGGTGCTGCTGGTGACGGTACGGTGTGCACGGCACAGAGCACCGCCCAGCGCTCCCTCAGGGGGACAGGGAGAATGGCGGGTGTTTCGTGCACATGTTAGCGGGAAGACGGAGCCCTGTTTTCAGACCTGGGAAGGTCTCTAGCACGAACCCCCCGAGGCAAGGAGTCTTCTGCCCCGCCCCCACGCCCACGCCGCCCTGGACCAGAGGATGCCTTACGTTGTTCTCCAGGCCCTCGATGACCTCGATGCCGTTGTGGCTCAGGTACAGCTCTCGAAGGTTCACCAGGCTCTGCAGACCTTCCATCTTGGTCAGCCGGTTGCTCTGCGACAGGGAGAGACAGCAACTATCAGAAGCGCAGAGGGCACGAAACAGAACGGCTTTTGGGAAAGGAGGCCTCTCCCCATGAGGAGCCCTATCGTTTCAAGCGGAGTGGGCAGGGACTTACGTGGAGAAAGAGATCAGAATTTCAAGGCTGCTGCACTGGCTAGAATGAGGGCTGGGGCTGGAAGCTTTTAGGCGAGGGCTTCACTTTTTTAGGTGTGCCTGAAGGTCTACCTTTGTTAACTCAGTAACCCAAAAATGTTAAATACGCTGAATGTGGTAAAACAAATCACTTCTTCTTTCAAAACATGCTGTAACTCAGATTAAAGTATGAGGCCCTCTTTTTTTAAGAGTCTGCAGAATGTCTACTTTACAAAAGGCCCAAGCAGTTTGGGGACCCGCCACAGCCAGCACACCGCCCCGCACTTCACCTCGAGGGTCTGGTTCCACTCGTTTGCTTCCAGCAGAAGAGGCAGCCCCAACCTGGGCCTGCCTGACAGTCCCCGACCTGGGGTTGTGCGCTCTGCGCGGGCGCGGAAGGAACTGAGCCCACCGTGTCAGGAGGCTTCAGAGCACGCACAACCTTCTCAAGAAGGCCCTTGCTGGAGACCCCCAGGGATGGAGATTTCAGGAGTGTGTACATACAACACACACATACACCTGAGTCTCTGAAACCTAACATTCCACTTGCTCACTGGTGGTAAAGGTGGGGTCGATCCTGGACACCGTGGGAGACAAACGTGCAGGCTGTCGAGCAGCCGTGTCCCGGCCGGGGCTTGGCCAGGTGGGGGGACAGGGGGTCAGTACCTGCATACTGAGGACCGTCAGGTTGGTCAGTGCGTCCAGGTTCTGGAGTTTAGTGATCTTGTTCTTCCCCAAAAACAGACTCTCCAGGCTGGTTAACGTGTCAATATTTTCAATCGCCTGTGAAAGAGACAGAGAGGCAGTCAGCACTGTGTGGCTGCCCAGCGGGACTGGAGAGGAAAGGTGCCAGCGAGGAGATACAGCTATCTGGACTTGAGCCCTGGGATGTGGGAAGTCACTTATCCACTTGGGAAACTCCCAATGAAGTCGCGCTTGAACGTTCAGTGTGAGAACAGCAAAGGTGGCTAGTCCAAGGCCTCGTCCCCTGGGCTCACCCCCAACCCTCAGGGCTCGAGGTCAGGGGACACAGTTTAAAAACCACAGAGGACATTTCTCAAGTCCCTCTCGGTGCTAAAGTTAAGTTGACATGCTGACCCCATGTAGGGTTTGTTATGACACGTTTTAAGACCCTAGGTCTGCCCCCAAACTCCCCAGAAGCAGCTCTGACCTTGGGATGCCACCCAGGATTCCTGGGATCAGGCGCCTCCATTCCATGGCTTTCTGTCCCTGCCTCAGTTTCCACAACCCGCCACCCTTCCAGCATGTTATGCCCCTCCATTCGCTGTGAATTCCAGTGCCCTGTGGAGAGCAGGCGTCTAGCAAACGCTGACGGACGGGATCGGCTTCCCTCCCCCTCAGGTCCCTGCTCTTCCCTGAGTTCACCACCAGCTTTCTCCATAGACACTGAACAAGCATCGGGTGCAGAGTGCATCCTACCCTGCACATCGTGGCGGGACCTGGTGGGGCTTAAGGTGGTGTCTGTGAGGGGGAGGGTCCAGGGGGACGGGTCCTTACCTGTTATTGCCTACACGGGTTAGTGAGGGGCTACCGTTCCCCCTCCAAACATTCTACAAAGAGACGCTCGATAAAAAGTGCTGATGTCTGGGCCAGGCGTTAGTTTCAAATGTGGTGCTGATGTCCCTCTAGCACCGTCACAAGAGGCCCTCATTGGTTTGCATCATGCCCAGCTCTCCAGGGCCGAGCGGGACGGACTGCGGTGTGCCGTAGACACAGAGCCAGGCAGGGGGCTACACCCGACACAGGGGCAGGGGAAGAAGTGCTAGGAAACACTGGCTCTTAGTCGCTCAGCGAGGCCAGGGAAGCCCTGGGCTTGGTAGCATGGCTTTGCTGGGATGTCGGGTGGGCACTGAGGGGTCTTCTGGCTAGCAGATACCCTCATCACATTCTGGTGACCCTCCCCCTCTCTGCTGGCAGTGCCCCTCCCCCAGGTCAGTCCTTCTGTGAGCTCATCTGTGGCTCCCCCGGCGGGGGTGCCCAGCACCTATGAGTCGGGAGGCACCGGACCATTTTCCCAAAGCACCTCCTTCCTGGTGCTCCCAGAGGTCAGAGCCCGGGAAACGGCTCGATGTAAGGCTGGGGTGGGGCGTGTCCCGGTGGTACACGGCTGTCCAGGGAGGACGGGCCAGCCAAGCACCCCAAGCTGCAACGTGCCTCCCATGGCCCCTGCAAGCCACCACTCTGCGGGGCCCAGGGCCCGGGACACTGTCCTCTCAGACAGACCCACCACTGAAGAACACAGCCTCGGCCACTCAAAAGCAAAGTGTTCAGGGCTGACCCGTTCACCTCGTGCAGACTGTCACTGGGACGCTTTGCCAAGGTTTAGGCGGGACCTGGATGAAAGATTTGCAGAGGAAGGGCCAGGCTGAGTGGCGTGAGCACGTGTTCTTATGGATACTGACCTGCGGTTAGCAGATTTTTACTGGAAAAGAAAATCATACCACATGAAACCCACAACCAACACATATCTCGAGCCTGTCACCACCAGTCGCAGAGGCCACCGACCCGCGGCGCCCACACCTACCCGGATGCGGTTGGACCCCAGCTCCAGCATCTGCAGCTGGTGCAAGCTGCTGATGTTCTCGATTTTACTGATTTTGTTGTTAACCAAGAAGAGCTTCTTCAGTCGTGTCAGCTTGTCGACTCCTTCAATGTTCCTCAGCAGATTAAAAGAAATGTCTAGAATCCTGGAACAAACAAAACATTTATATTTTTAAAGATCACAAGTGGGGGAAGCTCCGAATGTAACCAACCTAGAGGCGCTGCCCCCGCCCAGTGGGCCGGGCCCCACCCTGGCGGCCCACCCGCCTCTCCAGGCGCCCCCACAGCAGGAGTCCTGCGAGCCCCTGAACGGACCAGCCTGGAGTCTGCAGTTGAAGGGTTAACTTGCAGGCTGGGACTGTGGGCAAGCCGATGCCACCCATGGAGCCGGGCGCTGGGCAGGACCCTGAGGCAGAGGGGGCCCTCCAGGACCGAGAGCAGGGCCCGGGTCGGTTCTGGGGAGACTGGACAGGCCCCTCAGCAGGGCCCTGGCCTCATGACTCACTCCAACTGCGTCAGCGCCTCCAGGTTCTCAATCTTCTTGATCTGGTTGTCATAAAGATCCAGCTCTCGGAGACTCTGTAACTCCTCCAGATTTTCAATGCATTTAATTAAATTTTGACGGAGGCAGAGACTCTGAGGGATGAAAAAGGACAGGTGACATAGGCAGCGGGGAGGCCACGACAAAGTACCAGCTGTGTTATAGGACAAATCTTCCACGGGACACAGGATGCAGTTTTCATTTTCCTGTTGTTTTCCAGAAACGTGCCCACCCCGGAGAGGAGACACCCAAAGGGAGGCTAGAGGCAGGCCCCACACAGAGCGCACCTCCTCACTGAGGGGGCGTTGGCCACGGACGGGGTGTGTGATTCCCGGCACAGCCAACGCCGGGTGGGCTCGAATTTGAACACATTTATCTGAAATGAGTGGAGACGACACAGGCTGGGGTGTGCCCGTCCCGGGCACCACCTGGTGTTGGGAAGAGCCCGGCGGCCTCTGTCAACCCGGTCACGCTTGGCGTACCAGTGCTGATGGCAGCTCTGGACAGAGGCGAGCACTTTCTGCAGAACCGAGCCTCAGTAAGGGACGTGCCTGTGTCCCCAGGAGACAAAGGACGTACCTTTACTTTCTTCAGCACCGCAAACCCCTCGATTTTCCCAATGCGGTAGTGGTTCAGATCAACGTCCTGAAACGAAGAAGGAATCCAGCTCAGCTGCAGAGAAGCGCCGCGTCCTGGGATAGGAGGGGCCGGAGGGGAAGCGCCGGCCAGCCTGTGGCGGACAGGCCCCAGCAACACGGAGGAGACACAGAGGTGTGCTTCATGACGGTCCTCGGCAGTCTGACGTGCCACTGAGCAGCAGTAAAGCCCCTCTCTCACCCCGCAGCCCTGGGAGCTGTTGACTGCGGCCGGCAGGCTGCCCTCCCTGCTGGTCTCCCGCACGCTGAGCTGTTGATGCTCCGGGATGGCCAGGACCCTCACCATTTACAACGTCATCACCTGACCCACTGGGGGCATTTAGGAGCCAAGGGTGTTTCATGGGCCGCCCAACCCTCTGATTACACAGAAAAAGGATTTCAGTCATTGGTATTAAAAACAAGGACAGAAGGAATCTGACCCAATGACGGGGCTCAGACGACCTCGCCTAGAATAATCACTTACTAATCTGGCACCTCCATAAAAGATACCCTGATGGTCAGAGCGGTCTGTCACCATGCCCCGAGGCTGGCTCCAGCAGGTGGCATTACCTCTGCATCTCTGTCCAGGCTAATGGTTTCCATATCCACGGGCAGCTCTTGTCCTTCTGAAAAAATAAGAAAAAAAGCCCATTCAGAGCCCGAGCGTAAGTGAGCTGGAACACAGGCTGCCCAGCTCGCAGAGCTGAATCAGTGCGAGGAGAAGCCAACAGGCAACACGCGGAGGCCGTGGGTGGCATGGCGGGCTTCGCGCCCTGTTCTGTATCAGTCACCGTTCAAGCATTTGGACTCTCCTGAATTTGCTGACTGGCAAAAGTCTCCAAAATCCCATCTGTGCCAGTGAACTTCCCAGGGAAGGACTGGAGTCCGAACTGCCCGGAGCCACACTGCTGGCAGCAGCCTGCTCTCCCCTGACCTTTCCTGTCTCGTCTCTGGCAGCACATCAGACCATCTGAATGGCTTGTGCTGGGCACGTCAGATGTTCTAGGATGTGCCTTTTATTGCTTTGGAAAGTGGCCTGGTATCTCTAAACACTTGTCTCTGCAAAGAGGAAAAGACAACAGAGCACAGCTCGGCAGTCGGACTGGAGAGCCCGGAACGAGGTGGACACGCTGTCCCCGTGGGAGGCAGGGGGCCGGGCTGCCCTTCAGAGGCCCCCGGCCCGCCCGGCGCTGGAGGAGCGCGGCAAGAAGCCCTCGGACCGCGGGCTCACAGCCCCCATCCAGCAGCTCTCCTTTCCTCATTTCCTCTGAACCGATGGAAGCACCCGTGTCCGAAAGGCTTTGACGCTTTAAAAAAGTAACCGTCTTTCTTTGATTCCACCAACAGCCTTACGACTTCTCCCCCTGGGTCTGCTTGTATTAGGACCTTATATAAGGTCATATATTGTGATTGGAGAACGTTTCTCTAATGTCCCTTTCTGCTCTTGCAAGTTCTGGTTGAAGACACCGGGCCGCCGGGCTCGCGACACTTCCGCGGGAGCCTGGGGCCGCCGCTCTCCCGGGGCTCCTGCCGCTGCCTCCAGCCTCCGGGTCACCTCTGCGCTGGCTCAGCTCACGGCCGTACCCCCAGGCCGCCCAAGGACTGAGGACCGGAGGCCTGTCTGTGGCTCACTCCGGGCCCTCAACTGGAGGCAGCAGAGAGGCGCGCGTCACACGTTGGGGACTGACCGGAGTCAGCACTGGTCGAGTTCCAGTTTCTAACTGCGCCTGTTCCACACCAACCGACAATGGCCAGGTCAAAAACATGGCGCTCACTATGGCTTCTCACTTACTGATTTTTCTTTTTCACTTTTAGCGAAAACTCTTTTAAAAAAAAGTCTTTTCATTTTCTAATCTTGGCATAAATTTTAATTCCTCCCAGACTGTGGGACTCAAATGTCCTGAATCCCTTTCAGAGTCATCCAAAGCCCGAACTTCCTCTATGTCTGGATAAAACATCCGTTTACAAATGAGCTGTGTAATCTGATCACCCTTTTTGACTTTGAATTTCTCTTTGCCGAAGTTAATGCCTCTGTAATCTTCACCCCTGATGCCAGCTCATCTGTGAAGTGTTCATGGCCAAGCCAGAATGGGGAGCTACTCTTCCGAGGCCCCCAGAAGGTAGAGCACTTCTACAAGGGCTTTCTCCATAGGAGGTCCTGTAGCATCACGGGCTCCGTACAGGTCGTAGGCCACAGCCCGCGTGGACACCCCGGTCAAGGCAGCGGTGTGCTCCGAGGGCAGGACAAAGCGGAGCCTCACGGTGTCCTCCACGGGCCGAGCCCGCTTGCTGGGGGAGATGGTGCGCGTCGCTTCAGCGCAGGGAGTGGCGGAGCAGAATGTGAGCAAAGACAGCAGCAGACGGGCAAGCGGACCTAGAGTCGTCTGCTATAATCTTAGAGGACATCAACCAACCTAGGAATGAAGTAAAAGGAGTTGGGCAAAACCAAGAGAGATACCCAAACTACCCCTCAGCCCAAGGCAGCTGAGTCCAGTGTCCATGGACTCAGGAAGCTGCAACAAAGGCAGGTGTCTGGACCACCCAGTGTCTGAGGCAGGGCACCGTGAGTGTCCAGGGCGGATGCAGACAATGGAGCAGGGCCTGAGGGTTCAAAGCGGGCCGGGCTCTCCTCTGGACAGGCGTTCGCACAGTGGTAAGTACTTCTGTCTGTCCATCCAGCACATAGGGCAGACCCCTCAAAACATCAGCTTGGCCTCTGAAACAGCCGCCAGCCTAGAATGTTTTCCCGAACGTATCAAGTATTGATCTTTAAAAAAAAAAAAAAAAAAAAAAAAAAAAAAGCTAGGAACGGAAAACAAGTGAAAGTAACGGTTGATACGTTTGGATTTGTTTTATTTGAACTTAGCACTTAAGTAAATACAGGTGGGAGTGAGTCCTGGTTTCTCTTACGGACTTATAAAAACGCATATTCCCAGAGCGTTTCTAATCAGCCAGCAGGCCGGAGGAAGGGACGCTGGTTTGGACAAGCCGGGCTCAAGTCCAGCTCCTCTAGGGCGGGCCACAGGGGGCGGGCGCTCCGCACCCAGGGGGAGCGGCCCCGACACAGGGCCCCGCCGGCTCTCTGGCCCTCCGTGAGCGCCAGGTGCTCAGACTCGACAGCAGACGACGCCTCCACTCGCTTGGTCGTCTGTGACTCAGCTGAGACAGCAACGAAAGGATGAGAATCTGTCATCCCCGTGTACTTATTCCACCCACATCACTTCCAGAATATCGACTCCGGCCTTCCAAAGTAAATGTGGTTGATACTTTCACAGTAATCTCCCTTTGCCTTAAAACTAGGTTGCCATAGTTACCAACCATCTTCACCGGCACAGAGCACAATGTTATTTTAAAAATTAGTTTTGTTTTCTTATAAATGTGTTTTTTTTTTCCCTTAAGCACAGGGGTGGTACATGACGATTACCACCTCAGAAGCCCACAGATTATACACAAATCTAGAAACTGCAGAAAGTACAAGAGCCTCTCACACCTGCTGGCCGGAGGCCCCAACAGCAGCTGTGATGTGTGTTCTCTCTTAAGTATGATAAAACTTACACGTTACTAATATTTTTAACGTAAAACTTTAACATACATACGGTTTTGAAATTTGCTGTTCTCACCTAATAAATGTATCTTGGACATCTTTCTGTCGCTTATATGCTCTGTCTCACTTCTTTTTCATGTAAACCTATTTTCTAACCAAAGATCATGGTTGGTAGGGTGAAAAACTGCCATTATGGACTGAGAATATACTTTTCTCATTTTTAAATTAATGTTGTTGTTAACCACTAAAACAATAAGGCTATGGAGATAGTTTCCACACAAAACACCTTTCCAAACATCTAGGTATTTAGAAGTCAACCCTTGGGCCTGTTAAGTACGGTGGAGCAGGACCCTATGACTTCTCAAAAATCTTAAGAGCACTATTCTGGAATTAGTTTACGTTACTACGATAGGAAACAAAAGCATCATCAGCCAAGTTGTTTACTTCAAATCTCGCTTTCTGAATATATGGTTAATAAAGCAATTTTCTGGTTCTGTCCCTGACGCCACGCTACTACCAGTATTAGTAGTGGTCGTGTTTGCCTTCAGTGGGATTCCAGAGCCGCGTCCTGCCTGCAGGTGCCGTGCACGCGTCAGCTCGCCGAGCGAGGGCCGCCGAGGGTGCACGGCTCCCAGGGCACGCGGCCACCAGTCCCCAGAGGGCCTCCGGCGCTGCATCAGCAGGTCCAGAGCTCGCCAAACGAACCCCCTCTCGCACAGCAGTCCTCCTGGCGCCCTCGCCTCTCCAACACCCACCGTGGGGTGGGGTTGGGCGGGTGGTGTGCAACGCGGCCGCGCCCTCCCCTCCCCCCTAAGTGAGTTTAAGGCTCTTAACTCGGCCTGGTACCTTCTGGGTCCTCTTCCCCTTGCTCCTCCCCATCCTTCAGGCTCTGCTCGCTGAGGTCTGCCACTATGCCGCCGCTCGGCCTCTTCCCTTCTTCATCACCAGACTCTTCAGATTCCACTCGCCTGTCAACTGAATGCACACATCAGTAAGAATTCACAGCACTTTATGTGACTTCCTGAAGAACACAGAACAGACTGACATCCGGTTGTAGGTCAAAGAGACTTCATTCAGAAATGTTTGTTGAATTCAGTTCAACAAACATTTGAGTGTCTCCCATGTTCGGGTGCCGCCTGCGGTGTACAGAGTGGGGACAACTCGCGTGGGGGAGGGCAGAGCAGGGAGGACACGTGGCTACGAAGATGAGTAACATACTATTCCTGCCCTCAAGAAAACTGAAGAATTACTATGTGTTCTGAAGGCCCTGGGTCATCTGTGATTGAACGTACTGATGGTGACACAGTGAAGTACCTCCTGTGCGGCTCACTTTCGGCCTGGACATCTGTATAGAGGGGACCGTGTGACCCTCCCACCACATACCTTCATCCACGCTCCACTATCCATTTGGCCAAGAAAACCAGCCCAGTCACAGGCCCACGTTCTGAAAGAAATCAAGACTAACTCAAATCAGACTGTGGGCGGGAGGGGGGGGGCTGTAATGAAAAAGGAGAAGACAGCCAATAGTGCCAAATGCCCCACATAAACGTCACTGATGCCAAACACCAGCACACAGTGATACTAGCCAAAAGCTTTGAAAGGCTGGTAAATAAATATTTTTTGAATTAATAAATAAGGCTATTTATTGAATATTTATTTGAATGACTAAATATGGCAGACTGATAAAAATTCTTTGGAAAGACTGTCAAATAATTTTTCTTTTTCCTAACATTTTCCATGACCTCTCTTGGAAGTCTCAAAGAGCTGAAACACTAATAAATTCCTAGGAGCTATCAACCGTACTGAAAGCTTTTTTTTTTTTTTTTTAAATATTTTTATTTATTGCTAGGAGAGAGAGACAGAGTGAGCAGGGGAGGGTCAGAGAGAGTGGGAGACACAGACTCCGAAATAGGCTCCAGGTTCTGAGCTGGCAGTCAGCACAGAGCCCGACGCAGGGCTCGAACCCACGAACCACGAGATCATGACCTAAGCGAAAGTCAGACGCTTAACCAACTAAGCCACCCAGGCGCCCCCTGAAAGCATTTTCTTTCCTGACTGTGGCTTATCCACAAAGGGGTGTGCTCTGTGAGGACAGGAAGTTCTACTTCTTCTTTGTATCTCCTCCTGGGCCTAGAAAAACAGCACCCAGGAAAGGACTGCTGGATAAAACCAAGTCCTTACGAGACCTACCTCCCAAACCTCCAAACCCATCCCTTTTTCGCCACCCTGGCAACCGCCTAGCCTCCTGACTGGTCTCTGCATTGCCAGAGAATCTGATTTGATTCTAAAATCCAAATCTGATCTTTGACTCCAAGTTTCTGGAATGTTTCTGGCTCCTGGTGAGATTTCAACTTGCCCCTAGAGACACAGTGTTGGCAGGTTCTTTTCTTTTTTTCCAAGTCTCACTCTCCTCATCTGTAGAAGGAGGCTAGTATAGGACTCATTTACCAGACGCGCTGTCAGGGCTAAAGTAGGAAAGGTACAAAAGCAGTCAGCATGTGCGTGACATGCAGTCGACATTAAGTAAGTTAGGTATTACCAGGCCCAGGGCACTCTGTGGTCATGGCTAAGGGAGAGCACGTTCTACTGGGTGACGGGGTGGTGTGGCTGAGACCAGAGCCGCAGGGACCTAGCTAATGAAGGGCAGCCACGGTGGAATCTGGGGCTCTGTCCTGAAGGCAGCAGGGGGTCTGGAGCATGGGACAGCAGATCAGAATATACGGTGACTCTGGGATACTGGGGACAATGGCAGTGGGAACGGAAGAGGAAGTGAGAACTTAGAGACATTAAGGATATAGAGGCATCAGAACTCGTGGATAACTTGAATGAGTGGGAGTGGGAGAGAGAATCACCTAGGTTTTGTATTTTCCACTTACCAAGACATGGGAACAGGTGAAAAGGAAGGAGTAGATTGGGAGGAGGGGAGTCCAGGAAAGCGGGAAGGAGAGGCACTTCCTGGCTTAAAAGGATCTAAGACCCTTCACCAAGGTCCTCCATGACCGTCTCTTGCCACCCTCCTCCAACAGGACTGTTATTCTTGGTCAAATTTTCTCCCAAACAGACCACATTCTTCTCACAGCCCTTTGCCTTTGTCTTTCTCTCTCCTGAAATGATCTTTGATCTTTCCCCAACCTGGTGATTTGTAGTTCTCTTTCAAGGTCCAGCTCAGAGTTGGCTTTGGTGGGGCGGCCATCACTCCAAACAGGCCAGCTCTTCCTTCGCACCCGGCCTCCCTTCCCTCTTACCTAGCAGCTCACACATAAGACAGTAGCTGCTCTTCTGGAGCTGACCTCATTCCCGCTCCCGCCTCCAAACCAGCGGAGCCAAAGCATATAAGCGCTCGCAAGACACGACTGACTCTCCAACGGCTGTGTGGGTACAACTATATGCACACACAACACGCATGCGATTGTTCCCCACGAAACCAAAGAGTTGAATTTAGTCTTCTTGGAACTATAATAGCTTTGAAATCAGGCACCCCCTCTTCCTAACTCAGTCTCTCGGGTCCTTGTTCTCCGCCTCCACCACGTTCACCCCTGAGCCGACTCGGGCAGCTCCCACGCCGCCCTGCGCCTCACTTTCCTCGGGAGCTGCCCAGGGAACCGACCCCACGGGCCAGGCTCAGAGGTTCGGTGAGAGGCTCCCGCCAGCAGGTGGACGCCGGGGCTGCCGAACCCCCGCGTCGTCAGTCCCCATCCGCCCGCCTGCGCCGCCGCTCTCCCCCCGCGCCGGCCGTGGGTCCGGCACCTCCCGGCCGCCCGCGCCTTCCTGACGGCTGCAGGGGTCCCGGGCCGCCCCTGCCCCGCGGAACCGGCTGGCAGCTGTCAGGACGCGCGGCGGGGCCCAGGCCACGGCCAGAGGCGGGACGGTCCGTTTTTCTCAGGCAGGGCCGGCGTGGACTGCTGCCCACCCGCCCGCTGGGCCCTTGGACCGCCGCCCCACGGAGACGCTCACCCTCCATCATCTCCTGCGACTGTTGCTGGCCCGCACCGCGCTCCGCCGCCATGTTGGCTGCTCTTCCCCTTTCCGGAATCTGTCGCCTCAGGCCTCTCAGCCAATCAGGGCTCCTTACTCTGTGCTGGCTCAGCCAATGGAATCCCACCTGAGGTTGGAACCCCCCGACGCGCCTGCGCAGCCTCAACGCCTCATGGGAATTGTAGTCCACCCGCGAGGCCACGAGGGCCTCAGCCCCAGGAGCAGTAGCCAGCCTCACCTCCCCGGGACAGGTAATCTGAGAGCGCACCGGAGGCTTCTGGAGGCGAGGAGCGGGGAAGAAGACAGGGACGGTCGGGGCCGTACGCACGGAGCCGTGGCTGCAGGCGAGGGGAGAGAAGAATCTGGGAGATGCTTGGGGCTCATCGAGGCTCTCTGCGTGCGGGCCAGTCGAGGGCGTGCCGGCCCCTCCGGGCCTCAGAGGTTGCGTCTGTACAGTGGCGGATTTCGTCCCGATGTCGCCGCGCGGATTTAGCCCCTGTGAAGGGACCGCCTCCAGTTAACGCTCAGCACAGGGCGCCCGCGCTCGTGCCGGAGTCGGAGCCGAGGCCAGGGACCGGGGCACCGGGGGCCAGCTCCACCCGCAGGTGCGGGGACGGCCTCCGAGGGGTCCAGGACTTCGACCCAGCCCACTGCGAGCCGCAGCCTCTGTCGGTCTCCGGCCCCTCGGGCGTACCTGGCCTGTGAGGGATCCCCCTCCCATCCCCGCGTCCCCTGCCTTCGAGGCCGCAGAGAGGCGAGCTGCGACTGCTCACCCTTCGGGATTCGGAGACCGGAGGAAACGGTGTCGGTCAGACCTGGCGGGCGGAGGCGCTGTCTCTTTTGGCCCTTCCGAGGCGCCGTAAAGGGAGTCCGGTGCGTCCCTAGCAACCGTCAGCGCGGGCTTCTCTGCTTGAACTCGCCGAGTCCCGCCCACAGGCGCTCGTGGTTGGCTCGTAGGGCATGTCAATCGGCACGGGTCGTCCTGCGATTGGCCGGTGGGGCCGGAGGCGGGGATCCGCTCCCTCCTGGCGGGTGAAGCGAACTTGGCTGGGTGACCCTGGCAGGCCCCAGGTGAGATGCCCGCGTTGGGGAGAGCGGGCCCGCGATCCGCGGGCTCCTGGCGCGGCCCGTGGACGAGCCTCACCCGAACCCTGCGTTCCCTCCGTGGGGCTCCGGCCGGTGGCGGCCTGCTGCCGCCTTGCCGCCGTTTGCGGCGCCCCGGCCCTGGGGCCCTGAGGGCCTGGGACCCGGCCGCGGCCTAACCCCACCGGCGCGCCGTCCATCCCCGGAGTTGGCCGCCCGTGTTTTGTTTGCCTCGTGTTGCCTGCCCTCCCCCTGGATGGCGAGCCCGGGAGACCAGGGCCTGTTTCCTGCTCTCAGCTGCTCTCCAGCGCCCAGGACGGTGCTGCCAGCGGGTATTTGTGGCACGAACGCCCACTGCTTCCCACATCTCCACTTGGGTGTCGCAGACAAACCTGGCTCTATCCATATCCTGTCTTCACTAGCTTTTCTTTCCCCAGAGCATGGCAGCGGCCTGAGCGGGAAACTGGGGATGCGGTCTTAATGCCTGGTCTTCCCTTCCCTTCCCGGCTCATCACCCAGTGTATCTAGGTCAGTCCCGTGCCAACTGCTGTCCGTGTGTTCCTCTCTCCATCTTTCTGCCACTGCTTTAACTTAAGACCTCGTATTTCTTGCCGGTATTACTTGGCTCCCCACCCTCCAACTCTTCTGCTTCTGGAGTGACCTTTGTAAACTGCCAATCTGGTCATGATACTCCCAAGCACAGACCCCCTTAAAGTCCGTCTTTGGTAAGAAGTCTGCTTGGGCAGACATTGAAAGCCCTGGGAGTTATGCCTGACTTTTCCAGGCCCATCTCCACCTACTCTCCTGTGTCCTGAACTCCCCAGGGTGCTGTGGGAATCTTTGTCGTGAGGTGCCTCTGTCTGTCTGTCTGTCTGGAAGGCTTCTTCATTCCAGTTTTCAGTGCTCAGCCTTGCTGGTGGCTCCTCCAGGAGGCCTTTCAGGCCCGAGAAGTGCCCTTTGCTTACATCCCCCATCACAGCATCTGTCACCCTGGATATTCTTTAGGACACCTCCAGGCGAGAAACAGACTGTCTCAGGAAGGCTCTGAGTAGTTATTGGCCCCGAAACCTGAAGCCCAGAAGAAGGAGGATTTCAGGGTGGGTTTATCCAGTGGCTCAGTATGCCGTCCTTGCCATCCTCTGCTGTGCTGTCCCCCGTGTTGGCTTCTTCCCGAGGCCGGTTCCACACCTGGTTGTACAGCAGTGGTGGGATCAATTGGAGCTGTTTGCTTCCTGGCTTGTGTTCTAGTGAGAGAACGATGGTTGCTTCTAGAAGTTCACCCATAAAAGCAAAGAGTACTTTTCCAGAAGCTCCCTGCAAATCTCTCCTTGCTTCTTTTTGGTGTGTGTTTGGGGGGGGGGGGTCACTCATGCCTTCTGAAATCAAAACTAGCAACAGCCATGGAATTACCCTGAGACACTGTCAGGTGCTCTCTGGTTCAACTTCTTATATCTTGTGCTCAGAGCACATACAAAGTAAAAAAAACCCAGAAAAACGACCCTGAAAACGTAGGGCTGGACTTGCAGGTGTTTCTGGTTTGCGTTTGAGTTAAGCCTGTGGGAACAGGAGCACTCTAAGGTTGATGAAGCCGGGCCGTGCGCTCTTAGAGGCCAGCCTGTGCCCATGGGGCTGCAGAGCTGCCGTGGGCCTCCCTTCCACGCCGTGTGCGTGTGGCTTGCGATGCTGAACTGGCTCACGGCAGACTGCAGACAGCACAGAAGGCGAGAAGGAAGAGCATTTGGCTTTCTTGCATCCCCTTCTTAATGCGTCAGTTTTAAATGCTTTATCTCCCTCCTCCCGTGAAGGATCAAGCACTGGTCCTTACCCTCCCTTCCCTTCCTTCCCTCCTCTCCCTCTTCTTGTGACTTTTACAAAGTAAACCTTTATAATATTTACAACGTCTTCTAAAGAGTTTTACTACCTTTTTTTCGAAGTTTTCTAAATTTACGAAGTAATCTGAAGAGTCATGGTTTTATTGATTTGTTTATTTTACAAGTTAAAGTTGTATAACGTTTACAGTGTAGTCTGAAGCTATAATCAAATTTCCTTGCTTTGTCTATAGGTTGGCTGTAGAAACAGAAACAAAAATATGATCATGTCTGTTTTAGGAAGAATTAGTCCCTTTAGATGCTTGGAGAAGGAGAGCAACACATTCTAGTGGTTTGTTATTTACCTTCTCTCTTGATTTTTCCTCGTCTTTTGGTTCATAACCAGCCGTAGCTGTTAGGATGCCATGCTGGATACATACCTATGTGTAGGAAACATCTCTGAACGTTTTAGTACGTGCTGGTTGATTCATACAAAGGGATAAATGCCCCATTAGTCATGAATCATAACAATGAAGTGAAGGCATTTAAGCCCACTACCCAAATTCAGAACTAAAAGACCCTGGGCCATCGTGCCGCCCACCATTGCAACTTGCTGGTTGCTGGACCCTCAGAGGAAATCTCCTGCCTCATGATTAGGGTTATCACATACGTTCATACCCCTACACGATATATTTAGATGGGGGTGTTATAAAAAGGGAGTTTTACTGTTGATGGTCGTTTGTAACTTGATTTTTTCACTTATTTCGCTAAGATTTATCTTTGTTGTGTGTATAGAAATTGTTATAACTCATAGTATGAATATACTAGAATTTTAAATCTATTTTCTTTAAAAAATTTTTTTTCTGTCTTTTATTTATTTCTGAGAGAGAGTGAGCGAGCGAGCGAGAGAGCAGGGGAGGGTCAGAAGGAGAGGGAGACACAGAATCTGAAGCAGGCTCCAGGCTCCGAGCTGTCAGCACAGAGCCTGATGCGGGGCTCGAACCCATAAACCGTGGGTCATGACCTGAGCCGAAGCCAGATGTTTAACCGACCGAGCCACCCAGGCGCCCCTAAATCTATTTTCTTGTTGATGAACAAGTTTTTTCTTTTGCTGTTGTGACCCATGCTGCCCTGAATACCCTTGAGTGTGACTTGCTACATATGTACAAGGATTTCCATCCAGTATAAATCTGAGAGTGGGATATACTGTCCCTGTAGACTACTGTTTGACTTAAGTTGTTTTCTGAAGAGATTGAATTAAGTTGTTAGAGTTCCCATTGATCCATATCTCTATCAGTATTTGATGTTACTAGAACTAGTACGTTTTGCTGATGTTGTTGGTGTACAGTTGTCATGATTATGCTAATAAAGGTAAACCTTTTGTTATAGGCTTATTGGTCATTAGGGCTTCCTCTTTTGTGAAATCCCTGTTTTCATTTTTCTATGGAACTGTGCGTCTTTTAGATTTTTGTAAATTTTTTTAAAAAGTTTATTTACTTTTGAGAGAGAGAGTGAGAGACAGCATGAGCAGGGGAGGGGCAGAGAGAGAGGGGGACACAGAATACGAAGCAGGCGCCCGGCTCCGAGCTGTCAGCACAGAGCCCGACGCGGGGTTTGAACTCACAAACCGTGAGATCATGACCTGAGCCGAAGTCAGATGGTTAATCGACTGAGCCCCCAGATGCCCCAGAATTTTGTAAATGTTAAATGACTGACCTTTTACACTATCCTGGATATTTTCTGTTTATATATGTGTGGCAAATGTCTTCCCAACCTGTGGTTTATATCATTTTGTTTGTGGTATTTTTTGTGAACGGGTGTTCTCCACTTTAATGTTAAGTTTTCAAGCTTACGTTATAGCTAGAGCTTTTTGTCTTGTTGAAGAAAACTCTGCTTGCCCAAGTCCTACAGACAGTCTTTCTAATTGTCTTCTAAAAGCCTAGCATTTTGACATTGACCAATTAAGTCTCACATCGTAGACACTGCTTTCCGTGTGGTGGCGCAAGGCCCCCTCTGGTCCGGAGGGGGAGCCCCTCGGCCTCTCCGCGTGCTGGCGGCCGGGTTTCTCCATCGATGGGCCCTCCCGCAGGCACGGGTCCCGGGCTCGTGCCCACGCAGGCCTGCGGCTGGGCACCCGCCTGTTTCTTTGAGGTTTGGTTACTGCTGCCCAGACACACTCGCCCGCCGAGCACGGCTTCCTGCCCGGCCTTCACCTCTGGCAGGCGGGGTTGCCGCTCAGGGGCCTGGACCTGTGCCTTTCTTTCTTTGTTGGTGAAGCTCACTCGCTCTTACCTCTTCAGACGTTTCTTCTCTCCCTCTCCCTCCAGTTAGATGTGAGAGTATCTCAGCCTGTACCTCTTAACTTCTCTCTCGTAATTTTACGTTCTCGCGTTCCGGGTCACTTATTCACGCAGCTCTTCCAATCCTCTCATTTTCTTTTCAGCCATGACTACCTGCCTGCCTTACTCATCCAATGACGTGAACAGTTAACTTTACTGAGCTAATTTACAGACCATACAATGTGCTGGTGTTAAGGACGTAGCCCAGGAGTGTTGGGGGGCTTACCCAACCGCACGGTCGCAACCACAGTGGAGCCCGAGGGCCTTTCCACCCGCCTCAGAATCCCCTTTGTGCCGGAGTCAGCCCCTGCCCTTCGCACCCCTGCCCTTCGCACCGCCGCCCCGGACAGCGCCTGCTCCGCCGGCTGCCCCTACGGATGGGGCCTGTCTGCGCCGGCGCCCGAGCGCGCGGGGCCTGCGGGACGTGTCCTCTGCGCTGGCTGCCGGTCGGCGTCGCCACGCTTGAGACTCATCCGTGCCACTGCTGTCTCCCCGTCCGCTCGTTCGCGTTGCCGAGAGCGTTCTTTTGTGTGAGCCCACTTTGATTTGCTTCTGTGTTCTGTTGAGGGATGTCCGCCCGGTTTGCGGTTCGGGTCTGTGCTGAATTCAGTTGTTGGCAACCTTTCTGTGGACGTCCATGTGGCCGTGCACTTTTCTGCTTCAGGTGGACACTTAGTGCAGTGACTGTGCTGCAGGGTGATTGGCAGACTGCTTTCCGGCGCGGGGGTGCGTGCATCGGGGGTTCCGCCAATGCCCTGTGAGCGTTCCGGCCGCTCCCCGTCCTTACCGACACTTTGCGTGTCCATTCCTTGTAATTTTAGCCCCCCGGTGCTTGCGTGTGGTAGCTCGCTACGGCCTTAACTTGCATTTCCCTGGTTACTAATGATGGTGAACACTCTTCTCACGTGCTTTGTGATTTGGGTGCCTCCTTTGGTGAAGCGTCAACTGAAAACCTTCCTTCACCCTCTTTAAAAAAAATAAGGTTACTAGTCTTATGAATCCTTAGGATTTTCTACGTAGGTGATCATGTCCCCTGTGAATCGAGACAGCTTTATGCCCTGCTTTCCAGTATACGTGCCTTTTATTTCTTTTTCTTGCCTTTGTGTCCTGGCTATGACTTCCAGGACAGCACCGGGGAGAAGAGGCTAGAATGGACTTCTTTACCCTGCTCCTGACTTTGGAAGGCTGACCTTGGAAGGCTAGCATATTTATTGCTAGCTGTGGGTTCTTCATATACGATCTCAATCAGGTTGAGGATGTTCTCAACTCCTAACCGTTGAGTGTTTTTTCACATCAAGGGGTGTTAGATTTTGTTAAATGCTTTTTCAACACACTCACGTGTTAGGATTGTGTGACTTTTCTTACTTTTCTTCTTCTTTCTCCGTTAGCCTGTTGATATGATGAATTACACTGATTTCCAAATGTGAAGCCCGCTTTTTACTCCTGTGACAAACCCGCTGCTTTGTCGAGTACCAGTTTTACTTATTGCCTGGTGGGTTTGCTAACGCTTTGTTGAGGATTTACGCATCCTCGTTCGTGAGAGTTTTTGGTCTGTGGTTTCTCTTTCGAGCCATGTTTTTGTCCACTTTTGGTATCAGGGTAATGCTGGTCTCAAACCCTGGGCTGTTATGCTCCACCGGGTTTTAATTTCTGGAGGAGTTTGTATAGTATTGATGTTATTTCCTTCTTAAACATTTGATAGAATTCATCAGTGAAGCCAACTGGGCCTAGAGATCTTTGTGGGAAAGTTTTTAAATTACAACTTCATTTGTTTAGTGCTGAGATTAATTCTTCCAGTATGTAGTTATTTTTGAGAAACACTTATTCTCACTTTTTGACTCCCATCTTTTATATTTTAAACATATACATGGGTACTTCTAATATCTGGTATTCTTGTGGGTCTGAATCTGTTTGATTTTTCTGTAGATTCTCACTGAAGGTAGCTTGTTTCCCCGTCTACTTCGTTGGAAGAGAGCATATTTGCTTGTTCTTGATTTTGGAAGCCTCAGGCCTATATTTAGGATGCTTTGCTTCTGGGAAGATTGCTTCTGCCAGGGACCAGGCTCCTGAGCGAGGGCCACACTGTTCCTTGTCAGGGCCCCAGCATCTCTTAGGGAAGCCCCTGCCTCTGTGGGGTGACTCTCTTACAGTTCTGGTCACAGCTCGTGTGCATCTTTCTAAGTCTGTATATTTCAGGAGCTCAGAGAGGCCACGGCACTGGTATTCTTGATGAGCTCCAGCTGTTCTGAAATACAGGCACTGCTCAGCAGTTACCTAGGTCATTGTGTTCATCTTTTTTTTTTTTTTTCTAAAACTTTTACGTTTTGTTTTTAAATTCCTCTGGAACTAGGTTTTGTACATGGCAAGTCACGGGGTGCCACTGGGCCCCAGTCTAATTACGTCAACTCCCAAGCTGACAGCCCACAGCTATTAGGCATTTCTAATTCACAGCAGCAGCTGAGACCCTTGGGTCCTTGCCAGCACGCTGAGAGCTGTGCATTATCGCTGTTCCTGTTGTGCGCAGAAGGGGCTGACGCTGGCGGGCCGGGGGGCTGTGCTGGGGAGCAGCGTTCAGCCCCCGCCGATCCCCACCAGGCGCCGACATCAGTCACAATGTCAGTTTGTGAAATTGATGCTGTTCTGATGTCTTTTTTGTTCCTCTGCTGTCCTGTCCCCCGTTGCTTTTGCATCTTTCAATGTCAACACCCTTCCACACCCGTGAGAGTAGGGTCTCCAGTTTTCTGTCTGTCTAGGGGGCCCCTGCCCCACGGCGCACAGGAGCTGGCGGCCGAGTGGGGCGTTGGTCAGGCCATAACCGCTGAGGGGCCTGGAGCGTGAACACACTGGAGAGCCCATGCTCTTAACACCGTAGGCAAAATTATAAATGGGGCTCAAAGCTGTTAACTATGAAAGTCACTGCCCTCTTCTGGTGGTGAATCTTCACGATGACCTTGAAGCCAAGATGGAATGGGTGGGCTGGGCCTCCTTGGAGTTCAGTGCTGCAGTGGTGGGGAAGGGGGCAGCCACCTTCCCTTTCCAGAGCAGGTCCATGCTGTGGGGTGCCCCCGCCTGCTCACTGACGCTTGGTCTTCTTTGTAAAGGAAGCCCCTCAGCCAGTCCTTGGGCCTGTGTGTGTGAGGGAGCCCTGGTGGGGGGAGAGGCCCGTGCCCATCTCGGAAGCAGGTTCTGCATACTCAGAAGGTGATCAAGAAGAGCGCACGCGGGCTCGGGGATCCTCACTTCATCAAGGCCCCTGACCTGGGCCTCCAGACAGTGCTTCTGCAGCCGGTCACCATTGGAGGAAACGACGAAGGACGCATGAGATTTTTCTGTATTTATTTTCCTTACAGCTGCTTGCAGATATTTAAAAATAAGAAGTTAACAACACAAATCTCTGGTGCCAGGCCCGTCTCCCGACTCTGCATCGGGCTTGCATTGCTATTTTGTTTGAAGTCCCTGGATGATTCTGGGTGTGGCTGGTCAGATGCACTGGATTCGGGGAACCTCCCACACTGGCAGTTGCTCGTGGCATTGGGAATGCCTGTGGCCTGCGAGCACCTTTAGTTGATGCGCAGCTGTGGCCTGGGCCTTCCTTCCTGGTCCCTTCCCACCCTGCTGCGATCTCTCCCCATTTTCTTCTCTCTTCCCCATCTCTTCTCCCGCATTTTGCAGAAAGGGCTTCTCATAGCAGGACTTTGGTCCTGCGGGGCTCGCGTTGTCAGCTGGCTGCGCGGGAGCCTTTGGGGCTGAGCTGCTCTCTGCCTCGCAGAGGTCGTTGGCTCACCTGCCTCTTGGTTCTTGTGCTGCAGATGCTGACGGAGTTCACTTCGTTTTCCAGCTGACGGTTGTTCCTCTGTCCTCCCAGCTCCTGGTGGAGGACGGAATGGAGGACGGAGGCTTCGCAGAGAGCCCTGGTGCACGGACCGCCTCCGGGCCCCACGGGTCGTCGCCCTCGGCACACAGACACCCGAGCAGAAGGAATGGGCTTGCGAAGCTCTGCCAGAGCAGGATGGCCCTCTCCGGTAATGTCCCCTCTGCGCATCGTGGGCGGCGGAGTTGAAAATGCAGGCGAGGGGGCACTCTGGACTCCGGCCGGGCTCTCTGTTCTTGCAGAGAGGAGGTGCTCAGCGTGCACCGCTGCAGTGCCGGCCGGACTCCCTGCGCCTGCCACGCTGTGATTCTCAGGCCGGAGCCTCTTCTGCAGAGTGTGTGAGCGCCTCACTGGGCTGGGCTGCCTTGCAAGTAAAACACACTTTTGCCCATTGGGTTCAGTAAAGAGTTACCGGCTGCGCTGCAGGCCCCAGGCTTTCCTCCCGGATGCTGACGAGTTCCGCGGGCTTGAGGGCAGCCAGCTTCCCAGCGCCGGACACGTTCCCTGGTGCCGGGCCGAGAGGTCGAGGCGCCTGCTACCCACTCGCTCACTGTTCCCCCACCTCAGCTGGTGCCTCCAGAGCCCGGACATCTCTGAGGGGCTTGTTGTCGGAGGCGGTGCTCCGGGAGACAGTGGTGCGCGCTGCAGCCGGGGTGCCGAGGACACGGGGAGTCTGTTAGGAGGGCGGAAGGGGCTGGAGCTGGAGGAAGGGAGGCGGAGGGGAACAGCCCCGCAGAGGGGGAGGCTTGGAGCCCCGGAAGAGGGCTCACGTGCCCGCCTGGGAGCTCAGGGGGGCCTGTTCGGAGGGAAGCAGAGGCTAGGTCCCCAAGGTGAGGGCTGGGGATCCTGTGGGGAGCGCCGGGCGGGTCGATGAGGCACCCAGGTAGCCGCCCTCGCCCTCGGGAGCGTGGGCTTCAGGAGCATGGGCTGGTGTGTGCATGGGGAGCAGGGGGGAAGCTGGGGTCTCGGCGCCTGCCTCGTGCTGAGAGGGGGTCAGGCTGGGCCGGGGGCGGCCTGGAAGAGGAGGGCCAAGGCTCACGGCCGTGCAGTTTCCCGGCTCAGAGAATGGTCGGGGGCAGCCCATGAACTGAGGAGGGGAAAGGAGGGAAGACTTGTCCTTGCCTGGTGTTTGAGCTGCTCGAAGGATAGAGCTGCCATTTACTAGGATGGGAAAGGGAGAGGCAAGGCAGGGGTGTCAGCGGGGGGCCCGTAGCACATTCCTAGGTGAAGCGTATTGGAAGCCACCAAGGAGTGGCCGGGTGAGAGCTCAGGCAGGTGGAGGGCAAGGGAGCCCTGTCTTGGGCAGAGGTTGAGGTGGTGGGGAGCCGCCCCCTGGCCCAGGGCTGCCGACAGTGGGGGTGGGTGAGCCCTGAAAACCGGCCATGGGGCTGAGCATCTTGGGGACCCCGGCACTTGTTGCCGGGAGCAGGGTTTCTGGAGGGCTTGTGTGTGAAGCTGACCGGTGAATGAGGGGTGGAGGGAGGGGCCAGGACAGCCAGGCAGCTCTTGGATTTGGGAGGCTTTCCAGGAACAAGGGCCAGGCAGTGGCTGGAGGGTCAATAAGGGCAGACACAGGAGGCACCCCTCCGGGGCTGGGTGGGAAGGGGCCTCAGAGTGTGTTCACACAGAAGTGCTGAGCCCGGGCCAGCTTCCCATAAGTGTGACTCTGCGTGGCGGCACAGCCCCCAGGGACTGTCCCACCGAACTCTGGGGATGTTTGAGACGCACACTGGGTACGAACCGGCACGGCAGCTTGATGTGACCCTCGGACCATTTGGCGGGAGCTGAGAACAGAGGCTGCGTGCGGCGCTGTGTTTGAAGAGAGCGCTCCCGGCAGGTCTAAGGCTTCCTTTCCTTCTCTTTCCAGAAAGCAGATGGAGCTCCTACTGCCTGTCGTCGCTGGCTGCCCAGAACATGTGTGCGAGCAGGCTGCACTGCCCGGCGGCCCCGGAGCAGGCAGACGCGGCCGGGCCCCGGGGGGGCGCGTCCTGCTCTTCCCTGCTGCGCGGCTTGTCCCCGGGCCGGCCCACAGCCCTGCTCCCGGCCCCCGTGTGCAACCCGAACAAGGCCGTTTTCACCGTGGACGCCAAGACCACAGAGGTATTTGCTTCAGTTTGTGACACTGCTGGGAGCGTGTGGCCTGTGCCTTCAACCCGTGGCCTCAAACAGAGGCGTTTGTGATAAGTGCAGTCAGACGAGGGTCGGATTTCACCTGTGCAGTCGCAGAAGCCACGTAAATAAGAATCAACCACAACAAACAGTCCTCTCGCCAGGGAGGCCCAGGGGGGTCGAGCGCGTTCTCATGCTGGAGGCAGAGGGGAGGCTGAGGGAGAGGGAGGGATGAGTGCATTCTCGTGCTGGCCGAGGTGGAGGCCGAGGTGGAGGCCGAGGTGGAGGCCGCGGCGGGGACGGGCGCGTTCTCGTGCCGGCTGAGGCGCTGGCCACGAGAGTGAGAGCGCATTCCCAGCGTGCGTGCAGCATGTCTGCAGAGCGCGCAGGTGCACGCAGAGCTGAAATTGTTTGGTGGCAGGAGTGTGGCCTAAGTCCCCACACTTCCACTTAGTCTTGATGACGTGGGGCGCCCGGTCAAGGTGCTGCCATTTCTTGTGTCCCCGTCTGTGGCCAAGGCCCTGGAGGACCCAGGGCATCACTGCTGTGAGCCCACCAGCGCGGGACTCCGTGAGGGGACACTGGACTGTGCTGTGTCTGGGAGTTAGAGGGCCTCCTGGTGATTCTCGTGCCCTCTCCTCTCTGTGACCCCCAGATCCTGGTGGCCAATGACAAGGCTTGCCAGCTCTTGGGGTACAGCAGCCCTGACCTGATCGGCCAGAAGCTCACACAGTTCTTCCTGAAGCCAGATTCTGACGTGGTGAAGGCCCTCAGTGAGGAGCACGTGGAGGCCGATGGCCACGCCGCTGTCGTGTTTGGCACAGTGGTGAGTGCCTGGCGTTCACCCCTGGGGGCCGCTGCAAACACAGCCAGTCGCTGGCCACCACAGCCACTGTCTCCCCCTCAGCGCTGATGTTGGGGACAGCTGGGCTGGCTTGAGGGGCGTACAGCCTGACGGCAGAGGGGGCTGGTCAGCAGTTTGCAGAGCTGCAGAGTGCCAGGTGAATGCTCTGATCTTACGCTCCCCACCCCTAAATCTTCCCACTCCTAAATCTCCAGCTCTGTGTGTCTGTGGTCATTGGCAGGGCTGGCGGGGCTGGAAATGTTTTTCTGGGGCTCTGGTCCACCCTGTGCGGTGCATCGGCCAGGACGTTGACGGGTTGAGCTGCATGCTAGATGCTGAGCCCTCGGCCCTGGGCACCACGGGGAGTAAGATATGGTCCACTGTTCTGAAAAAGCCACCTGTCCGAGACTGACTGTCATGAAGAAATTTATGTGTTCACCACGTATCAATGTTTCCTTAAGAAGTCACGGATGCCATTTCCCCTGCTCTGTTGAATGATGCTGGTGAAAACTCTCCTCTCCCATAGAATGTTTGCTCAGAGACTGTTAGGTTAAATGTCAGAAACCTTGCTTGTACTTTGGTTCATTTCCGAGATGTGGGGCAGGTGAGCAGAGGCGGCACATGCCCACAGGCCTGGGGTCCGGGAGAGCCAGGTGCAAGCCCGTCTGTCCTCACAGGTGGACATCGTGAGCCGCGGCGGGGAGAAGATTCCAGTTTCCGTGTGGATGAAGAAGGTGCAGCGGGAGCGCCTCTGCTGTGTGGTCGTGCTGGAGCCCGTGGAGCGCGTCTCGGCCTGGGTCACTTTCCAGAGTGATGTGAGTGTGCCCGCGGTGTCTCTGCCATGCGTAGCTGCACCCTGGGCCCGGCTCCCGGAGCTGCAGCTCACCTTGGGGCCCGCTGTGTGCCTTCGGGGCAATGGAAGGCTGCCCTGCCACACCCCTCACTGTGCGTACGTGGGCAAGCAGTCCGATCTCCCCGTGCCTCAGTTTCCTCATGTGTAAAACTGGGATGTATTCGGAACCGCTCACAGCATTGCCTTCTCACGGTGTGATGGCTGGCGCCCAGTCCTCGGCCACTAGCTGCGGGCGCGGCGTGTGCTAGTTCCGAGGGCGCCTCGAGAAGTCAGAATGTGGGTTCGCGTGGCAGCAAGAGAGTTTGTGTGCACCTCTCACACTTCTGCCACGGGTGTGGCGCGAACTTAACAGCTTGTGACTTGGTGTTGGGTGGAGTTTGACACTGAAGTGCCAGAAGCTTTTACCCTGAGGCTTAAAAACACTGGTGTTTCCTCCAAGGGCATCGTTACGTCGTGCGACAGTCTCTTCGCTCTCCTGCACGGGTACACGTCCGTGGAGGAGGTGCTCGGGCAGCGCATCGCAGACCTCATCCCTTCTGTGCAGCTCCCACCACCGGGCAGGCTCATCCCACAGGTGGGACCCCCGAGGACCTCAGCCGACCCCATGGAGTCTGTATCTCCAGTGATGGGTGACCATACAGCTCTCAGACCGGAACCATGACCTGGCCGCACAGGCTGGGGCCTGTGCTCCGTGGCCCTGCATTCCACTTGCTGCGTTCTGGGCTCCGAAGCCTGGACCCAGTCAGGGCCTGTGTGGCTCTCTAACTGACCACCCCGTCCCCTTGGTCCTCTCCCTGGGGCTTGGGCTGGCAGGGAGGCCTGGCTGATGGTAGGTGTCCCCTCAAGGCAGGATGCCAGTCAGATCGGGGAGGGCTGGTGGTTTGGGGTCGGGGGGAGGTTCTGATGCCAACCGAATCCCACCAGTTCCCGGGAGCCCTGTTTCCTTTTAGTGTGCAGCCTTCACACCAATGACCTGCGCTACGGCGGGTTCACCTGCTGTCACACCCCAGCGACCTGTAGGATCAGACTGGACTGTTGATTTTTGCATAAAGTCATCTCTGCTGCTGCAAGGAATCAGAGACGCTTTCAGGACACCCGTAGGCACTCACCCGTTCTCTGGCTGGCCTCAGGCCAAGAGCCGAACCCTCTGAGTGGCCATCGGCAATTTTTCAGCTTCCCGGCTCAATTGGAAGCCCCTCCCGCCATCTCTCAGTCCTCATTGTCCCCGTGTCCTTTCCTCTGTCCCCACGCTTGTGGGAACATCCTGTCCTTTCCTCTGTCCCAGGGCCGGAGGGAGTGTCTGTGTCCTTGTCTCTGTCCCAGGGCCATCGGGGGTGTCTGTGTCCTTTCCTCTGTCCCAAGGCCGGTGGGAGTGTCCGTCAGCTCAGACGCTCAAGGAACCCGTGTCAGCACCTATTTGCTCAGCAGACCTCAGGTCCACCCTGGGCACGCATCCGAGAGAAGTGTGCTCCAGAGGCATGTTCGTGATAGCCTCAGACTAGAGCCTCTGACACCCCAGCAGCAAGTGGAGATAGGCTCTGCACCCCTCGTTCCTGGTGGGGCCCCCTGGGGCCTGGCGCCTGGCCTGCAGCCTGACCCTGTTCGGGGCGCGGTGCTGGTGAGGGGAGGTCGCGTGTTGAGGGCCATGCCTATGGCATGGACCCCTTCGGATCTCCTGTCTCCCAGGTGGACTCTCAGAGGGGCAGGTGGAATCGGGTGAGGGGTGGGCACAAAAGCCGGGGCTGGTGTGCCTTCTCGAAACCTAAAAGGGAGCACGCTCTCAAAGCCCCTGGTGAGGCTGCCACCTTGGTCAAGATTTACATGAAACTGGATACATTCCAAGTCTTTAAGGAGGGAGACATGAGGCAAGGATGTGGTTTTGGGGGTGACGGAGGTACTGAGGAGGCAGATGAGGGGTGGCAGCAAGCAAGAAACCACTGCCCCTCAGGCTGGAGGACAGGGGACGGAGTGGGGCTGGGCCGTCTGCAGAGGTGGGACCTGGGGATCCCGGGGGTCCCAGGGGGAGAGCGGGAGGAGCACGCTGGCCCTGCCCCCCAGAGACCAGTCCGGGCCTTGCTTGTGTCTTGGTTGCCCTGGAACATGCTGCCCTCGGGCCTTTCTGGGGTGGGGGCTGCTAGGGTGCAGTGCCTGCGCCCCAGTCACAGCTCTGGTCAGCTCCCGCTTTCCCCGGGCCAAAGGCAGAGTGCGGGGAGGTTGAGGGAGGACTGGTGTGGGGAGTGTGATGCTGGGGGTGCCCCCCAGCATGTGTGGCTGGGTTCACTTCTAAAGCTGCAAAGACTCTAAGCTTGGGCTGCACGGGATGCTGCTGTCAGCTCGGTGGGGGCTGTTTCTTCCAGAATCTCAAGATTCAGAGGTCTGTCGGGAGAGCCAAAGACGGCACCACCTTCCCTCTGAGCTTGAAACTGAAGTCTGAGCCCAGTAGCGAGACGGTGGAAGTCGGCAGGGACGTCCCCGAGCCGGGCTACTCGGCGTCCGTCTGGGTGTTCTCCACCCTCAGCGGCCTCCTCACCCTCCTGCCCGACGGGACCATCTACGGCATCAACCACAACTTTGCCCTGATGCTGTTCGGTTACGGAAAGACGGAGCTCCTGGGCAAGGTGGGCAGCCGGCCTGTGTGCCCCTGTGGGGGGCTGGTCCATTGTCACAGTGAGGACATGTGCTTGTCAGAGGCTTTGTGCCCCCCTGGCTGCCGGGCCGGCCCCCTGGTTGCCGCCGGGGTGTTCCGGGCTCCGTGCGCCAGGAGCCAGGCCCGGTGGGGGTGCCTGTGTTTATCTAGGACTGCCAAGCGCCTGTGTCCGTTACTCTAAACCACTGTAAGCTTGCTGCCCTGAAACATGACAGTCTCGTGTTTAGGTCACAGGCTGGTTCTTTGGGCTGAGGTCAGCAGGATGCTCGTTCTGCTGTTCCACGCGGCATCAGCTGGGGCCGGCTCCTCCCCAGGTGCGCCTGCTCATGGCTCTGGCTGCCGGGGGCCGGGGCTGGTGTAGCGAGTCCCTGTGTGTCGCTTGATGGCTGGGCTCCGAGGGCGGGTGAGTGTCCGGGCAGCCATAGGATGTTCCTGCACGTGGCCCCAGGGTCCTCCTGGTGCTGGAAAGGGGACACGGCCCCTCACTCAGTGGGAGGGGAGCCACGGGGGAGGGAGAGGCTGCTGACTGAGGCATTGAGTTTGACGCCTAGTGGCCCCCATGCCAGTGCGCCCGGCCGGCCTGGCTCTTGGATGCCTGCAGCCTTTTGCGGGGCACCTGTTCACCAAAGGTTGCCACAAATGGAGGGGACATTGTCCCTTCTTATCGTTCTCAGACCCAGCGACAGCATCCAAAAACAGATCCCTCTCTGTTTTCTAACTAGAAATAGTAAGGAGCAGGTAAGCTAAAATTTAGTTAAATGAAGGTAAACTTAGTTGGATTGTAACTAATGAAAATGCAGTCAGTGTGGTTTCTGGACCAAGGGGTTCCCGCGGGAACGTTGAGGGCCCCCTGGCCTTGCAGGGATTGCTCGTGGGGTGGATAGACCTGCCTCTGGGGTTAGGCTGTGTTCCAGATTCACACGGCTGTGAGTAGGGGGCGCACATGGGTTCAGAGAAAACACGTGTCCTCGCAGCTCTGGGGCCTGGGACCCTCATGCTGAGGCCTGGGCCAGCACAGCAGAGGCACCGAGGTCCTTTGTCCTTGTACTGGGCATCCATCACATCCTTCACGTAAGGTGAAGTTTGCACACGCGGCTTTCAGGCCTAAGGAAACCATGGGGCAAAGGCCAGACACCTGCTTGGGCCACGTGGAGGTGTTGGTATGAGTAGCTTCCATTGTTGACTTTGTCTTTTTCATAAGAAAAGGGGGGGAGGGTCGCAAATTCCATGCTGAGTGTCAGAGGGGCTTTGTGGGTCTGCCGAGAGGCATATGACCTGGTATCTTTCCTAACCTTGCCTGGAGACTTGCTCACGTTGCATTCATTCTCTCCCCAGACCAGAAGGTGGGACGGCCCTGCGAGTCAGGGCGCAGCCTCGCTAGGTCTGAAATGTCACGGTTTCTTTTCTAGAATATCACTTTCCTGATTCCCGGTTTCTACGACTACATGGACCTTGCGTCTGATGGTTCCTTACCGCTGCCAGACCTGAACTGCTCGGACGTTGGCAACCGGAGTGAGCCTGGGGGGACCGCTGTGGACCCCCAGGACTGGGACCCGGCCGGTGAGACCAAGGGTCCTCCCAGCTGCACCCGCGGCCGCCCAGCCACACACAGCCCCATGCCTTGGAGGGAGGGGGCGCGGGCGTGTGGGGCCGGACGGAGAGTGTCGGCGAGTGACGGCTGGGTGTGCACAGAGACCCTGTCTGTCGTGGGCCTTCCGGGTTCCCAGGGGATGGGGCGCGGAGTGAGTCTGACAACAGCGGGACCCGGGGGTAGCTGGCTGGCGGTGTTCCACAGCTGGTCTGTGGAGCGTTACGTAGCCTTTGACAGTATTAGCATGGCCTATCACATTAACCGCTAAGTTAAATGGTTCTAGGCACGTTTGCTTGTTACGTTTATCCTCTATTTTAGTTTAGCATTAAGTATTATTTAAGCAAATAGCTCAAGTCCCCACGACGTGAACATCTTAGGTGCCGTGGTATGTGAGGACAAGCTGGGAGCACGGCTCCTGCCCTGACCGGGCTCCTCTCTGGCTTCGAGGCACCGGGAGCGTAGCCTGCAGAGCGTGGGACTGCCCTGCAGCCTCCTCAGTGCTCACCTTTACATTGACAAGGAGCGAGGAGGAGCCACACCCCCGTTCCACCTTGGGGGTGCTCGCAGCCCGCAGGGCCCCGCTCTGCCAGCGCCCGCTCCCTCACTGCCCACCGATGGGCACGCTCCTCATGTCCCCGGGCCTCTGCCGTCCCGTGAGGGGGCTCACCGGAAGTGAAACGAGAGGGCTGCCGGGGAGCAGCAGGCATTAGGCGGCCACGTGTGTCCGGGGCTCTCTGTGGCACTTTTGGAGGGTGGTGTGGCAGTGATGCCGTGTGCACGTGACCAGCTCAGGGCACCTTGGAACACCCTGTCCCCATTCTGCCACCTGTGGCCGGACTTGCTGTCTGAGCGAGGGTTTGACACGGTCGCCGCGGGAGTGGAGGTGGCCACGTGGGAGCATCTCTGTCATTGGGCACTGCTTGGTGCTGTGGGGGCTTCTGCAGCACGTGGCCCGGACCCACGGCTCACGCCCATGTGGGACACATGCCCCCCAGGTCACTTTCCAGGCACTAGAGGTGACCTTGCGGCATTTTGTTCCACAAGGTGCTTTTTGGGGCTGCCGGCTCTCCCGGGGCCCCACCGTTGGCACGTGGGCTTCCTTCCCCGCGTCTGGGCTCTGTCTGTACGGCGGCCTTTCCAGTTTCTTTCTCAGTCACTGCTTCCAAGTCTTCCTCTTTCCCACTGTTCTACTGTCTCTCCTGAGCGTGTATGTCTGATGTGTGATCTTTGTGGATGGTTGGGGGATGGGGATTGCTTCTGTCCCTTCTCTCCATGCCTCCTCCGGATGAACTCTTGGAAGTGGCATTTCTGGGCACATGGGGATGCGTGCTGTTGCCGGCCGCTGTCCGCATGTCCACTGGAGAGCAGGTGCGGGCCCGACCACCTCCACCGCCGGGGGTGAGGGTTCTTTCCAACAGCCCCGATCTAGACTGCCATCTTAAGGGACAGCCCACCTGCTCTGACCTATCTCACCTGCCTTGTGCTCGGCCCTGTGTGGGCAGACAAGCACCCGGCCCGGGAGGCAGTGGGGAGGCTGTGACATACGAGTTTGGGCTGGAGGCATGGGTGACCGGCCTCAGGAGGAAAAGCAAGACCGGGGGAGGAGGCGCCGTCTCAGGGCCCATGAGCCCGGGAGGGACCCTTGGGAAGGTGGCCTTTAGCGAAGCACCGAAGGAGGCAGGCCTCAGGGCTGCGGGGGTCGCAGTACAGACTTGGGCTTTTGCATGGAGTCAGAGCAGAGCCCTCAGGGAGCTCTCAGCGGCCGGAGGGACACGCTTCAGCTCCCGTGGTGGTAGTAGGATCCTGGTGGGGTCCTGCCGGTGGAGACCAGGGCCCGGGACACAGCCGCGGGGAGAGCGGGGGCCGCTGGCCCCAACTGGGCACCTGCAGAGCGGCGAGGGGTGGGTGGTCCGGGACGCGCTACAGACGTGGGCTTGCCGCAGCTTCCGAGGTCAGGTCAGGGCCCCCCTGCCCACGAGTCCTACGGCGGGCACTCGGTCAGCAGGAGGGAAACAGTCCGTCTTGCTCTTCTGCCAGATCCCAGGGTTAACAGCACGCTGGTTGGAGACCACAACCTGGCGCGAGGTGAGACCCTAGAGCCGGAGGGAAGCCGAGAAGCCTGCGCCGGGACCGGGGCCCAAGCAGAGCCTGGAGGCCGCCCCCCTCCTGCCCTCGCGCCTCCGCCTGCTCCGCGGTAAGTGCCTGCAAGAGGGTGGGGGCGCCGACGGCGGGGGCAGGTGGAGGAGCGTGCTGCGGGGAAACAGGTGCCGCGGCAGCCGTGGCGCTGGCTCCTGGCCATTGAGCGCTTGCTCCGCGGCCCGAGTCTGCTGCCGCCATGTCTCCCGCCTTCCCCGGTGTGGTCCCCAGCGTGGGCCCCGGTGGCATCCGTGAGACCCTCGCTCTGGGGGTAAGGTTCCAGGCAGCTGACACAGCAAGATTTCCTCTATTTCGAGAATCGTTTGTACCTGTTCTTTTTTAAGTAACAAAATAGCAAGTCCTTGTTAGAACACGCGGAAAGGTAGAACAGCAGAGATAGAAGCTCATCAGGCATCACCGCTTGGTAGTCGTGGTCCCACGGTGCACAGCGTTTTGGTGTCTTTCAACCAGCTTTCCCCCCGAGGCAGCTGCCGCGCCACGTCCTGGCCCTCGGAGCGGGCGCCTTCCCGGCGCGTCCTCCCGTCCACGTGGGCGCGCGTGCAGCTGCTGTGGCTCCTGTGGCACAGGTCGGGCCACCCCGTGCGCGTCGTCCTGGAGGTGTGCGCGCATTATGTGTGCATCCGAGCCCTTTCCACGTGTCACCTCCCGTGTAGCTCCGTGGTTTTGCTGCTTTCCTGCCGTTTGCTTGGCCTCCCTGGCTTTCTGCTCCTTCCCTGTGGGGTCCACTTTGGGTGGTCTGGGTCTCTGTGCCAGGTTGTGACCCTGAGTGAAGCACCCGGACACACCGGCAGGGGCCCTGCCATGTGCCAGCTGGGGCGGCGGCGCAGAGGGGGAAGGAGGAGAGGAGCCTGTCTGTCCTTAAAGGCTCTCCCAGAAGCCTCCTTATCCCTCCTTGTCACTTCCTCAGTTTGCTGTGGCCAGAATGCAGTGACACGGTCACACCTGGCTACTGGGGTGCTGTGGTGGTGGGATGCGGGGGCAGTGCTGCCCGGGGCTCATTCCACACGCCCACACGGGAGGGTGCCCGCCCTGCCCTGCCCGGGGCTTGGCCCCACATGCCCTCGGAGGGTGCCCGTACTACTTAGAAAGGGGAGTGAGACCCTTCTGCCTCCTCTTGGGACCTTGCAGAGGACGTGGTTTCCTGGGGGACAGCTCACCTGGTCACGGCCTGGGGTGGGTGGATAGAGATAGATATAGGGAGAGACACAGATGATTTTTGCCTGCCTCTGCACACCCTTGCCCCCTGCCCTCAGTTTCCCCAGAAAACTGCAGCTGTTCCCAGAATCCCACTCACAGTTCCTTCCATTGGGGGACCTGCCCTGGTGTTTGCCAGATTGCATTTGCCAGATTGCCGGCACACGTTCCGCAGAGAGGCTGGACACGGCCACGTTCCTGGTGCCGGCGTCAGGCTTCGGCTGCTGACCCCAGACAGGAGCTTGGCATCATCTGTCACGTGGGGCCACAGTGGCCAGGCCAGCCACAGGGCCAGGTCTTCAACTAGGGCCTTTGGCCCTGTGATTGCCCTCTTGCTCTGAGGGGGCCCCTCTGTGGTGGCTTCCATGCTAAGCACGCTCGTGGGCTTGTGTCCCAGCTCTTCCCGCCCCTGTGAGGCCCTTGTGCTGGCGTCTCAGCCCTGTCTCCCGTTGGCTGTGACACCTGATGGCATTTGTAGCCGGTCATAGGTCGACATTGTGCAGGGTACAGAATGCACAAACCTTTTCCTTTCTTCCCGGGAGTCCCCGGGGTACCTGTGGGTGGGCCAAGGCTGGCTGCACAGCTACAGGGAGGCCCGTCACCGTCACCGTGAAGTGAGGATGCCAACTAGAGCCCTGAACGTATAGTTCTGGGTGTTCAGGGTCATCTTTGCTAAATCATTGCTAAATGAGGATTTATCTGGAGAATATTGAGTTGGTTGTAGCTTATGGTGGTAACTGCTTTGTACGTGTGTCTAATAGAGGGAGATCCACGTGATCTTTCCTTTTGGTTCTTCTGTGGCCCGTAAGTAATTACATCATCCACGTTACAATCCTCAGAATGGACAGCATCCCAGAAGGATGCCCACCAGCCCAGGAACGGTCATTGCCTGAGGGCCAGCAGAACATCCCAGAAGGAAGCCCAGCAGCCCTCGGTGAAAGATCATTGTCCAAGGACCAGAAGAACGTCCCAGAAAGAAGCCAGACAGCCCAGGAATACTCATTGCCTGAGGACCAGTGGAACGTCCCAGAAGGATGCCCGCCAGTGCATAGTCAATGGTCCTCACTGGAGGCCCCGCAGAATACGGTCATGGAGGAAGATGAGCGTGCAGCCCCAGAGAGCCTCACATGGGACCTTGAGGGAAGAAGCGTGTCTGGCCCTGGGGACACACGGACGTCTGCTTCACGCGAAGACTCTGAGGCCCCAGCTCCAGCAGAGGGTGGGGGCAGGAGCACTGGGCGGTGCCAGGAGGCGCAGCCAGACTGGACAGGCGTGAGCGGCGCCAGTGGTTCAAACCATCCGGCTGATTCTGTCGTGCCCGCGCCCCCGCCCCGTGCGGCAGGCCAGCCGGTGGGAGAGAGCCTCCTGCCGCACCGCCCCGGTTACGGGGGCGAGCAGAGCGCACAGGCGGGGAGCCCCTCTGGGGCAGCGCCGCCCTCATTCTGGAAGCCCGTGCTGGATGAGCCGTGGGCAGGGGAGAGTGACCGGGAGGAGCTACAGACCTGCCTAATTAAGGAGCAGCTGTCCAAGTGGAGCCTCGTGGGGCCGCCGGGCGTCCCTCATGCAGAGCACCCCCTGTTCTCTGCCCCCGTGTCGCTGTGTGACCCGGCAGCCAGAGGCGTGTGCGGCCGTGAGGGCAGCTCCGCGGCCTACTATGCGCTGGCCACAGACCTCCCCGGCGTCCTGGATGCGGTGCAGGCCCGGGAGGCCGATGGGAATTCATTTTCCTGGAATCTCAAGGAGCTCTTTTTTGGTGAATGGACGGACGGAACGTCCTCGAGCTGTTCTGGCACCCTGTCAGAGCTTGTGGAGACGCCCTCTCCTTCGCTGGCAGGCTCCGACATGGGCGTGCGTGGTGTGCACAGGCACGGGTCCCGGGATCCAGATGACAGAGAGCTGTTGCTCCTGACGGGCACTTACTTGCATCTCGGTGAAGTTCAGCAGTCTCAGGAGAGCCATCTGGGGCCCGGCCTGGCCGAGCCCTCTGAGACCTGCCTGGTGTCCTTAGGACACTGCGGAGTGAGTGGCAGAGACAGCCCAGCCTGTGTCCTTCCCACGCTGGGAGCTGGCCCCGTGGACGCGTCCCCGTCGCAGGGAGCTGGCCCCCTGGACGCGTCCCCGTCGCCGGGAGTTGGCCCCTTGGATGCGTCCCCATCGGAGGAGCCCAGGCTGAGCTTTCGGGTCACCTCCACGCCCGTGAAAGGGGACAGCCCAGCGACGCCCGGGGCCCCCCTACGGCATGAGATCCGGGAGGGCACCTATGTCGGCAGCTGCTACCACCGAGACGGCTCATGGCTGAGTACGTGGCGGGCGGCTGCCACGGGAGCGCAGCACGGCTGGTTGGGGGCCTTCCTTGTCCTGGGGTCTGATGGGGCTACACCCCCTGAATAGTTTTGGCAGAAATGATGCGCCAAATGGCCTGCAGTGAGAGGTTATCTCTTGGAAAGTAGGGGTCGTGCGTGCACGTGCCTGGGAGGGGGGTGGGCTGAGGTCCCTCCCTGGGAGCCGCTCCATGCACCCCGCTGGCCACGACCTCTGTGGTCACCCTGGGCAGCGAGGTGCTCTGTGGGCCCTAGTGCCTGACGTGCTCTGCTCTAAGAGATCATGTTCTCGTCAGGCACCTTCACTAGCCCCTGGGAGTTGATTATCTTTGTTTTACTTTTCTCTTGATTTTCCTGATTTCCTAGCAGATCCACATGATTTTAGCCAGTCACTTCCTTACTGCGGCTTTCATAGTGTTGATTATTAAGGTTCTTTTCCTAACCTTTGAAAAGTCATATGAGTAATATGTGTTATCTGTAGATAAACTAGGAAATACAAACAAACAGAAGATAAAGTCACCTGCAAGTGCCCTCCCCCAAGATGACCCCGTTAGTTTTGGTGTGTTCCTTGGAAGCCGTGTAGAAGTGCATGGACGCATATTCAGGACTCCGTGCGCCTTGTACGCACGTGCCCGTGTGTGGGTGAAGAGTCCTGTGGCCGCAGGAATATCGTAGGCACGTACACGTGCGGTTCCGCTGAGGCCGTTCGTTCACGCTCTTGGCGGCTGTCTCCAGGCTGCCCCCTCGTCCGAGTGTGGGTGCCCCTGCTCGCCCCACGATAGCTGCGTGGTGACCCCCCCTTCCAGGTGTGCAGTTTGAGGTGAGGAGGGTGGCGCTCCAGGGCTCTGCGACCCTGTTTTGCTGCTGGCTTGTCAAAGACCTGCTACACGGCCACCGGGACTCGGCCACGCGGACCCGCCTGCTCCTGGCCAGCCTGCCCAGTTCCAGCCACTCCATGTGTGAGCTTTCTGGAGCCAGCACGGGGGAGGTGGGTGTCTGTGGTCAGCTCCCGCCTTGCACCTGCTGCGTGGTGGGAATTGGTGCCGCCCGGCTTCTCTCTCTCTCTCTCTCTGCTTCCTCTGCAATGGGAGGGAGGTCCAGTTGTGCCTTTTGAGTCCTGTCTTCTAAGATCACGGGTAAGTCATAAGCCGTACATGGATCCTAAGCCCGAGTTTGCCCCGTGTGCTGGGTGGGGTACAAACGTGCTCCGGTGTGTGTGCTCATTTGGGTCGACAGGCAGGGCACATCTCAGGCCACGCACCCTGTGGGCACGGGAGGAGAGGGGACAGAGGATCAGGGGACACGAGCCTGCCAGCTGCTGGTCACCTGTGGCCCCTCGGGCCTCCCGTTTCATTCACAGATGCTCTGGAGCAAGCCCTGGTTCGAGGAGCCCCCGAGGGCTGGGGAGCTGGAGGGGCTGGCGGCCTGCGAGGGCGCGTACTCCCGCAAGTACAGCACGCTGAGCCCGCTGGGCAGCGGGGCCTTCGGCTTCGTGTGGACTGCCGTGGACAGGGAGCAGAATAAGGAGGTACTGGGGCTCCGCGCGGGAGCAGGGGCCCGCTCTGCCGGGTCTGTGGCCTCGGTGCCTTGCCGTGGGGGGAGGCGACCTCCATGTAAAGCGCCGAGCACACAGTCTGGCCTGGAGGGCGCCCGAGGCAGCGCACACGTTCCCCCCTGGACGTCCTGCCCCCCACTTCCGGGGCGCTGTGGGCTGCACACGCGCCCTCCCCCTGGGGGCGGTGTTGGTAGGGGCTTCATTCTCTGGCCTGCACGAGGCAGGTCTCCTTGGTTGGGTCGGGAACCCGACAGACCCAGGGCTTTCTTTGGACCGTTCTGCCTGAGGGAAGAGGAAAGAACCCTTCGAGAGTTCTCTTGGCTTGAAAAGAAGCACATGAGTAGTTTCGCCTTTCAGAACACAGATGCGTCGGCCTAGGTGTTACCAGGTGTTCTGATGACAGAAAGCAGCCAATCAGAAACCAGCCCCGCCAGGGTCAGGTCCCCGTTTGAGCGCAGAGCACCGTTCTGGGGTCTCAGTGTGTGGAGCAGGGTGGGGGAACTGGCATCCTGGAAAAGCGGCTCTTGTGGCCCTGCGGCGCCTCGCCACGTGTCGAGACCACGTGTTTCCTTCGGCCTCGGGCCCTCGCGCCGTGGTTTTCGGGGCACAGGCCTCGTCCTTCTCTGGTTAAATCTGTGTTACTTCTGTGTCCAGTCTCTTCTCTCTTGTGTCGAGCTTTCTTCTGCTGGAATGTGTTACTAAATTCCTAGGAAGGACACTTTGAGTTGTTATGCGTATTCTGATTTTATTTCCCTTACGTTTTAGTGGCGATGCGCCCTCCCCATTTCTCTCCAGACGTGGGAGCCCCACGTCTGCTGGCATCTAGCATTCACTTGAAGAGCAATCTAATGCTTTTCCTTTCTGAGTTTTTTCTTATTAAAAAAATTTTTGTTAAGTTTATTTATTTTGAGAGAGAGAAAAAGAGTGCGTGAGTGAGCGAGACGGGGCAGAGAGAGAGAGGGAGGGAGAATCCCAAGCAGGCTCCATGCTGGGCCTGTCAGCACAGATCCTGATGTGGGGCTTGAACTCAGATCATGACCTGAGCTGAAACCAAGAGTCAGATGCTTAACAGAGACACCCAGGCACCCCTGGAATTTTTTCTTTTAATCTTTGGACTTCAGGCATTTCACCAGGATGTATTTCTGCCTGTGTGTGTGTGTGTGTGTGTGTGTGTGTGTGTATTAAAGCTTTCTTTACCTTAGGGGAATGTATTCTTTTGTTCTGTTAATTCTTTCTTTCCCTTCTTTCTCTCTCTGTATTTTCCCCCGAAGCCCTTCTCAGGCGTGTGTCAGACCCCACGGCAGCAGACTTCCTGCTGGTCTGCTCGGACCCTGTGGGGGTGGGCCACAGCCTCCAAATGGCCCCCCCACGGCCGGCTGCATCCCCAGGTTCCCCCCCCACTGCCCGAGCCCCTGGGCTCCCCTGCACCACTGCCTGCACCCCTGGGCTCTCTGCCGCACCCCTGGACACCCAGGATTTCAGCTGACTTTACCACCCTCTTGCTTTCCCTCACAGTCTCCTCTGGCCTAGGGATCACGGGGCCCTCTCTCCGCATGATCCTTAGGGTCCGACCGCTTGTCACCACTGATGGCAGCACTAAGCCATTGCCTTTTCCTTGCGGTCATGGGAGGGCTGACCGGGTGCTGCACGTACTCCTCACTGCTCCTCCCGGCTCTGCATGCTCCCCTCCCGCTGCCCCTCTGTCAGGCCCCTCTCAGCTGCCACCTCTCGGGGAGCCTCCTAACCCACTTCCCTGCTCGCCTGATGCACCGGGCGGGCCACGGGTTGGCCTTCCCCCTGCAGTGGATGAGCTTGTGAGGCGGGGCTCGTGGGCCATCTTGTGGGGTCTCCTGCCTGCTGCCCCTGTTCCCTCTTTGCCCCTCGGCCACGTGCCCAGCCCTCCCCGGCAGCCAGTGCTCGTCTTCTCCCCGTGACCCTTGCCGTCGTCCTGGGCAGTGACGCTGTTTCTCTTGTGTTTGCGTGTGTACGTCAGGCTTGCCGGGCTCCACTGGGCTCCAGCGGGTGTGAGTGGTGGCCTTTGCCTGTGTTTTCTGTCCTCAGATCTCCTCGCTCATCTCCTGGGTCAGGGCACCCATTCTCAGTTGAGAAATGGGGTTGCCAGGGCTTCTGAGGGGCACGTGCTTGCAAGGTCTCTGGCCCAGGCCGCGACTCCTCAGCTCCCAGGCCCCTCCTTCACACCCCCATGTCCACTGTAAGTGGGCAGGTGTCCTCAGCCCTGCTGGCCAGCTGCTGGCATGCCTCTGTGTTCTCGTGCTGGGCAGGGGTCACTGCCAAGTTCTTCTCTCCCATCCCTGGATTCAGGGGAGGTACGTGTGGAGGTGACCGTCCCCTGCATTGTGAGCCAGCAGCGGGCACTGGGCCTGAGGGGACGCGGAGACACACTGGCGGTCATTTCTCCCCTCTGTCTTCCTCGCAGGTAGTGGTGAAGTTTATTAAGAAGGAGAAGGTGTTGGAGGATTGTTGGATCGAGGATCCCAAACTTGGGAAAGTTACTTTAGAGATTGCAATTCTGTCCAGGGTGGAGCACGCCAACATCATCAAGGTGGAGTGCTGTTTCTCACTCCGCGGCGTCCTGACGTTGCTCGTGTGAAACGCCCTTAAACTTGCCATTTCGAAGGTATCGCAGGCCCAGACCTGGCTGTCTTGTTGCAGGTGGTGGACGTATTTGAAAACCAAGGCTTCTTTCAGCTGGTGATGGAGAAGCACGGCTCCGGCCTGGACCTCTTCGCGTTCATCGACCGCCATCCCAGCCTGGACGAGCCCCTGGCGAGTTACATCTTCCGACAGGTGAGCAGGCTGACGCCGTGCGGGGGAGAGGGCGGGCTTGGGCACGTGGCCCCGGAGCTGCCGACACGCGGCTTCACACACACCTCTCTCGCAAGCTGGGGTCTAGCCTTTAGATTTTAGATTTGATGGAGTAAGATCTGTGTTAAGATATATATTGGAAGCCAGATGCCATCCTGGACTGATCAGGGATGGAAGTTTATTCATATTCATACAGCATCCACACCAATTGCAAAACCTAGCCAACAAAGCTGTCGGATTAAGGTTTGAGGCCTATGCCTCTGATCTGAATCCTCATCTCCCATCAGGAAGTCATTGCCCACCTGTGCAGCAGGGTCATTATAGTGCAGGTGTGGGAAGGCTAGGAGGGTTAGATTAGAGTCTTAGGTGTGTAGCATGGTGTCCCGCACATAGTAAATGCTCGCCAGACGTCAGCTGTCCAGTCAATTAAGGTAATCAGTAAAGATTGAGATTGTAGTATTTGTTTTGGCTTCTTTATGTCTGTTTATGTATCGATCTTGTCCATTTATTATTTTATGGGAATAGGAGAGTGATCGGTGAAATAGAAAGGCATCCCCAACAGAGAGGTTGGGGAGGGGGGTAGAGAGGAGACAGTAGCTCTTGTTTTGATTTTTGAGGAGAAGGTGGTGATTTCATTCTAGACTGCTCCAAGCACCCTGGAAAGAATGGAGAAATAACCTGGGTGGGGGGATAGATATGAACAAGTCCTGGATTTGCTCTCTGATTGTTTCCTGGTGATGACTCGGTTTCTAACGACAGCTTTGATAAATTGACATTTCTTACTCAGAGCCTTAAACTCCCAGAAGCTATTGGATTTTTAAAATTAAGTTTCTCAGGCACCTACTTAGAAGTTTCAGGCATCATGGCTCTGCTCAAGGACCATCCCCTGTCCCTCCTCCTGTGTTGTAAGATTATAAACCTGTCTACCTTAATGCACAGGAAAGATTTGTTTCTGGAATCTTCATGGCAGGCAGTGATATGACAGTAAGAGCCGCTTGTTAATAGCTGGTGTGTCTCAGTCGTTAATTCCAGGGTGAGTAACATGGGTGAATATAGTGTCCTCTACTTTAGAAGTTTGCAAGAGCAAACTTCTATGTATATATGTACCCGTAGATAGTGTCTATATATAGTGTCTATATCCCTTCTGTAAATTTATGTACGTAAGCGCTCCTCCGGAGATGGTCACGGTGTGCGTTGGGGGGGTGAGTGAACGTCTGCTGGGAAGGTTTCTCGGCGCAGAGAGAACTTGGGAATCAGTGTTTGTCTGGTGGGGGCACAGAGAGGGACGTTCGGGGGAGGGCACCAAGCGTCAGCAACGCGAGATGAGTAAGTCCTGCTCTGTAGCTAAGATACTGCAGTGCATGCTCATAAACTTGCTGAGTGAGATCTTGTGTTGAGTGTCCTTACTGCGAATAACAACGATAGTGAAATTTTAAAGAAGAGTTGGGTGCTGGTGCTCCTGCTGGCACGGGGCAGGCGGGCCACTCCGCGCCACCTGCCCGGACCTGCTCTGCAGCCTTCTTTCATGTTGCCAGTGCCCAGACAATAAGCTCTTAGCTTTGTTACTTTCTTCCTAGCTAACCCTCATTTTAAATGCATGTTTTACTTGAATTGCCCTTTTAAAAATTCCCTGGGCCCCCAACTGCAGCTGGTGTCGGCAGTGGGGTACCTGCGCTCCAAGGGCATCATCCACCGGGACATCAAGGACGAGAACATCGTGATCGCGGAGGACTTTACCGTCAAGCTGATCGACTTCGGCTCAGCTGCCTACCTGGAGGAGGACAGGCTCTTCCACACCTTCTGCGGGACGATCGAGTACTGCGCGCCCGAGGTGCTCATGGGAAACCCGTACGTATGCGCTGCGCGGCAGCCCGGCCTTGCGCCTTCCGGCGGGCCCGCCACCCACTGGGGTTCAGGTGGGAGACGGTTTCAGTGGGCGCCTCTTGCTGACGGGGCTGCCGACCGATTATGAGCGTTTGATTGTCTGTGGACGGGCAGGTGACGTACGGGATGCTGGGCGGTGGCTGCACCGACCTGTGGCATCTTCTCAGCTTGCGTGTGCGTCTGGAGTTTTCTATACTTAAAAGGCTAGAAAAGATGAAAGATCAAGATGAGCATTAGGATGAGTGGAAGAGGGTTTCTCTTCCGCTGGGTTTATCCCTTGTGACACAGAATAACAGCGGTCCCGTAAGTACTGTTGCGCGTCAAGCAGCAGGAGGCACTGGTGCGGAGGAGCCACGGGGCCGGGGGCCTGGGGCCAGGCCGGTGGTCACTAAACCCTTCCCCTGTTGTCTGCGTGCACACCCAGAGCCACCAGGCAGGAGGGGTGGGGGGGTGTCCAAGGAGAGCCCTGCAGTTTCTTTGAAGATGCAGTTTGAGCGCCTGGTACCTCCAAGCGTGCTCTTGGCGGCCGTCTTGTCTCGTGGTGGCCGTCAGGTCTTCAGAGTTGGAGGGGGCGCTGCGCGGCCTGTCCGTGGGACCGTGACGTGTGCTCTGTGCTGTGTCCCCCCCACCCCTGCAGCCAGGCTGGGAAGCTCCCGCAGGAAGCGGTGGTGCACCTCGGGCCCCTGGCGACCCCTCTCCTCCTGGAGCCCCGGCCCTGCACCATCCCCCGCCCTCCGCCTCCCCATCTCTCCACAGCAGGCTTTGCTGAGCTCTGATTCTAGATCCCGTCCCCAGGAGCTCTGCTTCCCCCTCGCTCTTCCTGTGTCGTTCCACACCCTTGGCCACACAGGCCACACAGGCCCACCGCTGGGTTTCATACATAAAATTGTACTGGGCACAGCCGTGTGTTGGCGAATGCAGCGTCTGCGGCAGCTTGGGCGCTGCCATGGCAGGGTGTAGTAGTGGTGACAGAGGCCGTGTGGCCCACCAGCCGGAGATGTTTCTATTTGGCCCTTTACAGAAAACGCTCGCTGCCACCTGCCATCCTCTCTTGGGTTTTTCTCTTCACTCCCCAGCATTCCTGAAATCTGACTGTAAAACATCACAAAGTGAAAAGCGTCCAACCTGACTTCCTTGCCCAGCTTGTGCGGTCTCACCCGCACGTCCCCGAGGTCTGTTCTCCCGACCCCTCTCAGCGCCCGGGGCCCCGGCCTCCTGACGTCCCGGACACTCTTACCGCTCACCAGTGTCTCCCAGCTGCGCTGTGTGACTGCGTGGTCTGGTGAGGCTGCTGCTGCCCATCTCTCTTCTCCGGGCCGGACTGTCCCCCGCGCGCCAGGCCTGAGTGACCGCACGGCTCCGGGGCCAGCTCGGCGGTAGCTCCACACCTTCTATGTCATGTGAAGGCACCATTTCTCAGGCCAGCTGTGGGGTTTAGAGTTGGGCCATGTAATGCCTGGCAGAGTGTTGGCATCTCACAGGTGCCCATGAAACATGGCAACAAAGCACTGTCCCAGGCCCTACTCCCCCCCCCGCCCCCCACCTACTGCCCAGCTGCCCAGACCCCTCCCCTTCCCCCTGGTCACTGCTGTCGTCTTGAGCCTTGACCCTCCTCTCGCTCCCGTGTGGCCTAGAGCCTCCACTGTGTTGTGCCTTCTCTCCTCCCCGTCCAGGAAGCCCTCCCAGCTGGAGGTGCTCCCCTCTCACATGCCTCATCCCCTCTCGTTTGGCAGTGGGCATCTCTCAGCTGCCTGAGCATGAAGGTTTGCTCTTCTCTCCCCAGGGCGAGGCTGGAGCTCGAATTGAGGGCATAGTTGAGGAGGGCTGCGGGCCGTGCTGGGGCCCGTGCTCAGGGCTGCACGTGGGGCGGGCCTGTCACTCCGGGTGAGCCTGGGCGGGCCCCAATGTCGCCACCACCTCCTTGCAGGTACAAGGGGCCGGAGCTGGAGATGTGGTCGCTGGGAGTCACACTGTACACGCTGATCTTTGAGGAGAATCCTTTCTGTGAGCTGGAGGAGACCATGGAGGCCGTGATCCGCCCGCCCTACCTGGTGTCAGAAGGTGAGCCTGCACTGCAGGTGCTGCGGAGATGGCTCAGGCCCCCGCCGCGGGCACGCTGCCCCTTCGTCTGCGCCGATGACCTCATTGTTCTTTTTGTTCCTCTAATGCTGATGTGGAGAGAGGGTAACGTGGGCATGACTAAACCCTCATGATAATTTTATGTGCATGAGAATCCCCCTTGGGTCCCGGGGGCCCACTTCTTAGACAGACGCTAGCAGCCTGCAAACTTGGCTGTGGCAGTGACTGTAAGGTCAGCACTTGGGTCAGACACTCGTCACTGGGGGCGACTGCCCAGCAGCTGACGGGAAGCCTGCAGGGTTCTGTCGCACTTCTGGCTCCTGTCGGGGCCATGGGTGGTGGTTTGCATCTGCGGGAAGGACCAGGGGCCTCAGTGGCCTGGAAAGGACTTCCTGTGCCTGGAGTGAGCCCCCTCGGCACCCTGTGTGGAGGGGACCCAGGGGCCGGGTAAGAGTTTCATGGGTGCTGCTGGCCCGTGGGCTCTGGGGTCCCCTCCAGGCTTGGCATCCTGTGATGTGTCAGATCCTCACAAGCAGTGGGCTGACAAGCACGAGCATCTTGTGCACAGAGTCTGTGCTTAGGTTGGAAGCCAGTGTCTTAGCGCCGCCACGAAAACACACCACAGGTTGGGGCTTACCCGACAGACAGACATCTGTTTCTGTCTGGAGGCTGGGAATCCAAGATCAGGGCGGCCGCAGATTCGGTTCCTGATGAGAGAGTGCGCGGTCTTGCTCCGGTGCCTTCTTACATGGGCACTAATTCCGTCACGGGCCCCACCCACCCAGCGTCACATAACCTCCTGCCACCTCCTAACACAGGGGTGGGGAGTGTGGGGCACTCCGTGCCTAACAGTCCAGAGGAGGATCTTCACGAACCACACCTCTTGCAGCGTGCTGTTCCACCCACAGAGCCTGTTCCACGCGCCCTCTCACTAGGTTCTCAGGACACCCCTCTGGGATGGTGAAGCTCAGAGCAGCCCTGGTTGAGGGGACCCCATGTTGTTTTTACAGGAAATGGGACCCAAATCTAGACCCAAGGCTCTGGGCCTTCCCAGAGCCTGTGCTTCCTTCGGGGGTAGGGGTGGACAATGCAGGGCTTGCTCTGTCCACCTCCCTCCCCTCTTGTCACATGAACCCTGTGTCGTTCAAGGCTCTGCACAGCATGAGCCCCAACAACAGGTCGAGCTTAGGAAGCTCCACACATTGGTTAGATGAGCGAGGTGGGACCCAGAACCCCGTGCTTCCATTTCAGAGGGACAAGCGTCTCCTGCAGCCTGCCTGGGGTGTAGCTGGCCCGGGTGCTAGGGCCCCAGCTTGTCAGACATATCAGAGGGGCTCGTGGCAGGCACACCCAGGACCTGCAGTTTTGAGACGTTCTACTTGAGCTCAGCCTGGATCCACCCACATGGCCGGCGTGGGTCTTTCTGTCCCCAGATCTCGTGAACCTCATGTCCGGGCTGCTGCAGCCTATCCCTGAGCAGCGCACCACCTTGGAGAAGCTGGTGACAGACCCCTGGGTGACACAGCCTGTGAACCTTGCTGACTACACCTGGGATGAGGTGTGTCCAGTGAACAAGCCAGGTGAGAGGCACGGCCCATGTGCCAAGAAATGTAAGGAGGTTCCCGGGGCTGCCTTCGCGGGTCTGAGGACGCTCCCTCCTCCATGCTGTCCTGGACACAAATGATTCTGTTCCAGAGGCCCCTGAGCACCCCTGGGGCCTTAGAAGGTGGGTGAGCACCCAGGGGAGCCCCTGACGAGGACGCGCCCACAGAAGGGTTGGGGGCAGAGGGCTGGTGGTGGCCCGAGCCAGCTGAGGGGAGGGCGGGCTGCAGGTGGAGCGAGTGGGCTGCTCTGAGGGGACCCAGGAGCCCTGGCTCTTCAGGTGAGGCCTCTGGCTGCACAGCCGGGCAGTCTGGTCACCACTGCTCGGAGCGGGCAGACCACACTGGCGGCCCTGAGCTTAGAATCTGGGCAGCACCTCGGCAGGGCTGGGACTTGAGCAGCGCCCGGCTGGTTCTGAAGGCCTCTGATGTCTTTTGCTGCTAGGAATTCTATCAGAGAGAAGCAAGCGTCTTAGAATCTTGTGTCTTCTTCTTCCTTCAGAAAGCGGAGGACTGTCGGCGCTGAGTCTGCAGATGGAGAGCAGGTGTGCAAGGGAAGTGGCCCCGGAGTCGCGCTGGGCCTGGTGCCCCGGGGGAGGCCCCTGCTGACCCAGCGCCAGCCCCCTGCTGCTCCCTGTTACTCTCAGGGGACTGAGTTGTTTTCAGGCCTCTTCCATTCGGAGAAAGTAAATTCTCAAGAATCTGGCCCAGTTCACGGTCTAAAAACTCATACGCAAGTTTAAAAAACGCTAGACCAAAAGCCAATGATGCTGTAAGAAATTAGGTTTATAGAGAGACTTGGAATTCACTTTTGTCATGACCGTGGGAACACATTCTAGTGCCGGGTTGAGTTCCGTACTGTTAAAGGGCTTTCATTTGTGAACTTCAGAAAAGGGGCAGAGTTTTTTCGTCTTTCTGCTTTTGTATATACACGTGTTTTGTCTCCTCTGACTGGACAGATGCCAATCGGGTGTGTGTGTGTGCAGAACTGGTTAGCCAACCGACCAGACTATTTCATTAACTTATTTTCTTGAACATTTTCCAAACTAAAGCAATTTTGTAGTAAACAATTATCCTGACTTGGACTGCCTGAACAATGCTGGTGTGGGAAGCCTTTCCTTTCCTTAATTTTATGTTTGTGCACACCCACTTGCCACAGCTGGAGAGGGGCTCAGCCTCTGTCCGTTTGCCGGTGCCTCCTCTGGGTGGGCCCGGAGCCCAGCAGCTTGCTCAGTCCAAGGAGGCTGGATTGGGGGGGGGGGGGGGGGGGGGTGTGTGTGTGCTGCTCAGGCGCTTCCCATCTCCCCTCACAGACTGCAGCCCACCTGGGCCCCGCTGTCCACCCAGATGTCCAGCACTCTCCAGGCAGCCTGCGTCCAGCCCAGGCCCCCCTCGGGCAGGGCATCCAGCCTGACTGTCTACCTCCCATCTGGTTCAGATGCCAGGGGTCTCTCACACCCTCCGATGGCTCCTCCCCACTGGGCTCCGGCCCATCCCGCTCCAGAGCAGGATCAAGATGCTCAAGGAGCACATGAAAAGCAGCGTTCCTTTCGGAGGGCGTGGTTGGGGCTAAGAGGGGAATTTTACGTTCTTTTCTTTGCTAAGATGGCGAGAAGAAGACAAACCTGAGGCTTCCCCACCCCTTTCCCAGCACATCCTCACTTCCTGCCTTGTCCTCTGGAAGATGCTCAGGGGTCACACAGCTCTGGCAAAGCTCTGTGCTCATTTAGGGAGTGCTCAGCTGTCTCCGAGTATCTTGGGACACCCCGATAGCAGTGGCTTGTTCTCCACCATGAAGATATGGGATATTGCATTTCCTTCCTTTACAAGGTGCTGCCTGAGTCCCTGCTGTCACCAGAGGCTGATGGGGAGGGGGACATGGCCTCCTCCATCAGGGACCACAAAAGCATGGTTTTAGGAGTGAAATTTTTTTTAAATTGTGTAATAAAAAGTAATGTTTACTCTTTTGAGTTTGAATGAGTTTCTTGATAATCTAAGAACTCTTTTCCAGAGTGAAAAAGCCCCCACGTTTCTCCTTGTAGTAGACATGATGCTTATGACACATAAGAGGTTACGGAATGTTTTTTTCAGACAAGGCTGCCATGGACCAAGAATGCAAAGTCCCAGCTCTCCAAGGGCTGTTATTCTGAGAAAAAATAAAACTCCTGGACGGCAGGCGCAGGCCCGGCGCCTTGAGTGCTCTCTGCAGAGCGGCCGCGGCGCAGGTCTTCCCGTTTCCGGGGCGACGCCAGACTGACATTTTCAGGACTGAGGACGCCGTTGGCTTCTTAGAGCGAGGCCCGCATCTCAGCCAAACCTCGGGCTGGGGACAGTTGAGTATTTTTGCTAGAAAAGTAAAAAAAAAAAAAAACAAAAAAACAAGAAACAACCAATGCTTTGGTTCCACAGATTACAGCCTTCTCTCTGGCAGCGTCCTCGCGTCACGGCCGTAGCGGCGCCCAGCCCAGCGCCGGGCCCGGGCGGGCGCTCCAGGCCCTTGGCAGGCCAGAGGCCGGCGCCGGATAAAGTGAGAGGAAACGCTTACTTCGTACAAGCGAAGGTTCGGGGCTCGGGAGAGAGGAGGACGTCGCCAAAGACGCCGGGGCGCCGGGCCCGGAACCGCCGCGGCGGAACCCGCCTCCCGCGCGCCCGCGCTTGCCAGGGGTAGGGCGGAAGCGCGGACCCGCGAGGCCGGAAGGGCGGGCTCGCGAGGGCCGGCTTCCGGCGCCAGGGACGTCGCCGCCGCCTCCGCGCTATGGCGGCGCACGGCCGGCGGGTGAGGTGCCGGGAGGGTCGCGCGGCGGGATCCCGGGCCGAGCCAGGCCGAGGGGGAGGCCGGGCGGCGACGGCAGAGGACGCCCGCGAGCGCTGCGCGGCGGGGCGGGGCGGGTGCTGCGTGCGCGGGCGGCGGCGCCGGGCCGAGGTGTGGGCACGTGGGCGTCAGGCCGGTTCTGTGGAACAGGGTTGTTTCTGCGGGGTGGACTCAGCTCCGTGAATCTGCGCACCAGTGTGAGGTCCACACGGGACCCCCGCGGGTGGCACGAACGTCGTTTTCAACTCTTGCGTTTAGGATACAGCAGCTACCGAAGGGGCTTCTCGGAGGTTCCCTTACCTCACGGATAAAGCAGGCTTCATGATGTCTTCTCCTGGGTAGCTTTATGGCCAAGAAGAAAAAGAGAAGGGAGACCACTTACATCTGCATAAACATTGTCACAAACTCGCTTATCCCCCATTTGTTCTTTCATAGAAGCCCCCGCCCCTTAAGTTAGCCCCTCACTTCACCATATAGGGAGCTACCCCTTCTGTGAGCGGCCCCACGCATATGAATAAACTTTGGTTTTTATCTTCCTGTTCACCTGTTTTCTGTTAAATTTTGCAGCCCCCAAGCACGGGTAGAGCCAAAGTACCCCACAGACCCCCAGGCCCTGGGGCCCTGGTTCTAGCTCTGTTCCGCCCTGCCCTGCCCTCAGTTACAGCAGCGAAGGACGCGGAGACTTGCTTGGCTCTCCGACCTCTGTGCCCTTGCAGCGTATGTGAACTTTACTGTATGTGAACTTCCTTCTCTGCAGGCTTGAGTTCAGATACGATCGTGCAGATTGCTTACAAAGGCCACTGCGCTTATGTGGGACCATGGTCCTAAATAACCTGGCTCGGGAGCGCCGTGGTGTCTGTTACATGGGCGTGGGGAGGAGCTTACTCTCTGTTGGTGCTCTGTCTCGTAGGTCTCTGACTGGCACCGCCTGATCCCCCTCGCCTGGGCCCACGTTGCCAGGCGGACTCCTCTCCGAGAACAGAAGAGGACATGTGCATCTTTGTTGTGTCAGCTGGCCACAGCCTCCAAAGGCGGGAGCCTCCGGAAGGTATCCTGTGTGGAGCCCAGAAAGTATGTGCGGGAATCAGAGTGCAGGGCAAATGTCACCCGGTACCGTCTTGAGCAGAGGACTCCTGTGGCTCGAGGAGTCTTGGAGCGAGAGAAGGTCATCAGTGCCCTCCTGGACATGGGTTTCAGTGACATCCACGTTAACGAATTGCTCAGTATGTGGCCAAGTGTGCCTACTCAACAGGTGCTGGACTTCATTTCTGAATTAATACTCTTGGGTTTGAACCCAGAGCCTGTGTATGTGGCCGTGAAGAAAAGCCCCGAGCTGTTGAAACTGCCTATGATGCACGTGAGGAAGCGCTCCAGTTACCTGCGCAAGCTCGGGCTTGGCGAAGGTACAAGTGCTGATTTCACTACGACGCTGGGGACTTGGGGTTGGGGGACCAGAAGCCCAGATGGGTTGGACTAGGGGGGCTCCTGGGGAAAGTCCTTGAGAATAACGTGCGATTCGGTTTGGGGGTAAGAAAGAGGAGTGACTGCGGATGGCACTGCAGGAGGGAGGGGGAGACAGGCCGGGACTCTCGTCTGATGTGCTCGCTGTGGGGCCTCTAGCACCTAGCATGGGGCAGTGAGTGCGTAGTATGTGCAGCAGATGGATGTCAGTATGCAATGCTGACACATGTGCATGTGCGTCACCTGGGTGTCTGACTTGGAGTGATCTCAGGGCTTTGTGTCTGTACGACGTAGAACCCTAGGCTTAGAGTCCTTTGCGAAGATGTGCATTCCAGCGAGGCGCCTTGATTTGCTGTAGAACACGAGATCTTCCCAGACTCCCAGGAAGCTGAGGACTGACTCTTCCCTCCACCCTGTCCCCTGCCCCCACCCCTGCCCCCAACAGGATTCACCCCGAAAGGATTCTAGAATTCCTTTTTCTTTTCTTTTTTTTTTTTTTTTTTTTGATGCTTATTTATTTTAGAGAGAGAGATAGACAGACAGAGTACAAGTGGGGGAGGTGCAGAGGGAGAGGGAGACACAGAATCCGAAGCAGGCTCCAGGCTCTGAGCTGTCAGCACAAACCCTGTCGCAGGGGTCAAAGTCACAGACCTCGAAACCATGACCTGAGCTGAAGTTGGACACTTAACTGACTGAGCCCAAGGATACTAGAATTTCACTGGATCTCTTTATGGGCCTTCAGGAGAAGGGGGCTGGGGGCCCATGAGCTTCTCCAAGGATCCTTACCTGCTTTGACCAGAGGAGGGTCACTATTCTTTTTTTCATTCTTGACTCTTACTGGTAAGATATTGTTGAAGGGGAGAAAAGGCTTAGGGAACTACTATTTCAGAGGGTCTCTATGGACCTCCTTCAGAAGATCAGGAAAAAGATAAGCTTCTGTTTCTCTTAATGGATCACCTGTTGCCATATAACGTAAAGGACTAAAGTTAACACTTTAAATGTTATGATTATAAGTCACAAAGCTCAGAGGCGCCTAGGCGACTCAGCAGTTAAGTGTCCACCTTTGGCTCAGGTCATGATCTTGCGGTTCGTGAGTTTGAGCCCCATGTCAGGCTCTGTGCTGACAACTTGGAACCTGCTTGAGATTCTCTGTCTCTTCCTCTCTGGCCCTCCCCCGCTTTCTCTTTTTCTCTCTCTGTCTCCCAAAATAAAAATAAACTTTAAATATTACAAAAAAAAAAAAAAAAGATTTTCTTCCTTGCCATCTACCCCTCCCTGTTCTTCCCCCCCTCCCCGAAAAAAGACCATACACCCCAGTTTGCCTCAGGTAATCTCAGTTACCCTAATGCATTTGTTAATAGAGTCTCTTTCACTCAGAATTGCCCTAATTTTGATAAAATATATGGTCACTCCACTAATTAGGACACAGTGCTTGTGGCTTCGTATCATGAGTATTCTTGTTATTACGTGAATTAGTACGGAACTCCTTTTTTTTTTTAAATTTTTTAATGTTTTTATTTATTTCTAGGAGAGAGAGAGAGAGACAGCGTGAGCAGGGGAGGGTCAGAGAGAGAGGGAGTCACAGACTGAAACAGGCTCCAGGCTCTGAGCTGGCAGTCAGCACAGACCCGACGTGGGGCCCGAACCCACAAACCGTGAGATCATGACCTAAGCGAAAGTCGGATGCTTAACCGACTAAGCCATCCAGGCGCCCCCAGTACGGAACTCCTTTTCGTTGAGTTCAGCTGAGTCCAGATCCTAGGAATGTTGGTGTCAGTGCTTCTGTTTTATCACGGAAGGAACATCAAGCCCAAGCCCCAGTGCGGGGGAGACTACTGTCTCATCTTACTGCCTAATCTTTCCAGTAAATCCCCTGTGAGATTCCTTTTTTTTTTTTTTTTTAAATTTTGGAGAGTGAGCGTGCATGAGCAGGTGAGGGGCAGAGGGAGAGAACCATGCTAAGTGTGGAGCCCGATGTGGGGTTCTATCTCATGGCATCATGACTGGAGCCAAAATCACGAGTCAGATAGTCAGCTGAGCCACCAGGTGCACTTCCCCTCACCGCCGCCCCCCCCCCCCACCCCCCCCCATGAACTTCTTCAGAGGAAGAGGGCGGGAGGAGGCCTCTGAGAAGATGAGATTGGCAGCTTTCAGCCGCGAGGCCTGCAGGAGGCCTCCTCTTTCCGTGGGGGGTGGGGGAGGTGGGGGAGGTGGGTGAGTCTCAGCAGTGAGAGAGCCCATGAGGAGATGTCCTTCTGGCCCCTCACACTTCGTGGCGCCCCTGGGCAGCCTTCGGAAGCTGTCACTCGCGGAAGAGAGCACCCTTGCCCAGGTTTTAAATGCTGGCCTGGGTGTAGTAAGCCCTTAGTGTTCTGGAATATCCTGAAATTATGCACTTGCCCTTTTTTATGTTCCGCAGGGAAACTCAAGACAGTGCTTCTCTGTTGCCCGGAAATCTTCACCATGCCCCAGAGGGACATCGACGGCATTGTTGGGGTTCTCAGGGAGAAGTGTCTTTTCACAGTACAGCAGGTGACCAGGATTTTGCACAGATGCCCCTATGTTCTTCAGGAGGACCCCGGTGAACTGGAGTACAAATTCCAGGTGAGGATGGGTGGGAGGGGGTTCGGGAAGGAACAGCACGTGCTTCGGCTGTGGGGAGGGTCAGCGGACACGGCGAAGGGCTTAGGCCAGAGCCGTAGTACCTGTTCTGCATGTTGATTTCCGAAGTGTAACTGTGACAGTTGTCCTAAGTTTTGGGTAACAATTATGACAATTTAGGTCAAATCGCTAGATGTTTTCTGAATTTTTTGCCTGTTCCTTCCGTACTCACGGTTATTTCCCCGAAAGAAACAGAACTGAGTGCATCTCTCCTATCCCTTTATTTTCTGCTAAATTTTTCTCAATATGAACTTGAACATGTTTTGAAAACTCAGCTATCACACAGTCGCTGGGCGACATGGGGTGTCCTTCACTGGTAGTTGGGTGGCTCTCTGTGAGTGCGCTTGGACAGCTTGAGGCGACCCTGGGCCGGTCGTAGGTCACTGTGGGCCTCCTAATGGTGTCTGTGTCTCCAGTATGCCTATTTCAGGATGGGGGTCAAGCATGCGGACGTGGTGAGGACCGACTTCCTGCGGTACTCCGTCACCAGGATCCAGCAGAGACATGTATTCCTTGAGCGCCTGGGACGGTACCAAACCCCTGATAAGAAGGGCCAGACCCGGGTCCCCAATCCTTTGCTCAAGGACATCCTCAGAGTGTCAGAAGCTGAGTTTCTGGCCAGGACGGCCTATTCCTCTGCTGCAGAATTTGACGTTTTTAAGAAGCTCTTCGCTCGGGAGGAGGAAGAGAAGACCGAGAGCCCCATTTCTGACAGTGAGAGGCTGAGTGTGGACGAGGAAGAGGAGGATGAAGAGGAGGGGGAGGAGGAGTGACGGAAGTCAGGAGTGAAGAGCCCGCACACACCCGAGAGTGTTTTAATTCTCTCAGAGCTTCTGAGAGCTTCACTTGGATCTTCCCAGGTTATTTTTCCTGCTAAAACTGGTCTTCTGGTGAAAACATTATTCTAAATCACCTGAGAAGCAGGTCAGACTAAGGAGGGGCTACGTTAGTGTGATCTGTGGCCGGGTCTCTGTGGGGAGGGCCTCTTCCGACCGGCATGAGCCTTCCTCTGAGCTGTTACACTCAGGGGGCCTCAGGACCTCGACATTGGGTTTGGTTTTCTGTGTTGTATGTGCAGGTGATGATTCCATGACTATGGGGGGGGCCCTCCCTGTGGTTCGAGTCCTTGTACGTTTCCCTCTAGTGATAAGCGTACAATCAGGAGCAGGCAGTGAGGCCTCTGTACATCACAGCACTTTATTCTATGGAAACAAGCAGCAGGTTTCCCACAGAAACACTCGGGTTTGAGTCCACAGTTACTGCTCCCGAACTGTGCTCAGCGCCCAGCACTGGAAAGGGGGTTGTTGGTGAGGTGTGGTTTCATCTTGCACGGCTTCTCAGTGCCGGCGGAGGGTTGGGGGGCGGCTCCCTGTGTGTGAGGCCGGGGTCCTGGCTCTCACCTCTCAGGGGAGCATGCGTGGCGGCTCACGGCCGGTGGGCCACATCCTGGCCTGAAGGCTCTGGCGGCCACAGGGTGCTGCCCCTGGAATGTGCCAGAACAGGAAGGGGCTGGGTGGTCCGACCCGTCACCTCCCCATCGCCCATTTTGCGGAAGTGGCTCCTGAGCCCAGCGGAGAAGAGGACGCGCACAGGGTCTTTGGTGGGGCAGGACCTGGTTTCCTCCAGGGAGCCCCTCGGGGAACCCGGTGAGCCTCAGGGGTGATTTGGGGAGCAGATGTGATAGGAGTCATCTCTGAGGTAGAGGCCTGGCCCTGACGGCCTGGGCTCCATGGGGAGGGCCGGTGCATCTCAGAACGTCCTGGGCGTTCCTGCCTTGGGGGGAACCTGCACAGGGCTGGTGACCCAGAGATGTTTTTGGTGATGCGACTAAAATCCGGGTCTTGGCAGCATTTTAACAACTGTGTAAAATTTTGGTGCTTGGCTGTATTTTTCCAGCAGAGACTGCGTAGGGATCCTGGTGGGTAGCGGTTTCCACCTGGGGCGATCTGGACCCCAGGGAACGTCTGGCAACATCTGAGAATGTTTTCGGTTGTGAGGACAAAGAGAGGGTGCTGTTGGGATCTCATGGGTGGAGACGAGAGCTGTTAAACATCCCGCGGGGCCCGGACGGCCTCACCGCGGAGCCATCCAGCCAGGTTGTCAGTGGGGCTGAGGCCGGGGAGCTGCTCTGACGCCTGGTCCGGGGGGTTGGGAGCAGGCTTATGCTTCGTATTTCCTTTATTTAAAACAACAGTCAGTAGCCGTGTGTTTGCGTTCTGTCCCCCATGCACTGGAATGTTCTTATAGGTCTGAGCCATGTTTGCTATGGGGACTCAGCACCGAGGCCCAGGCGCTTCTGTTTTCTCCAGGCTCGTGTGGGAGCCTGACTGCAAAGAGACATCCTCTGGGAAGGAAGGTAGCCCAGTGAGTCCCTGTGCGGCTTTGGAGGCCAGTGTCACGGTAGTGGCTGGCCGCGGGAGCGTTCCCACGAAGGGAGGTGCGCGGGAGGTGGCTGGCCCTGACCGGGGCGGGGCCGGGCTATGCGGGAGGGAGGGCAGCGGGCGGGCGGGGCTGGCCTCTGCGCAGCTCCTGCAGCAGGAGAAGGAAGGTTTTGTCTTCACTGGGGTTCTTAGCCGTGGGCAAGATTGTTTGAAAACGAAAGCATTTCACTCTGCCAGTGTATTCGCTCACTCTTCGGTTTGTGGCGTCCGAGTGACCGGCACTTTCCCTGGAGCCTCAGATGGGCTGTGGTGCCCAGCCGGGCGACTAAGTAGCATTATAAATTTCTGTGACTGGAATGGCTAACCTAGCAATTCACGACTACTCCTTTCATTTTGATGCAGAAATAAATTTCTGTGTACCTGACAGTTTTCTGATTTGCATTATTACTGATTTCTTCGAGTGTGCATTCAAGGAAGATGCTAGAGTTTTACAAAGGGACTATATGAAGAAGCAGTGTCTCATGTAGAACGTTTCCTGGATGAGTTGTGACTCCTTTGGCGTCAGGAGGTGTTTTTACTAGATTCCTAATTTGTAAAACATCAAGATGAGTTAATCATAAGATAGCACAGCACCAAGCTCAGGATTCAGTAGACTGTTTCTTGTAGAAACAAAGGTTTCTGAGTTAAAAACCAAAACATGCTAGTGTCCACCTTGTGGCGGAAGGGCTTGAGGTTATTAGCATAGCAGTAGAAATTTCCATCTACTTTTCCAGTGATCTCACTTGATCTTGCCACTTGCTGGTGATGCTGTAGCTTTACACAGACGCAGCGACAGGCCCCAGCAACGCGGCAGAAGTCAGCAAGCAGTACACGTGTCTGTCCGCGGTTTCCTCTCCACTCACCCGGTGCCAGAGCCCTTGGCTGAGCTCGGCCGTCTTCTCCAGGTGGGCTTGGGCCACTGGGGATGCTCTTGAAATGACTGTCCCTCCTTTCTGAAAAGAACAAATTGCATACTACACAGACATATGCACACAAAATTTTAATAAAAACAAAAAGCCTAAAATATACTCTCTTCAAAAAATGTGTTTAGAAAAGGTGACAGGAAGGAGCCCTCTCTGTGGCTGGAATGCTGACTTGGGGCCGCGTCCGTGGGAGACGCCCAGAGGCTCGAGTTCAGATCGGGTCAGCTCTTAAAATGCTGCACGTGTCTCGAGGTGGGTTGGCGTGCTTTTGGCCTCCGCGGGGGGAAGACCTCTGGGAGAAGACGCTGGAAGCACGTGTGGTGAGGCCGCACGGCCTCCTTGCAGCCTGTGTGAACAGCAGTGCAAGCAGTGTCGTCGTCGAGTCAGGGACTGAGTGTCTCGCGCGGTGGGGCCCGGCCTGCCCTGCTTGTCCGTCCGGTTGCACCGACCCCGCCAGGAGGAAGCAGCCCCTGCTGCGCACCTGCCACGTCGGCTCGGAAGCCGGGAGCGGGAGCTCTGGGTGATTCGTCATCTGGTTCACGGCTTTCTCTGTGCGAGGCTGGGGCCTGGGTGACCTGAGAGAGCGGGGCTTAGCCAGGCGGGTGGGTGAGGTCTTCCTGGGACTCGGCCACACCGTCTGGTCACACGGCTGTGGCTACGCTGCTGTGACCAAGACGTTGCCACGGAGACCGTCTGGTCCTTGAAGCCAAAAGTAGTCGCTGTTTGAGGAAGAGTCGGAGGCTGCGAGTGTGTAAACCCCATCTCCGTAGCAACTAACGCTTTATCTTTCCAGTCTGCCGGTCCGGGTGGTCGGTTGCGCCTGTGGCAGACGAGGGTAGTGACGCGCGGAGGAGGGCCAGACGGGCGCCTGGCTCGCGGCTTCCCTCCCCGTATCACGTCCTCGCGGCCCCCTTCCCGGCGGGGGCTCGAGAGCGGCTGTCCTCATTGTGACTGTGAGGTCTCCGGGGCGAGAACTGGCCCCCCGACCTCAGAGTCCCAGAGCTGGTTTCCGGATATCGTGGGAGTGTTCCTGGCGGCCGCCCGGCTCCTCCAGGCCAACGCCCGGGCTGTCCCCGTAGGAAACTGCAGCCAGGCTTACGGCATGGGCTGCTGGAAGCATTGTGGGGCCTGGAGGCGACTCAGCTCAAGAGGGTGTCCCTGGTGTGGCCTGGCTGGCCTGGCCGTCTGTCTCTAAGGGGCGGGGGCGGGGGAGGGAAGCCGCAGAGGGGACCGGTGCTAGCCAGGACCTGGTGTCCCAGGCGCCTGTCTCAGTCCGACTGTGGCCCCATCTTCCTGGGCTTGGGAAGCTCCCGAGGTTGATGGAGTGTAACAAGGACATCCTGAATCCTTCGAAGGAAAGAGAGAACGGGGCGTGAGGAGAGTGATACCCATTCCTCCTCGTTGAAGTGCAGCTTCATGCTCCCTTAACAGTGCTCGGTCTCCACCCCAAGACGACCCGGTGTTCTTGTCACATAGCGAGCTGAGCGCTCTAACACGCAGCGGGCGGGAGGGCAGGTGTGCCGAGGAGCTGTGACTGCATGAGCCCGTGGTAGGGACCTTTGGGCGGCACTGCGGGCTGCTTCCCTTCTGTTAGGTGATGCCCTTGGACCTTCTCCAAAGAGACAGGCTGTGCCTTGTTGCTCTGGGTTGGAATGAACTCCTGTTCATTGGTGATTTCTCCGTTGTTTCACGAATGGGTGTTCTACAAGCTAGTATTTGCCAACCTGGGGATTAGCTGAGGGTTTCTGATTTGTTCTTACGCTAGTGGATTTGTTGAGTTTTAAAGAAATGTATTATTCTTTTGGGTGACTTACTGTGATAACAAAGATTTTGAGCCCAACTATACTTGCGGGTTCTTAGTCCTGGTAGCGAATCGCTTGTGAGCCGTGGGGCATGTTTGCATGAAGTGGGAGGGGAAGCGATGCCTTTGAGGAGATGAGCTAAATGCAGATGCTTTTCGAGAAGTCTGACCCGGCCCCCCCCAGCTCTCCCGCTTGGCTGGGGTGGGCGCGCTTCCTGCGGTGGCACCTGCCCCCCACGCTCCTCGCTTCTGCTTGTTTGTAAAGATTCTGAAAACATTTCTCCTTCTCCTCCTCAGCCCATAAGATCATGTAGCCTGTGTGGAAGCTGCTTTTTCCCAGGGGGCCTCACTCTCCTCTCAACACCAGGAGGATGGCCTTAGAGTCTCATTTATGGAGCAGGAGGGGTCAGCTGCCCCGGGGGGTGGGGGTGGCGGATTCCTCCTCATTCCCCGTGAAGCTCAGTGTAAGACTGATTCCGGGCTGTAGATGAGTCTCCGGGGTACAACCCGGTATGGCTCCAACTGTTATGAAGACTTTGACAGAGTTTATGGATGGGGGGCTGCCAGGGGAGTTTGGGAAATTCCAGATCAAACAGGAATAGAGCTAGGGAGTTTCTTTCATTCCAGGATTCTGAATGCTTAGGATTCCTGCATCCATTGGGAATTCCCCAGTGAGAGAGTTGTCAGGACTTCCCCAAAGGGACATGATCAAGGCCCCTCGCCCCATCTTTTCTTTCAACAGATTGGCATTCACAGAGCCTGGGAGTCCTCCCTTGAACCCCTGCGCCCCTGGATCTGGGCCTCCCCGGGCCCCTCCGACCACCCTCCCCTCCCAGCTCCCCCCCCCGCCCCCCCCAGCAGCCCCTGTCAGTCCTACCCCCTGCTGTTGCTGCTGATGCGGGGGTGGGGGTGGGGGATGGGAGGGGTTTCTCCATTTGCCTGAGGTGGAGGGAGAGTCGTCCTCACCTCCAGTGCATCTGCCCCAGGCTTATGTCTATTCGGAGGCCTCGGCCATTGTTTTTTCTCTCCCCTTGTAACCCCCGCAGGGAATTCTGAATCCCCTGGTCTGGGGGTTTGTCATAGAGAGGCTACAGCTGAGCCCCAAGGAGAGGCAGCTGTCCTGGAGCCCACCTGCTGGGCCAGCCCCTCTGACCTTCCAGTGGCTCCGCCCGCTGCGGGAAGAACGTACCTGTACCTAAGATTTCTTCAGTGCCGGACTGTTACTTTGCTTCCTGAAATAGAAAAAGGTGGTTTACAAAAAAAACCCCTGTGTACCTGTAGCCCAGGCTGCCTGCTGGGGTCCCTTCTTTGGTGCACATATATTCCATTTTGGGGAACACCGTTAGTGGGGCACTCATGTGGACCCACTTTAGCCTCTGTGCACCCACTTGGCCGGCTGGGAGTCACGGGGAGTGCAAGGTGGAAGAGACAGGTGCATACCTTGGTCAAGCAGGTGTCGAATTGCACACTGCTGCCTTTCCCTGACACTCGGTAATGCGAAAGCTAGGGTGTGTGGTTACTGACTGGTCTATGCAGAGTGACCAGCGTGAGGACTCTGCTGTTTGAAAGGCATATAATGTACTCAGGCAGTACATTATGTAATAATTCCTGTGACTCCCTTGGGCCTTTTGGGGAAAGAACCTGGCTGTGAATAAATAAAAAGTAGAGATTTACTGTATTTGCAGTTACATATTTGCACCTGTCAGTGATGTCCCCTGCTTCCCAATTCACCGTGCGACCAGGTACTGTGTGAACATGCATAACCAGAGACCCTCTAAGCACCCAGCTTGTGGCCCCCAGCTCCCCCTGTGTGATCTCCCCCAGCACCCACCGTGCCCGGCTCGGCCAGTCTGTGTGTGTGCGGATGCACTCGAAGGTGCACACGGTTTCTAAGTGGAGCGTCTATATAGGGCTGCACGTTTGGACACGCAGACAACACAGCCTGGCTCAGCCCACAGGACCGTGGCACCCCACAGCACAGTCCCCAGGGCCACCCTTGCCCTGTTACCCTGTGAGCTATGCGCAGGACACCGTGTGGGCCTCCTCCCTGAGGTGGCACCTGTTTGGGGTTTTCTTGACGCTCGTGCTTTCACAGCTCTCTTTGAAGCAAATGTCCTGGTGCACCTTGTAGACTCGTTTATACCTGTGTCATGAGAAAGTTCCGTGAAGCCAGAAACTAGAGCAGGATGTTGCTCAGCTGCCTCAGCGAGGCTTCACGGGCCCACAGTGGCCGTGCGGGTATCGGAGGGACAGGCCGTTACTTTCTAAGTAGAACTTTATCTCACATGGACAGCATAAAATGTCCAGCATAAAAGTCATATAATTAAAAAAAATTAACTTCCCTGAGGCATAATTTACATAAGACACACCCATTTTAAACATACATTTTGGGAAATGTGGGCAAAATCATGATATTAAGAGATGAGGTGAGAAACTTCAAGGACATGTTTTGCTGAAGCCTTGAGACAGTATGGCCTCACTTTTCTGTCTTCGGGGTAGTTCTTGGAGAAGTTTGAGAGCCTTGAAGATGCAGCTGTTCGATGTGGGCAGTGTAGACTCTACCTACCTCCTGTTTATTAACTAGTCTACTTGGAGTGTGTGTTTGGAACTTAGGCCTCAGTTTTGTGTGAAATGGGAATTATTTGTATTACCTCTCACAGATTTGTAGATGATAATGAACAGGAAAGTGTTTTTATTCTTGTTAAAGCTCTCAAATGTCAGAGCTGTTGGAAAGAGATCCAGGGAGTTTGATGGGCAGACCTCCAACTCATGTTCAGTCTAGGAGAGCCTTTGGGATGTAAAGCCTTTGGTTAAGACTTATACTTTTGGCCATCAGGGAGTAACAGACTCTAGAATTAACCCCCAATATGAACAACCAGAGAAGTGGACAAAATATAAGCAGCAGTTCTTTTCAGATGTTAGAAAATATGTGGCACAAGATTGTGATCCTTGAGAGAAGGGAGACATGAAATGAAATGAGCCCCACGATCCCTGGAATTCTGCCTGGAGGCACGTTCTGCACTGCACTGCAGGGTGGTGGTGGCGGGAGGTGGGAGCCAAGCAGTGGTCACACTTGGCTTAGGGAACAGAGGTGAGAGTTGAGGAGGAGAGGCAGCTGCGGTCCGTGGGGCAGAGCACTGGGGAGAAGGGAGCTACGTAGAGGATGAGCTAGGCCTGAAGAAGGGTCCCCTTGAAAACTACGCTGCGCACACATGTGGAAGAGCCCCCTGCGGCAGAGCAGGGAGAACTACCAAGAAGCTGAACAAGTGAGTTACAGCAGTCCGTTCTGTAAAACAGAAACTCCAGAAAGGCCATGGCTTAGGAGTGGGGGAAAATGAACCCAAATCCCCTAAAACAGGCTTCAAAAGTATCAAATTAGAGTCAACTGCCTTGTAGAACAAAACTAAACATTTTTGGAAATACACACACACACACACAACTTAGCACTCAGTTAACATATAGTTCACAATGTCCAGCATCCAACAAAAAATTACAAGACATTCAAAGACTTACATAGTATAAATATCAAGAAAATGTGACACGTGAGCAGCAAATGATAATTGAGTTGAAAGACACCGAGAGATGAGAGCAATGGCAGGAAGAGCAGACAAGGACCTTAAAACACGTTACAGATTTGCTCCCGTATGTTCAGTGATCGGAAGGAAAACAGAAGCAACGAGGATGGAGATGGAGGATCTGCCAAAGGACTAGATTGGATTTCCAGAGATGATGAAGTGAAGGTTTCGCTGAGTGGGATTGATGGCAAGTGAGACCATGCAGAGGGCAAGATCATGGAACTCAAAGGCACAGCTGTGCAGTCGATCCACCGTGAAGTAGAAGAAAGGCTGGAAAAGATGAAAAGCACCTCGGGGACCTGAAGGGACTGCATCAGTCTAGTGCCTGCATGACTGGAGTCACAGGACGGCAGAGAAATGGAGGGACAGGAGGGCTACCTAAAGAATAAGGACCAGAATTTCCCAAACCTGATGAAAGCTAGAACCCCAGAGGTACAAGAAGCTCAACAAACTCCCAAGAGCAAAACCATGTACAGGGGCATGTCCAAGTGCATCACAGTCATTTCCCAGAAACACTAGAGGAGACATAAGAGCAGCCCTGGGGGGTGGGCAGGGCGGGGTGCATCACACTCAGGAAGAAGATCGAGTGCAGCCTGGGGCGCCTGGGGGCTCAGTCGGTTAAATGCCCCACTTCAGCTCAGGTCATGATCTCACGGTCCGTGAGCTCGAGCCCCACATCGGACTCCGTGCTGACAGCTCGGAGCCTGGAGCTGCTTTGGATTCTGTGTCTCCCTCTCTCTCTGCCCCTCCCCCACTCGTGCTCTGTCTCCATCTCTCTTTCAAAAATAAATAAACATTAAAAAAAAAAAAAAGAATGAGTGCAGCCTTCCTGTGGAAGACCACACAAGTCACAAGACTAGAAGGGGCTACTCTAAAGCGCCAAAAGGAAAACCACAGCTGTCAGCCAGGAATTCTGTATTCAGCAAATAGATCCTTCAGAAGCGAAGGTGAAATAAACCCCTTGCAGACAAAAGCAGAGAGAGTTCATCACCAGCAGGCCTGCACTGTAAGAAATGCTACAGGAAGGTGGTCAGGCACGTGGTGCCCGGTGGCATCTTCAGTCTGTAGAAGGGACACCAGGTGCTGGGGCAGTAAACATGCAAGGAAGGACAGAAGAGTTTCCAGAAGGCGGTTGTCCCCTGAGAGCAGGCTTACCGCCCCGCACGCTGCACGGACTGTGGAGGCAGGACGTCCGGCTGCGGTAGTTGACAGCGTGAGGGAAGTGAGCCCGCCGCAGCAGGCGCCCCCATTAGCCCAAGCTTGTGGGGCAGCAGCTAAAGGCTTGTGCTTAGTTGAAAATGCGTATTGTAAGTCCCGTAAGGCATAACAACCACAAACATTCAAGCAAACAGGCATATTCGGTAAACCAACCACAGTGGTAAAACAGAACCCTAAGAAGTAATTGATCCAAACGTAGGCAGGAAAAGAGAAAACAAGGAACAACAATCAGATGGGACAAATAGCAAACACACAGCAATACGGTAGATTTAACGATAACATGTAGACGGTGTGAACACTGGTAGCAACCAGAGATGTCGGCCCGGGTGTAAAGCAAGACCCACCCACGTGCTGAACACAAGAACGTCACTTCCAGACTGTGTGGTTGAAGTGAGCGCTGTGGCAGGTGCCGGGTCTCATCCGGTACTGGGTCGTCCTCACAGGCACTCGTGTCCCTGGCTCAGTCGGAAGATGGGGGACGCTGCAGATTAGGGCTGCCCCTCCCCAGAACCCACGTTCAGAGGGTCTGTACACCCCGCCCCACGGGCCCCGGTGCGCTCACTATCCCTGTGTATTCCTGCCGTGCGCTAGGCCTGGCTTCACGTCTGCTTCAAAGCAAACCTACGTGGCCTTCCTGCATCCCGTCCAGAGTGAGGGTTAGACACGTAACTGAACAGGTCCCTCCTCTGCTCCGCATCCTCAGTAACCCCATTCCAGAAGAATGTGTGCCAGCGTCCTTCCAAGGGCCTCCAGAGCCGTGCTGGGGTCCCCGGCCCCGCCTGACCGCCACTCCTGCGTGCTCCCCTCCAGCCCCGCTGCCCCCTTGCTGCTCCTCAGGCAGGCAGACACGCTCCTGGAGTAGGGCCTTGGCGACTGATATTTTGACTTTCTGGACAGTGTTCTTCCCTCACCCCCTCCATGTCTGTTCAGTGTTGTGTTTCCATGAAGCTTCCCCTGACACCCTGTTTAATGCTGTAGCCCGCCCTCCCTGCCCCCCAGCCCTGGCTCTCCTGACCCCACCTGTTCATCTCTCCCCAGCCCTGACCACCTTCTAGAACACTACATGTCGTGCCCCTGCTTCTTGTGTCTGGTCTCTCTTGCCTAGAATGCAAGGATCACAAGGGCAGGACTTTGGCCAGTTCTGTTCACTGGCCTGTGCCGTGTGTACGTATTTGTTAACTAAATACACTGTAAGTGTGACCCAAGGGGCCACAGCGTGAACAGGAAAGGTCCTACGAGGTGAGCCAGGCAAACTCTCCCTCTGCAGCCCATTTTACAGATGAGGAAGCCAAGGCATGAACGTCATGACTTAATGGCAGGACGGAGACTCGAGTTCTCCTGTGCAGTGGCCTCTCTCTCCTGGGGACTCTGAGGCAGAGAGAAGGGGAGCGTCATTTTCTGGCATCGATGTACATGTGGCCCTGCCATCCACTGAAGGGGGTGATGCCACTTGAGCGTGTGGGAAAGGAAGGCCTGAGGGGTCAGGAGCCAGGGGACCGGGGTTCCCAGCAGACTCGACAAGCGATCCAGCTCTCTGCCTCAGCTTCCTGATTCGCCCCATGGAGGGCACGGGTATAGGCCCCTGTGTGGCCCCGACCCCCAGAGCTCCTCAGGGCTTCTAAGGGTGGGTGAGCTGGGCACTTCTTTGTGAAGGCAGTTCTGGGAGCCGGGAACTTTCCACAGATGCAGTGAGGGCAGGAAAGAAACTTACACGTGGTGGCAGGCGCCTCCTTCCCAGACCGGCACGGCCTTGGTCTCGGAGAAGAGCCGGGTGCAGGGCTGGGGCACCTTCGTGCAGGCTGCCGGCACAGAGGGAAAGGGCCGAGACTCGGCGCTGAGGTCGCACCCCCCTCCCCGCCAGTCAGGGCACTCTGACCCCTGGCAGCCCCAGGCGGTCGCCTCTGCCAGGCCTCGGGGGTGTGCAGCTGCTGTGCAGACTTCCGTCCACCCCCCAGGCCTCAGCCCCCGCGTCTTCTAAGTAGGGAGGCCGGGGCTCTTTTCCATCCTGCCACCACGTCTGGCCCCTGCTCCCACCTCTGGCTCTGGGGTGCTCCGTGTCCCTTGCTTTATGGCTGTCTCCAGCCTCCCCAGTTCTCTGGGCAGCACTCCTCAACCTGGCGTTTTGGGACTCACTGTGCCTCAGTATCCCTACCTGGGCCCTGGAGTCTGGGGCACCAGAGCTGGGTCCCCGTCCCGGCACCCGGGGTCGGAGGTCCTTGTGGCAAGCCCACCCTGGGCCCAGGGGTCCCATCACCGTCGGCTGTGACAGGTGACTTGAGGCCTGGGCCCCCGCAGGAGGGAGTGGCCCCCGACTTACCCAGCTCACAGCGTCTGCCTTTGAACCCTGGGCTGCAGTCACAGCTGTGGGTGCTGTGGGTGTCCACACCCGGCACGCAGGTGCCTCCGTTCTGACAGGGGTTTTCTGAGCAGTTCCCAGGGGCGTCTGCGGACAGGCCAGGAGCAGTTAGTTGCCGGGGCCCCAGAGGAAGAGCTGCCAGCATTGCCACTGTCTGCCTCCCGCTGTCCCGGCGCTGCTGGGCCCTGGGGGTGGGCCTGTTTTAGGTGGTCTGAGAGCAGAGGTGGAAAGATTGGCCTCCGTGTGCTTGTCCTTGACCCCGTCACCTCCAGGGAGGGGAATGACTCTGGGGCCCGCAGCGCGGAGCCACCATGTGGCCGAGGAGACGGCCTGCAGCTCCTGTCACCTTGGGGCTCTGGTGGTCTTCCAGAGAGACTCCAGCCACGCCCCGGCCCGTGACCCCCCTGCCGCCACCCTGCGCTTGGGGCTGAGGCCGCTTGACCCGGACCCCACCTGGAGCGCCCTCGTTGTCCTCCAGTGCCCGCCCCCAGGCCCCCAGCCCGAGGCAGCCCTCTGCAGGCCTCGGTGCCAGTGTCCCCCTGCGCCCTCACCGCACTGCCGGTGGCAGAGGCGGAGGGTGGTCGGTGCTGCCGCCCGGGAGCGCCAGGCCTGGCTGTCTCCCTTAGGCCTGTGCTCTGTGTTTTCCTTCTTTAGCTTTATCAAGATATCTGTTGTTTCCATTTTTAACTTAAAACATTGAGAAATACCAAAGAGCGAGATCTGTGCGCACCCACCACTTCCAGTACCGGAAGGCCCGTCCCCTCTGCATCTCATGCCACAGCCCCTCCTCCAGACCTCCTCGAGGCAGGGTGCTGACCGCAGACCCCCCCGGCCCCTCCTGGGCCCCGTGGGCTCTCTCTGCGGGCCGGTTCTCTTTCCTCGCTGTATCTACTCCACTTGTCCCCCCTGACTCTGCCCTGGGCCTGGCCTGGTCTCCTTGCCTTTCCTGGTGTGCTAAAGGTGAGTTGTCAGCTTTGACAAGAAACTTTTATTGTGAAAACTTTGAAATCTGTAAAAATTTCAGTCGGTGAAGAGTCCTGTGTACCGTCACTCACTTTGGTGACCGTCGGCACTTTCCCAGCCTCATTTAGTCTAGTCCCATTTCTGTTTGAGGCAGTTCACAGAAATCATTTCGCCTGTAAATACAGCAACTGTCTCATATGTACAGATTTTTACATGAGCACAGTGCTATTCTGAAATCAGCAGTAGCTCCTTAGTACTGTAAGAATGGCAATCCTTGTTCAGGTTTTCCCAGATCATCTTAAAAATGTCATTTCTAGTTGGTCTGATCTAAGTAGGGGTCCTAAGGACACACTGCCTTAGTGTGATGTATCTCCCTTTTAATCTGTAACTTTTCATCTTTCTCCCGTCTGCATTTATTAAAGAAACCAGGTCATCGTCTGTGGAATCTCCCTCCTAGATTTTACCTATTGCTTTCTTGTGGCGTTAACTCATCTCTGATCCTCACATTTCTGGTGAACTGATCATCAGAGAGAGGGCCTGGTAGGATTCAGGCTCAAGCGGTCTTTGCAGGACTGCTTCCCCCTTCGGCCCGCCCAGGAGGCGTGTGATGTCTCCGTGTCCAGCCTCAGCGAGGAGGGGACCAGGCACGGCAGCCTGATTGACGCCAGAGAAAGTTCTGACAGGCCCTGCACCTGACGGCTTCGCGTCCTGAGGTTTTGGTCCTGGTTCCGTCGTGTCCTAGACTGTGCTCTTCGGCCTTCCCCGGCTGGAAAGCCTTCTGCGCAGACCTGCTTTCCCTTGCCCACCGGCTGGTCACCCTGCACTGCAGTCCACACAGGCCAAGCCACACACATGCTTCATTCCTGCCCTTTACGTGTACACTCGCAGAGTCCGTGTTGGCGTCCAGCCAGCTGTAAGGGACCAGCACATGGTGCTTGCTCTCAGCGCCATTGTGAACTCAGGGGCGCTTCTGTATTTGATGGGGTTCAGTCTGCTGCTGCCATGAGTCTTCTTGATGCCCCAGTTACCCATCCTCTGCCTGTGGAGCCTTTGAGGCCTGTTCCTGTGCTCTGGAGACACGCTCCCAGGTGTTTTTGAAAGCTTGCTTGTTTTACACGTGTGTCCTGGGCAGACAGGTATGTTTTGTCTATATTCTGCTTCAGTCTTGGAATCAGCTACTTCTCCAAAGACCCCTGCTTCCTTTTATCAGAGGGTGGCATCGAGTGCCCACAGTCTGGGTGGCCAAGGTGCTCACTGCTCCTGGCGTGTCAGTGCTTCATGTCTTTTCAGGGGATGGAAATAGGAACTTAGATTTACAAGCAAGTGTTGGGGCGCCTGGGTGGCTCAGTCGGTAAGCGTCCGATTTTGGCTCAGGTCATGATCTCGCGGTTCGCAGGTTCGAGCCCCGCGTCGGGCTCTGTGCTGGCAGCTCAGAGCCTGGAGCCTGTTTCAGATTCTGTGTCTCTCTCTCTCTCTGACCCTCCCCCACTCATGCTCTCTGTCTCAAAAATAAATAAACTATAAAAAATTTTTTAATAAAATAAAAATAAATGTTAACAAATTGTGAGTTTTTATCAACATTTAGTTAAATAAGAGGGAAGACATGGAGCTTTTATTTCTTTGATTTTATATTGTATCTCTTTACACTGAAAACCTTGTTAGCATTAACATAATTATTTTTGTTATCCCACAGTATACATGTAACAATTCTAAAATAATAGTACCATTTCTGCTAACAATGAGATCATTGAATACGGCTTTAAATTTCAATTCTTTTCGTAATAAGAATTCTTCTTATTAAATATATCCCTCTAGGAACAAATAGTCAGAAGGCTGTTTTTAAAATCACTTGAAATGATACTTTTTTCCTGTGTGGTTATGCCATCAACATGGTAAATAAGTTTATTTTTTCAGTTTTCAATTTTTAGGTGTTACTTTTTATGTGTGTCATTGAAAAAAAAAACACCACACTCTTGGTTCTAAAATCAAAACCATAAGAAACATTCAGGGAAGGCAGCTTCCACCCCCGTCCCTATGCTTCCTTGTTCTTATCCTCTTCCTCATACAACCACTTTTATTTTATTTCTTTTTAAATGTAAGAAAATAGGGATGTTCATATATCCCTTCCCCATTTTTCTACACAAAAGGGATGCTGAAAACACTGTCCTACACGTTACGTTTTAATAACGGCTTTATTGAGATATAACTTAAATAGCATACAATTCCCCCACTTTAGGTGTATAATTTACTAGTTTTTAGCATATTCAGAGATATGTGCATCCATCACAGTCGTCAATTTTAGAATGTTTTCATCATTTCAGAAGGAAACCCCTAGCCTTAGCTTTCGCCCCCACGGCCCTGCTCACACCCCGTCCCAGGCAGGCACTGATTCTACTTTCACAGTAGAGTTCCCTTTCTGGACTCCATGTGAGTGGAGGCACACTAGATGGAGTCTTCTGTGACTAGCTTCTTTCACTTAGTAGGATGCTTTCAAGGTTTCCCTGCGTTGTGGCCTGTGTCAGTGCTTCATTCCTCTTTATGGTCGGGTCATGCTGCACTGTGCGGATAGGCCGCTTTCTGCGGACCCCGTCGTCAGTTGGCTTGTTTCCATCTTGGGCAATGGTGAATGGCGACCTTGCGAACATTTGTGCATAAGTCCCTGTGTGGGCGTCTGTTTTCATTTCTCTTGGGTACGTACCTAGGAGTGGTGGAATGCTCTGGGTCACAGAATTCTGTTTAGTTCTTTGAGGAACTCCCTGGCTGTGTTTGCCCCCAAAGCGCTCTGCATTCCCCCCAGCACGTTTGAGTTTCCAGTTCCTCCACATACTCACCAGTGCTCATCATCATGTGCCCGTTCTAGCCATCCTAGAGGGGTGAAGTGGCATCTCATTGTGGTTTTGATTAGCATTTCCCTGAGGCCTAATGATGTCAAACATCTTCTCATGGGCTTCTTGGCCATTTGTGTATCTTGCTTGTAGAAATAAGTGTTCAGATCCTTTGCCTGTTTCTTAATAGGGTTATCTTCCATTTATTCAGGCATAGGCATATTCTTTATATAGTTTGGATACAAATGCCTTTCAGGTGTATGATTTGCAGATATTTTCTCTCATTCTCTGGGTTGTCTTCTCACTCCCTGATAGCGTCCTTTGAAGCACAAAAACAATTTACATTTTGATGAGTCCAGTCTGCCTTTTTTCCCTTTTGCTGCTCAGGCTTTTGGTGTCCTATCTAAAGTCTTGCCAAATCCAAGGTCATAAAGATTTACCCTTGTGTTTTTCCTAAGAGTTTTACAGTTTTAGCTCTTAGACTTAAGTATTTGGTCTGTTGAGTTAATTAATTTTGTGTGGTGTGAGGTTGAGGTCTGACTTCATTCTTCTGCATGTGGACGTCCAGGGTTCTCAGCTCCATGTGTTGAAGGCTGTTCTTTCCCCCACTGAATGGTCTTGGCCCCCTCGTTGAAATCAGTTGAAATCACAGACGTACGAGTTTATTTCTTGACTCTTGATTTGTTCCTTCGGTTGTAAGCCTGTCCCTGTGCTGGTGCCACACTGACCTGACTACCACTGCTCTGCAGTGAGTTCTGACAATAGGGCGCACGAGTCCTTCTACTTGTTAAAGATCATGTTTGTTATTCTAGGTCCCTTCCAGTTCCATATGGAATTTAGACACTATGCACAGTGTCCACAGATACGCTGTGGCCAGCTTGCAGAGCGGGCGTGTGCAGGCCCATCTGGAACCTGTGAGCCTCTGCCAGCTAGCCTCACCCTTTGTGACCGGGGCACCAAGCCGCAGGGACCACCTGACACTCGTTCCCTTGCTGGGCAGCTGAGGGCCTCATCCCGCGGTTCGTGCAGCAGTGGGTTTTTACCACTGTAGCCTCATCCTTTGAAGTCAGCCCTCTGAATCCTGAGTTTATTGTGACACGCACACCCTTTAAAATAAATAAAAACAGAGATGGCTGTTTCGAACAGGGTGGGGCTGCACTCTGGGGTAGTGGCAGTGGGAGGCTTCTATGTGACGATGTTGCAGAGGTGTAACTGTAGAGGTGTGAGTTCTGCCCTTGCCTGCTGTCCCCCAAGGACGGAAACTGCCTGCCTCTCTGGTATCCAGGGGATAAAACCAGGAGAGTCCCAAAGCCCTGCTAGGGTGAGAATTCGGGGAAAACGGGAAGAATGTGACCAGCCGGGGCACTAGATCTCTGTAGTGGCAGGTTATGATCTTGGGGACTCTCCTCCTCTCCATGAGCTTCCCTGGGAGCTCAAAGGTGCACCCCTAACCTGGAGAGTTGCCTGGTGAGGAAATGTTGATCAAGAGTGTTGATTGTGGTCTTGGGGTGTCTGGGGCGCTCTGGGGATCCTCCTTCCCTTGAGAAAGAAAAGTCTAAGAGCTTCCAGAGGAAATGAGCAGATGTCCTACAGGGAAACAAGAACAAGATGGACACTCCTTGACAGCCGTGCTGGACAGAAGATGACAGGGGACTAACGTTTGAAGAACTGAAAGAGAACCTTTGAAGCTCGAGTTTTATACCCACTCAAATTGTCCTTCAAATGTGACAACTACTTAGAGTATTTTCCTGCATGTAGGGCTGGATCCCAAGTGCGATGTGGGACTCCACAAGCTGGTTATAAACGTTTATAGAAAGGCAGAGGACCAAGAACAGCCAGCACTGAAGGTCCGAGTGAGTGGGTGGGGGGGCCCTGCGGGACAGCAAGCCTTACCAAAGAAAGCGCCGTTAAAGTGGCGGTCTTGGCTCTAGGAAGGCGAATCAGTGGAACAGAGCAGTGGACCCAGAGCCTTTGGTCAAAACCAATGAAAAGACGCTTGACCGTATCCACATTTGAGACGCAAATCCAGATCCCAGGTGGTGTGCTTCATACCCATTCCACTGGCACAATCTGGAAACCCGGCCAGATCACATCTCTTGCTCACAGCTGAAGAGAGCATGATCTCGCGTCCCCACTTAGAAAACAAGTTAGCACTCCTGAGTGACTTGGGCTTTCACACATCCCAAGCCCAGCATTTCTACTCTCGCACATGTGCCAGAAGACACACGTGAGAACTCCGTAGCGACACTGCCAGTAACAGCCCAACACAGCCCAGTTGCCCTCTGAGCAGAGTGGACGAGGCTGCGGTGAATTCACTCACGGACAGGACGCTCACCAGTGAGTGAATGAGCTGTGGCCACGCGCAACAGCTCCGAGCAGCCTTCCTGCAGACTCTGTAGAAAACACGAGTCCGGGAGGCAGGGAGGCAGGGAGGCACGGCAGACACCTTGTAACAAAAGAACCTCAACTGTTCAAATATAGATGTGTGGTGAGCACCCCCCTGCCCCCTCCCTCCCCGCACACCCTGCAGCAGAGCAGGGGGTGTAAACACCAAGCCCAGGGGCATGGTTAACTGGGAGTACAACCGTTCGTGTGCTAGTTCATAGGTCAGGTCCCATATCTAAAGGTCACTTGTTTTAGCAAAAGGTAACTTACTAAACTGAAAAAAGGGTCTGTCATCGACCCCAATAGATGTAACAGGAACCGAAAACCACGATGAACTTTACACACCTAAGGGGGGGTGTTAATGATATTTTTCCTGTTTATCACTGGAAATCTCCTATGCCCCTCCCCCGGCCAGGCTGCATCACTCGGTTAGCAAACTCTGCATGTTGCAGTGACATCTGGGGCTGTCCTGTGCACCTCGAATCCCCCTTCAGAAGGCAAGGTAGTTCACATTCACATCCCTCTGGTTCCAGAGTTTTATGAAATGAAGCGTCTCATGTTGAAAAGGGCCGACATTCACTCTTACTTCACTTACAAAACAACAGCAACATGTTTTCCACTTGACTCTGAACCCCACCTGACCTAACGGGATCCTTCACTGGCTCTGACTTGCAGACCACCCTCTGGGTGCTCACTGGGGCTGATGGCAACTCTGGGCAAACACACCCTCTGGCGTAGGTGCCCTTCATGTGTGCGGGTGTCCCTAGTCACCCGGGGCAGGCCTGCAGGTGAGACTCGCCCTCAGAGGTGGCACCCTGGGCGCTCGGCTCACTGTTACGCAGTGGTCTGCCTTCCTTGGGGTCTGGTTGACCACAAGCCTGTGGTGTGACTTAGGAGAAAGGGCCACTGGGTCCTGGAGGGACCTGGCTCTGAGGGCTGGAGCGAGGAGGAGAGGTGGAGCCAGCGTCTGTTTGGCTCAGGAGCGTGTGTCTCAGAGCTGCCCCTGCACGAGGCTTCTCACCTGGCAGTTACCCTGCACTCCAGGTGACGAGTGTCAGCGAGGCCCTGCTGGCCCCTGGCCTGCCAGGTGACCCCCACCCCGGGCAGACCCTGCGGCTGCCCCTCCGTGACCTCTGCACCCTGCTCGACACGGCCCTCTGGAGAAGCAAGGGCTATGCTTTGGGTGGGGTCCCTCCCAGGCAGGCAGGCCTGGGTGCCGTGGCCCGTGTGGTGAGCCTCACCCTGCCCTGTGTGGCTGCTCCTTGGGCAGCTCCGTGTCTCCCACCACCTCCTGTGGGCGCCCTCCTCACCTACGGCCCTGGCGGCCCTGCTCAGCGCTGAGCGTCCACTCCTGTTGACTTACTTTCCGTGTCCTTGTCGCCACTGCGTTCAGGGAGCTGGAGGGCCAGGCCGACCTGCTCTGGCGCCTGCCTGGGGGCCGCCTCCGTGTTCGCGGGCTGCGCCACAGCCGTGGGCTCTAGGAGACAGGAGAGCGCCCCGGCGTGCTGACCGCACAACCTGCCGCCTCCGGCCCGGGATTGCTCTGGCTCTCCTTGAGCTGCTGCTCTCCCTCAGGGTGGAGGGAGCACATGGGGCCCCGGCCGCCCGCCCCTCACTGGGCCAGAGTCCCAGGGGCCCTCACGCTGCCTCCGGCAGGAGAGCTTTCCTCCCCCTCCTGCTGAGCCTCAGAGCTGCTCTGGTGAAGGTCCCCGGCAGTCCAAGGCCGGGCTGGGTGTCCTGCCTGGCCCGGTGGCCCCATCCCGCTAGGTGGCTGATGTGCTGTCCTTCCTGTGGTCAAATTCTCTCCTCTCTACACCCCTGCTTCTGGGGGCTGTGGTGCCTTCCCCACCTACCCTCAGGCAGACCTTGCACTTGGCCACCCCTATATGCAGGTCTGCTTCCCTGCGAGGCCCTCGCCTGTGTGCTTAATGGCTTTAGGAAGGTGTCCAGAAGCAGCGCAGCCTGTGCAGCCACGCAGACACCTGCCCACGCCCTCCCTGCCCCTGGTCGCCATGTGCGGCTCCTCTGCCAGTCACCCGGGCTGCGACACTCCCACCTGCGCGTCACTCTCCCTTTTCTTCCCTGGTCTGGGCATGTTTGTGTTGGTTGAAGATTCTCACTAAACTGGGAATTGGGTTCTCTGCCAGGGTATCTATGAGGACAGGCCCTGGGTCACGGCGTCCTGAGGACCTTCGGGGCAGGGCAGCCAGTGGGCGGTGGCTCCTGGCCTGCTGTGCCAAGGTCTGTTTGCACACAGGCTCCTGGCCACCCTCTCCCGCTGCAGCCCATGGGAAGCCCACGTGCAGCCCTCAGCCCACACTGCTGTGTCAGGAAGGCTCCTATGAGCCTGTGCAGCTGTGACGGCCTGGCGTTGAATCAGGTCCCTCCTGGAGGTGGTGTCAGGTGCTGGGGTGGTGGGGGTTGGGGGGTGTCCTTAAGCCCTCAGGGTGCCGGGGACAAGGGTTGGATGAGGTGGTGGTGAGGCCACTGGGGCTGGCCGAGACACTCACGTGATCTCACAGTGACCGATTTGCCAGGTGAGCCACCGAACCTGGCACTCACTCGCCCTCTGCCGTCCACGAGCTCTGAGAACCTGCCAAGGGAGTCACCATGGATCACCACCGTGGGGCTTGTGCCTGGGGGCTACCCGCTCCGGTGTGGGGGTGGGGGCTGAGGCTGCACCTGGGGGTCAGGGTCTGAGCTTCGGGGGCATCACGGTCGCTGAGCAGGTGCAGCTCCGGCAGGCGCATGGGGGGCGGTCTGTTTCTGAGCACCCGGGGATGGAGTCCCTCCCTGTGCCAGCGTCTGTCAGCGCCGTCCCTCGGGGCTGCAGGTGGGTGGGAGGGGCGGGTGGCATCCAGTCGGTCGGCCTTCCCTCCACTCTGTCCCCTCGGAGGGCAGGACTGACGAGGGGTGTGTGCGTGCCTGAGATCTCTCAGGCTTGCGGCTCAGAGGCCCTGGGCCCTGTCCTGGCCCAGCTTGGGTCCAGGCTCCCACTCTGCAGGGCGTGGCCAGCCACTCGGACCTGACAGGACACCTCAGCGAGGCCCGAACCCTGCGCACGCCCGGAGCAGGGGAGGGGAGGCGAGGGCGAGGCTCCCCCGTGGGTCCTTGTCGCCTGACTGTGCCCCTGAGCTCTCCCTTGGGCAGGTGCCTGCAGCCGTACTGGGTCTGAACCTCTTGGAGCAGGTGTCTACCTCCTGCGAGGTGCCCGCGTGTCTGCTCTGGGACTCTGTTCTGCCCCAGCCACTGTCCGCCCCACCGTTCTTTCTTCGCGCTCCGTTGCCCTCCCTGCAGCGCGTGTCCAGATGCACGGTCTTCCCACAGCTTGAAGACGTGAGCAGGTTGTATGGGAGCTGGTTCGACCCTGCGGGCCACGTCCTCTGTGCAGCCTCTCTGAGGCTCTTTGCTCCTGGGCTCTTCCCGCCCTCCATCTGTCCGGGCCTCCCCCGGGCCCTCCCTTCCTGTGGCCATCCTGGCCCTCTCTCTCCCATGCTTCTGTCCTTCGGCCATGCCCCAGGGACAAGGTGAGGATCAAGACGCTTGTGTCCCCAAATTCCTAGGGCACTGACCTTGCGCCAACTGCACACATCCTCCCCCCCTGAATTTCACACCCCAAATTCTCCTGAGTTAACACGGTCCTGTTTGGACATTGTCTGTCTGATGTCCGTGGGACAGTTGTGGCCTGTGCCGGGTGAGGGTCCTGGGGCTGAGCCGTCTCTTGGGCAAGGATGCCAGTCCCCAGGATGGCAGCCCAGACACAGGGGCCAGGCTGCACTCACCAGGGCCCCATGGGTCCTGAGCATACCGCGGGGCCTCGCGTGCATGTGTGCATGCGTGGCCGCCCCTCCCCCCGGCCCTGGCAGGGCTGCACTCACAGGTGATGATGTAGAGGTGAGCAGGCTCGCTGTGCACTTGGTCGCCCTCCGCGCTCTGCACGGCTGTCACGGAGAGCTGGTACCGCCGGCCTGGCAGCAGGTCCCGCACCGTGTAGGATGTCAGCCTCCCGTTGGGGACGTAGCGGCTTTTGGTGCTCTGGCTGGTGGTCACATTGATGACATACGCCTCCAGCAAGGTACTTGGAGTGGGGGTGTCCCAGACCACGTGGGCAGAGGTGGCTGTGACTCTGGCAGCGGTCAGGTTTGCTGGAGGCAGCGGCCCTGATAGGCACAGAGTGGGGGAGGGAGGTGGCAGCGGCCCTGATAGGCACGGAGTGGGGGAGGGAGGGGGCAGCGGCCCTGATAGGCACGGAGTGGGGGAGGGAGGGGGCAGGGGCGGGGAGGGTCTTCTGCCACCACCAGGGTCACACGTCTGACTGGATTGCCAAAGCCTCATGTGAAGCCAGTCTGGTCGTTACAGACACCCTTACAGTCCTAAAGGATGGTGTGGAGGGGAGTCTGTAGCCGCACGTCCTCCTGGCCGAGAGGCGCCCCAGAGTGCTGCCCGGGTGCACCCACGGAGCCCCCACCCTGCACAGCCTGTCCATGTCTTCTCCTTTTGGTCCCCTGAGCCTTTTTCTCGTGGGACACAGAAAAGGGGCGTGGGTTAGACAGGCAGGGAGTGGGCCAGGGTCTCAGCCTCAGGGTCAGCGCCCGGGCGCGAGCCTGTGATCACCCCTGCCCCACGGGGCATCCATGTGCCTCCCCGCTGGGCGAGGCCATGCCCAGAACTTCCGTCCTCACCATGCACCCGCCTGTTCACTGGTGCCTTGGGTGCGGACCGCACGGCATGCCAGCCCCTCCCACACGTCGGGCTGGGACCCGGTGGTGAGGGCCAGGCCTCCTGCCCATGAGACACCGTGGGGGTCAGGAGTGGACAGCGTGTGCATTCACCCGCGTGCCCCTCCGGCGTTCGGCTTGTGACCCTTGTCCGGTAGGAGCCCAGGAGCCTCTGGGCGCTGGGTGAATGCACAAGCAGGGGGCTTCCTGAGGAGGCCGCCTTCCCTGGCACCGGAGGGGAAGAGCCCTCTGAGGCACCAGGGCCACTTTGGTAGGACTGGGGCTGGAGGGAGGTGACAGCTGGCAGATTTCCCTCAAGAGCTAAACTCAAGCCACTCTACTCACGCGTCCACACGTGCAGCGGGGCCGAGGCCAGGCTCTCGGTGGGAGGCTCCTGTCCCCCGAGCCCGCTGAGGGCAGTCACCTGGATGGTGTACCTCCTTCCTGGCAGCAGGGCCCTGCAGAGGCGGGGGAAAGACTCCACTGCAGACTGTGACTCTGCCACACAGGTGGGGGAAGGGTTGCGGGTGGCCCTACTGCTGGCCCGGGTGGCCTCCACAAGGACCAGATCTGTGGGCTGAGTGAGGCCTGTGTGACCCTCAGGGGTCTGCTCCCTGGTCCGTCTGTCCAGCACAGAAGGGCCCACGCCTGCCCGGGGTGGCTGTAGTGCCGAGGCTGGTGTTCAGACAGGAGAGGCCAGAAAAGGGCACTTGGAGGTCACTGTGCAGAAAGGGTGACCAAGCAGCCTGACTGCCTGCCTCGGGGACGCCCGTCTGCCAGGGGCCCACGGCTGGAACCCCCTCACGGAGAAGAGGACCTCGCTGCCCCCCGACGTCTGTGTGGCGTGGTGCGTGCTGAGAACCCGCTTCCTCCCAGGCATCCGGAATCGACCCCAGGCCGCGGGGGCCCCGTGCCCAGCCCCCGACAAACACCCTGGGCGCCGCGTCTCTCACGGGCCCCTGGGGGTGGCCTGTGTGAGTCCACGGACGGGGAGGGGTCCCGGGAGCTCAGGCCCGACGTCCCCCGTGTGCCTCTCCCTTCCTGTGCATCCCACCAATTCTGTATTGTGAACCCAGCTGGGAGTGTGCTGAGTCGGGGGGGGGGGGGGAGGCTAGAGAATCACTGAGCCGGGTGGCCTTGGGGACCCTGACACACCAAGTGCCCACCCAGGGCCCCATGTGTGTTTTTGTGACACTGTTTTTTGGAAGTGGGAAGTGTGTACGTCAAGAAAGGTCACGGCAACACTTAAAGGCAAGGAAAGCAGAGTCTTGTCTCCAGCACAGCAGGCGTGGACAGAATGGTGTTGATAAGTCCGCCAACTAGAAACACACAGCTTGGGGGAGCAGAGGGACAGAGCGCCATGCCTGGCTCGCCTGCCCCAGTCCCTGCAGCGCCGGCCTTGCGGACGGCCCTCCCCATGGCCGTGGCCCGTGGCTGCTCTGGGCAGGATGCTGCTGATCTGTCCCCAGAGAGGCGACCTGGCCCGCTGCTGTTGGGTGTGGGCAGTTAGGTGGGCCTGTCCTCTACCGGAGCTGTGTGCACGCTGCAGGCGCAGGGACCCCACGCCGTGGCCAGCTAGTCTTCCTCCCTCCCTCCTGTCTTCCAGCACCGTCCCCCGCAGGTGTCGGACGCCCCTCTGGCTGGTGAAGGCCCACCGGGCCGCCGGGGGCCGAGGCCGTGGAGTGCGAGCCTTCCCTGCGGGCTGTTCGAGCACACTTTGATCCTCAGACGCTTGGAAGGAACTATTTTGTAGTTCCGTTTGCATCTGATTTGTAATAATTCAGCATGAGACGGTCTGAGCCTAGTTTAAGGTTTGACTGTATCATTTGAACAATATAAAAGCGTAAGGCAACCACAGGGGGGCCCATGTTTCCCTTTCAGAGGGGCCTGCGTCACTCAGGCCCAAGGGCTTTGTGCTACCTCCAGGCGGCCCAGTCTCTGTCATTATCTGTGCAGCAGGCAGCACCCCCCAGAGCTTCTGAGCGTCTCTGCAGCCCCATGACGAGGCAGTGCAGGACCGGCAGGCGCCTGGGGACGGGAGGGCAGAGGGCGCACGCACACCCCTTCTTCTCGAGGCAGGCTGGGCTGCTGGGGAACGCAGGGTAAGGACACAGTGGGAGAGAGGAGGAAGCTCGGGGCCGCGAGGGAAGGGAAGGCCGGCCCCGTGCTCTCACCGGAACGTGAACTTGTCCACACTTTTGTCCATGTCGGTGGACTGGTCCTCCTGGGCCTCAGGATCCCGGATGGACACGCGGACACTGCTGACAGTGGCGTGACGGATCCTGTGCAGAGCCCACCGCACTGAGATGGTGCTGGCTGTCACGTTGGTGACCTCAAGGCCCTCAACGGGGCGGGGTCCTGGGGGGCAATGGGCCCCTCAGCTGATGCCGGCACCTCCTCGTCTCCGGGGGAGGGCAGGGGCTTGAGACAATGAGACAAGGCTCAGGAAGTTTGCTGGGGTCACAAAGAGGTGGCCCAAGCGCGGTGCGGGCCCGCCTGGGCTAGCCGGGTGCACCCCTTAGCCACAGCGGGACTAGGGGCAGTCAGGCCCTCGGCTCCTGCCTTGGGTGGGCGGTGCAGCCAGCTCCACCAGAGGCCTGCGGTCTTGCCTATTTAGACATGCCAGGCGGTCGTTTGGACACGCATGGGCCCTGGGAACCCCCTTGTCTTTTGTCTGGCTGACTTGGTCACACTGATGGTGAACGTTTGGGTGAGGCTTGGGCCTAGCGAGCGTAGAGGCTGAGACAATCCTGGGCTGCCACAGGGAAGGGTCTGGTGGGCCACGGGAGCTGGGAGGCAAGCCCTGGGCCCTGGCAAGTGCAGTGTCCAGCCTGGTGGGCACGGCTGCCTCCTGCCCACTGTGCCCCTCTGGGGAGACCCCACTCCGATGGTGGAGGGGGAGGGATGCCACTTCTTCCTCAAGCCATGCCCAGGCTGAGCCCACCCCACCCTACAAGCTCTCTCGGCCCACCTACTGGCCCAAGTTCATTGTCAGTGCCTCTTTCTCATGACATACCTGTCCTGAGTTTCTTATCTCATCCCTCACTCGGCCCTCTGCGTCCTCAGGGTTAGTGTCTGGCTCGGGCTCGCAGGTGATGTTAGGCCACCCTCCCTTCTCCTCCCACTAAGTTCCTCTCCATGCCCCTGAGCGCCCACACGTCCCTCCTACCCAGCCTGAGTCCCCGCTGGTGGGTCATGGCTGTCCTGCCTCGCAGCGCTCTTGCACCTGGCCCTGCCTGACTGCTTTGACCTGTGCCAGCACCTGGTGTGGTGGGTGCAGACCCCCTTGTGTGCTGGCCACAGTGCCACCCAAGGGACCATTGCCTAATCCATGCTCCTTCCTCTAGCCTCCAGCACCCCCTCCCAAAGTCCCCAGGGTCCCCTGGCCCCTGCCCACCATTGACTTCTCCCCTGTAGATCCCGAAGCAGACAATCCAGTTAAGGCCCCAAGGCCTCCCTAGGCTACGTTTCCAGCCACTCTGCCTAGAGGCACCCTCTCTGCCCCCTTTCTCCGAAACTGCCAACAGCAGCCTCCCTCCCCACCCGCTCTGAGCTGCTGTCTCCCCCTCAGCATGTTGGGGTGGCCTCCTGGACCCCGCAACATGGGCTGGCTCATCACAGGTGCCTTCTCAGGGAGCCCCCCACTTCTCCCCTAGCCTCACTCCTAAGCCACCGGCTCTTATCTCTGTTAGCCACTGCCCAGGGGACAGGTTAAGGGTCCCACTGGCGCCTTGGGGTCCCCGGCCAGTGCGCCTCTCCAGCGGCAGCAGGCACGCCCAGCCGGCCACTCACGTGTGCGGACGAGCAGCAGCGCCGGCCTGCTGATGTCGTTCTTGTTGTTGGCGTTGCGCTTGACGGAGACCACGGAGATGTTGTAGGCTCTGCCGGCCGCCAGGGCCCGGAGCTGGTGTGCGGAGCGGCTCCGGTCCACGAAATCTGTGCGGCGGTAGGCACCGTCTGAGGAGGTGTAGGTGACCGCGTAGCCGTCCAGCACCTGCCTGGCCGCCTGGCCTTCAGGTGGACGCCAGGAGATGGAGACCCCACTCTCCTCCACTCGCTCCACCTTGAGGGCCGTTGGTGGGAAGAGCTCTTCAGGGTGTCAGTCAAGAACAAGGGAAGGGTCGTCAGCTGTCGGCCATGGAAGTCTGGCCCCCAGGCAGATGGCTCACCTCGTGGCTCTTGGGCCTGCTATCCCGGGGGGTGGGGGGGGGAGGTGGAGGTGGGGCAGCTGCTGTTGCCTGCATGGACCTCCTCTCTCAGTCTCTGGCCAGTGCCTCCCGGAGGGTCTCAGGTGTGTGTGCACCTGTGACCGAGGGTCTCAGGTGTGTGCGCACCTGTGACCGAGTTTATGCCCCGCCCCTCCCCCCCCCCCCCCCACGCCGGGGTTTTCCTGACCCTCCCTGCTTCTTGGGCAGAGCCTGGATAAGCAGCTGCCTAGACGCTCTGCTCTGGGGGGCTGCTCAGCACTTTGGCTGTCCTCTGGGGTGCCTGTGCCTCCTGGGGAGTGAGGGAGGCCCCACCCCACACTGATGCCTCTGCCACCTCACCTTTGGCGCAGTCCTTGCCCGTGTAGCCCACTTTGCAGGTGCAGCTGTGGGACCCGTTGCTGGCCAGGCAGTAGCCGCGGCCCCCACAGGGGCTGGAGAAGCAGGGGTCACTCACTGGGGGAGAAGAAAGTACTGGTGAACACTGGGGTTTTCCCAGCTCCCCCGGCAGGACCCTTGTCCTTCCTGTGTGGGTGTTTGTGGGGTGGAGGTGGATGGCGCCATCACAGGCAGGGATTTGGGAGGAGACGGAGGGGACACTGTCTGACCGGGGAATGCAGGGCTTGCTGGAGGCCCCACCGAGAGGCGGGGCAGGGGCCCCTTCCATCCTGAGCCAGGCCGTCTCACCACCACTCCATGCCAAGGTGGGCTGGCAGGTGGTGACTCGGGGGTGAGCACAGCGCTGGCCCCTTGTGGGGAGCAGCTGGCAGCCAGGCAGCCAAAGGCCCCAGTTCCCCGCCCCCCGCCGGGACTACAGGCACCGAGGGGTCCTGGACCCCCAGGCCAGCGCTGGGGTCTGGAGGTTCCCAGTGGCGCTGCAGGAGACACGGGCAAACAACCTTATCACTGTCACAGCCACTAACCTCAGTCCTCCGGGTGTGCCCCTGCCCAGCCCAAGCCTGTGCGGTAAGATCCGCTGGCCACCAACGGTCCTGCCGTGCTTCTGCCCAGGCCTCCTCCCCACCCCACCCTGCAGTGCCTGGACGGCACACCTCATCCTCAGTGCAGCCCTCACTGGCCTGCAGCGCGCACCCTGCACAGCACGGTGCCGCCGGCCCGGCCCAGCCCAGCCCAGAGGACAGGCCGGGACGTGCCCCCGGGAGACAGGTGTCCCAGGAGGAGAGTGAGATCAGCAAGGGGAGGGTCATATTGAAGAGGCAGCTCCAGACAGTGGCAAGTCCTATAAGGGAGGAAAATGGGGAGAGTCTCCAGCCGAAGGAGCCGTGAGCTCCAGGACTCGGGGGCTGCGGTGAGCTCCGCCCATCCAGGCTGGACGAGGGGCTGGCTGCGTCTCCTGGGTTGACTGGGGCTTCCGGGGGCGGGGGGAGGGTGGGGAGCAGGGACTTGCTCCCACCTCCCTACCTGTCTCACAGTGGTAGCCGAAGAAGCCCTCTGGGCAGACGCACAGGTAGGCCCCGCCTCCGTTCTCACACCGGCCTCCGTGCAGGCAGGGGCTGGGGTCACAGGCATCCAGCTCTGGAGAACACCCAGAGAGTCGGCCAGAGCCGCAAGGGGGCGTCTGGGGGAGGGAGGAGAGGACAGCGGGAAGAAGGGAAGGGGAGCCGAGGAGAGATGCCAGGCGGGGGGGGGGGGGGGGTGCGCCTGGGCAGAACCCCTCAGCCCTGGGGTCCCTCCCGCCAGGGGGCCTGTCCAGCTGGGCCGTGGGCCCCAGCCCCCTCCCTCTGCTCTCTCAGCGCTCCGGGGTCTAGGCTGGTTGGAAGCAGGTTTGCCCCGGGTGTCGGGGGCATGGCGATTGTGGGTGAGGGCCCGCCGCTCTGGGGACCCACCACAGGCAGCCCTACCTGTCTGGCACTGGGCTCCGGTGAAGCCTGCCGGGCACTGGCAGACAAAGGCCCCCGGGAGGTCCCTGCAGGAGCCTCCATTTCTGCACGGCTGCGTTTGGCACTCGTCTGTCTCTGCAGAGACGGGGCGCTCGTCTGTCTCCGCAGAGACAGGACAGGAGGCTGCATGGCCCTCCACAGGCCCCACGGGCCCCCGGGATTCACGGGTGCCCTGCAGCTTCCGCCTGACACCACCCTTCTCCATTGTCTGCCCAGCAAAGGCTTCCCCCCGCCCCCCAGGTCACTCCGGCATTTCACCATCTGGGCTTCTCCGGGGCCCAGGGGCTTCCCAGGCCTGGCCCTCCCGGGGGCGGCTTCAGAGTCCTACCTAGGGGTGAGGGGCACAGGGCTCGTCCGTCAGTGTACCCCGTAGGCCTCCCCTCCCTCTGCTGGCTTGGAGCACAGGGCCAGGGGTCAGAGCGAGACTCTCTCCACCCCACCTCCTCCACCCCTGAGGCAGAGGCTGCAGAAGGCAAGAGGAGGTCAAGGTCAGCTTGTTCAGCTGGGCTGTCAGTCTCCCTGGGGAGGTGGAGGCAGAGATGTTTGTAAATCTCTGTCCTTCTGGAAGTCAGAGGCAGGAGTCCACGAGCAGGCAGGGGTGGGCCCGGCAGCCTGGGGGTAGGGGCCGAGCCAGCCCCGCAGCCTTCCTCAGCTCACAGTGGGCTCCTTCAGGCCCCGTGCTGGGCACGCACAGCGCCCGCGCGGCCCTGCTGCTTCCGAGGGGCGAGCCCGGTGCACAGGCACCGGGAGGGACCCCAAGATTGAGGCCGTGTTGTGACTGGAGGCAGTGGCTTGAAGCCAAATAAGATGGACGTAAATTAGCTTTGTTCTGAGGAGCCCGACAGAATTCTCCAGCACCTCCCAGTCTCTGGAAGAGGCCAGAAACCGGGCAGGGCCGGACACCTCAGAGGGGAAGCGGTGGGCAGCGGGCCCAGGGACGGCGGGTGCTCGTAATGACCGGCGGGCTCGCACACGTGGAGCGGGCCTTCCCTCGGGAGGCCAGGCCCAGTCCTGCCCGTTTGGGACGCACGACCCCGTGTGAGGCCAGCACACTGGGGAGGAGGCCTTCCCTTTGGAGTATTTGCCGCAGGCTCGCTTTTTATTTTACACTGGGAGGTGTGCTTCCAAATTAAACATTTTCAATTTCTAAGACTTTACTGTTATTGCTCAAAGTGCAAATAGTAAGTGAATGGGAGTGAGCAATGACACCTGGGAGCTACGACGTCCACCGGCTCAGCGGCACGCCGCCCCCCCCCCCCCCACCGGGGACGGAACTTCGGGGCCGCGGTCTCCTTACCTCTTCAGTGTGCCCAGTTTCATGAATCACCCAAACATGCGTGGCTTTCTTTGTGCTACCTATGAACTTTACTAATAGGAAATGGGGGCATAGGCGCTCTTCTCTCAGGAGGCGGGGGGGAGCCTCCACATCGCTGGGGGGGGGGGTCTCTGCTTTCCACCGCGTGAAGATGGGGGCGGCGGCGGCACCCACCACACTTTGTCCGCTGTCGTTTGCTAGGCATTTGGGTTGGTTGTAGACTTTTTGTTGCTATAAAAAAATGCTTCTGTGCTTTCCCTTTCATAGCTCCTGGTATGAGTGGGTACGTTTTGTTGGGTTTAAGCCAGTAAGTGGGATCACAGGGACACAGTGTATACGAGTGGTCGGCTCGACAGGCAGACTGTTAGACCCTTTTCAAGGTGTTCGCCCTGATTTCCACTCTCTCCAGCAGTTCTGGGGAACCCTGGCATCCACGCTCACACCGGCAGATGGCTCTACGGGCTCCGCAGGTTCGTCCGCTGCGTGTGCCCCGCGTGCTTCTGCTGTGTGTCACTGATTACTACTGTCCGTCTGTGTCTGTGGGCATTCAGTGTCTCCTCTCCCATGAAGGCCTACTCAGGGGCTTCGCCAGTTTTCCTATTGGGTTGATTATTTTCTTGCTGATTCATAGAGTTCTTTATATATTCTTGAAACCAGTTATATAGAATCTATATTTCCTGGTTTGTAGCTTATATTTCACTTCCTTCCTCAGGGCTGATGCTTTCAAATTCCTAATTTTTATATGGTCAAAAAATGGTCAAATTCCATTTTTTTGATAGTGCTTTTTTGTGGCTTAAGAAATCTTTCCTAATCCCAAGGCCAAAAAGATACCCTTATTTTCCACATAAAATTTTATAGTTTTAGAAAACATTTAAGCCCTTAATTAATCTGGAATGGATTCTGTGTGTGGTGAAAAGTAGGGGACAATGTAGTATTTCCCCGATTGTGTAACCACGCACTCCAGCTGTCAAGAAGACTGTCTCATGTGCTCTTGGAGAAGTTTATAGTTTCAGCTTTTACATTTATGTCTACAGTTGGCTTCACACATATAAAATTCAGTCATGTTTTGAACAATAGTATATACAATAGTGTTCATTTTATCTTGTTTTCCAAGTGTTTGCTGCCAAGATATGAAAATATCAAGGTTCTGTATACGGTCCCTGTGTCCTGTGACCCCCTTGAATTTGCTTATTTGTTCTGTAGCTTCTTTTGTAGCATTTCTTAGGATTTCCTGTGTGCACAATCATGCCCGTGTGACTTTTATTTCCTTTCCTCGTCTGTGGTACCATCTGGGACGTCCTAGACAGTGTAGGAAGGAATTGGTGAGATGGACACATTTGTCTTATTACCGCTGCAGCGAGGCGCCTCTCGCCGTGAAGTCCTTTGTTAGCAGCGGGTGTTTCGTGGATGCCCTTCATTAGGTTAAAGATCTTCCTTTCCACTCTTAGCTTATCAGGACTTCTAAATAGTCGTTGAATATTTTCAAATGATCTTTCTGCATCTACTGAAATGATTATATGGTTTTCTCCTTCATATCCTAACATGGTGAATAACATTTATAGATTTTCAAGTGTTAAACCGACCTGTGTTCTTGAGATAACTCCCCCTTGGTCGTGATATGTTATCCTTTGTATGTAATACTGGGTTTGATTTAGTAATATTTTGTTAAGATACTTATGTTCATGTTGGTGAGGAATATTAGTCTGTAATTTCAGTTTTTTAAATAACCTCTCTGTCTGGTTTTGCTATCAAGGCAATACTGGCCTCACAAAATGAATTGAAAAGTGCTCTTCCTCCTATATTTTCTAAAATATTTGTGTAGGGTTAGTACTGTTCTTTTCTTCAGTGTTTGTTAGAATTCATCTGTGAAGCAATCCAGTTTTGCCATTTTCTTTGCAGGAAAGTTTTTAATTACAGATTAAATTTCCTTAATAGATATAGGGCTATTCATATTTTTTTTTGTTTATTTTTCTGTCATTTCTAGTAATTTGTGTCTCTCAAGGTAATCCCTTTACATTGTCAGATATATTGGCCTAATGTAGTTTACAATATCTCTTTGTTGTCCTCTAAATGCTGGTAGGATCCTTAGCAATGTCTCTTCTTTCATTCTGATATTGCTAATTTTTCTTTTTTATTCTTGACCAGTATAGCTAGAGGTTTATCAATTTTATTGAACCTTTCAAGGAACCAACTTTTAGTTTCATTGATTTTCTCTGTATAGGTTATTTTATAATTACATTTTATGATTATTAAGATATTAAAATGTAATTTTGTTATAATAATCTATCTCCACTAAACATACTTCATTTCCTGTCATTTCAGTAGTTTGCCTGCAGATTAAAGACAACCTTATCAGCTACAAATACTGACATTTTAACTCCTTATTTACTATTCTCATGACTTTAATTTCTTTTTCTTACTTTATTGCACTGGCTAGTACTTCCGATATAATTTGGATGAGGCTTAGTGACAGTGAGCGTCCTTGTCCCCAGTTTTAAGAGGAATGTCTATTTAGGACAGTGTTTATTTGGAGTTGGAGGAGAAGCAGAGTCAAACTGCCTCAGAAGCTAATTTCCTTCCCCCTGTTGGTAGCTCAGTGTGTCAGAGTCAGATCAACAGAAGCACAGCTTTTGAATTCCAGGTCCTGCCTCTATGTGACAAGGGCCCAGCCACTCCGGTTCCGCAGCTCTCTGGGTGGAGCCTGCAGTCCTTCCCCATGAGGGTGTGAAGCCTTATTGCTTGGCTGCACACAGTATGACCAACCTGGCTGTGCGCAGCCCGAGTGCACCTCTCTGCACACTTCGTGGGTTATGTGGACTCTGCTACTTCTCTCTAAGTTTTTCCTCCAACAAATCCTATATATTTTATACCACATGGCACTAGGTGTGTGTGTGTGTGTGTGTGTTATGTTGTTTTTATCTGGTAAGGAAGTATATCTTTATTCCTTATTTGGTAAGAATTTATTTCATGAACAGGTATAAATTTTGCCAGATGCTTATTATGCATGTATTTAGATATGTATATGCCTTTTCTCCTTCAGTTGGTTAATACAGCAGGTTTTCCAAATATCAAAACTGTTTTTGGCAACAACCCAGCTTGGTATGGAATATATAGTCCTTATAGGCCATTGAATTTCTGCATCTACGTTCATATGTTTAAAAGACTCATAAATTTACTTTCTCCAACTGTCCATATCTGGTGTTGGTAACAAGATTATACTGGCCTCATAGAATAGGTTGGCACATTTTCTTTATTTTCTACTCTCCAGAAGAGCCTCTATAATGATACAATGATCTGTTTCTTGGCAATTTGGTAGAATTTACCTATAGTTTGGTCCTGGAGTTTCTTTGTGGGAAAATGCTTTAACTGCTACTTCAATTCCTTTAGACCTTTTTATAGGATGATGTAGGCTTTCTAAATTTCCTTGAGCCCTTTTTGGTAAGTTATGTTTTTCTATTACAGTATGTCCATTTCTGCTAAGGTTTCAAATTTATTTGTATAGACTAGCTGATAGCATTCTCATTATCTTTTTAACCTCTGCAATATCTGTGGCTGTGTAACCTTTTTCATTAAGAAGGATTTTTATTTGTGCTCTTGGTTTTTCTTGATCAGTTGATAGATGTTTGTCCATTTTCATAGGCTTTTCAAAGAATTGATTTTGGTGTTCTCTGTACTTTTGATTTATGTTTCTTTCGTTAATTATAGCTTTTGTGTTACCTTTTTCTTTCAACTTTCTTTGTATCGCTTGTTGTCTTTTTCCTAACTTCTGAACTCAGACATTTAATTCATTAATTTTTGAACTTTTCTAATTATGTATGTAAGGCTATAAATTTCTAGGGGCAGCCGGCTGGCTTAGTGAGTAGAGTGTGTAACTCTTGACCTCGGGATTGTGGGTTTGAGCCCCACATTGGGTGTAGAGATGACTTAAAACTAAAATATTTTTTAAAAAGCTATAAATGTCCCATGAAGCACCACTTTTGCTACATCACACAAGTGTTTATAGAAAATGATCATTAATATTCATTTAAAAATTTATCACTGTCTGTATTTTTTCTTTGACCCATAAATCAGTTCAAAGTGTCTTTAAAAATATCTAAATGTGGAGATTTAAAATGATCTTCTTCTTAATAAGTTAATATTTTCTGTGTGTTCAGAGAATGAGTTGGTTCAAATTGTTAGCTGTAGTATCTAAATCTGCTTTTCGCTGATTGTCTTTTTTCTTTTTTTGGCTTCTTAACCTGAACTGATGGAGAGAGGTGGTTCAAAGTGCCCCAGTATTAAGGGAAGTCTGTCCGTTCCTTCCTGCAGTCTGTTAATTTTTGCTTTGTACGTATCGACACCATTGCCTTAGATGCTGGAATGTTTATAATGATCTTCTTGGTGAGTTGAATCAATTCTCATTGAAGGAGAGAGACCCCACATCCTTAATGAAGCTTTCTGTCTTACAGTCTGTTTGGGCTGATAGCAGTGTAGCTAAAGTAGCTTCGTTTCTGTGTGTGTATTTATGCGATATTTTTTCCATACTTTTACTTTGTCTTTTTTTATTCTTATGATTTAGGAGTATCTCATCTACAAGAATATAGCTTGTTTTGTTTTGTAATAAATCTGGCAATCTCTTCCATGGTGAATTTAGCTCATTCATATTGATCTGTATTTTTTCTATCATGATCTTAACTCTTTCACTTTTTTCTGATTTTTTTCTGTCTCCTTTTAGATAGTGACAGACTTTACTACAGTATTTGATAATTCTCCCTTCTCATATTGATTACAGAATATTCTAGGTTTATCTTACTATTTAAATAGTATCTTCCCCCCTCCCCCCAATACTCTTTTTTGGTCAGCCTCTGAAGCTGTTTTTGTAAGAGGATTTTTTTTTTTTATTATGCCCTCACATTTGAGTAAAAATTTGACTGGATAAACATTTTTAGGTCTTAAGTTTATTTATTTCAATACTTATCTTGTGTGGTATTTGCTGAGCTTCTTGAATTTGTGGTTGACATATTTTTTCATTTTTAGAAAATAGTCATTATCTTTTCAAATATTTATTTTGCCTATTTTGCACTCTCTTTCTGGGACTCCAATTATGTTCTTGTTTGTTTGATATTTCCCACAGATTTCTTATGCTCTGTTGTTTTTTAAAACATTCATTTATAGGGACACCTGGGGGGCTCAGTCAGTCGAGTGTCCGACTTCGGCTCAGGTCACGATCTCGCGGTCTGTGAGTTCGAGCCCCGCACTGGACTCTGTGCTGACAGCTCAGAGCCTGGAGCTGCTTCAGATTCTGTGTCTCCCTCTCTCTTCCCTCCCTTGCTCATGCTCTGTCTCTCTCAAAAATAAATAAGCATTAAAAAATGTTAAAAATTCATTTATAAGTAATTCATAGTTGATTTTTTCTTTCTGATCTTTAGTTTGAATAATTTTGTCGAGTTCTCTGATTTTCTTCTGTTGTATCCATCCTGTTGGTAAGCGTATCCAGTTTACTCTTCAATGTAGATGTTGTACTTTAAATATCGCTGCCTTAAAAAGTTTTCTTTACTCTGCTCAAATTTGCTATTCTCTTACTGATTTTGCTTCTCTTTAATATATTCATAACGACTGTTTTAGAGTCCTCGTTTAAACAGATGTGGGTCATCTGCAGGCCTGTTTCTATTGACTGTTTCTTGAGATTATATGTCACAATTTCTTGCTTAGACATACTGTATACAAGAGCAGAGACCAAAGCAGAAAATACCTACCCTGTGCCTAGCACAGGCTTCCTCTATCCTGAGCTGGGCAGTGAGACTGAGGAGCTTGTCTCTGATGTCATCGGGAAGTGAGCTGGGCCTGGCACGTTAGAGCCAGGCCATGATTGGTGTCAGATGCTTGAGAGTTGGGACAGCCCCCCCCCCCCCCCCCAGGAGGACTGGGGATCTCGGCCTTGTGAGAGTATGAAATTTCTCTTTGCTTTCAGGACTGGCCCCTGGCTTCCCACGCGCTTAGTGAAAGTCCTGTGGGGGAGGACTAGTGGGTGCTGGGCACTTGCTCCACATCTGCGACCCCTGATGCCAACCCACCATGCTTGTCACATACTCATTAAAAAGTGTAGTTGGATTTCCCCAGCTCCTCGAAGTGCTCTGTCCACGGTGGATTTGCTCCTGGGATGCATCCTGGGATGATGGCAGCCTCAGTGTTTCTCACCCGGGAAGGGCTCATCTGTGTGCTCGGCGATCTGGTAGGTTAAATGATAAGGTTTTGCAGGTTGCCTGGTCCCTTGATGGTGCAGTGAGAGTGACAGTGTTTTGTGACTGTCCGCATCCTAACTGAATGGATCTCTTCAGTTTAAATGTGTCATTTCATCATCTTACACTGATGTCATTGCTGAGACGTCTGTGCCCATCGGATTACTGTTCCTTTGAAGATTCTTGTTCCTTTTTTCTCTAGACATTTTAAGAAATTTTTCTGTCTCTGATATTCTTAAATTTTGCTGTAATGTGCTGATGTTCCTCTTTTCTCCTGTTTGCTGTTCTGGGCCCTGCAGGCTGTGGGGCCCGCCTGTCACTCGGGCTGAGCTCCTCGGTTGCTCAAATGCTTCCCTGTGGTTTTATTTTTCTCTCCTTCTGGACTCCAGTTGCCTCGGTGTTGGCATATGCGCTTCCGCCCTCCACGCGCCTGCATTTCCTCTGCTCTACACACACCTCCCTGCTTCTCTGGCAGAGAATTCCCCAGACGGGTCTTTCAACTCATTAACGTCATCAGTATCCATTTGTAAATCGTGACTGTGATTTCAACTATTACAGTTTTTCCGTACTCTCTTTCCCACTTTCTTTTGTTAAAGATGATGTATTGACCCTGTTTATTTAAGACCAGGGCCATCTTCCCCCGTGTCTATCTGTTGTGTCTACTTCTGTGCTTGTCCACCTTCTTTCTTTTGCTCCCAAATATTTGCTGTCTGGAATTTATTGCTGTTACCGTTGGAGAGGGGTGGTCCCCCAGACAGTAAGCACCCGCCCCGGGCGCTGGGAAGGACAGGGGGAAAGCAAAGTATGTGGGGTAGGCAGCCCCCTCTGTCCTCAGAATCGTCACCCATGTGGGGCCGCACGGCAGCGCGCTGGGAGAGGGTGGCACCAGTGTGCGCCCCCCCATCTCTGGGTGCTGTCACGGTCCCTAAGCAACTTTGTTTAAAACTCCTTGCTTTGTGAAGATGTGTTAACATCACACAGATGTTCTGATGGACAGAGTTAGGGATGCAGTGGAATACACGTGCAGGGGTGCTCATGAGCCCGTGTCTGCAGGGGCGTCGGGTAGTGGGGGGACGCCCCCAGGCCATGGCCCTGGTGCACTGTGGGAGCCTGGAGGGGACACTGTCTGGAGTGTCCTCCTCCCACAGATGTGGGCGTCCAGGGGGCCTTGTTCAAAGGGGGGCCTGCCCTGAGTCCCCATCTGCCCCTTGAGGACTCTGCCCTGGGCCACCTCCTGGCCTGAGCTCCTTCATCTGCACAGTCGGCATATGGGTGGGACGCCTCACTCTGAGGACAGGGAGGCCCTTACTGAAGTCATCACCACCTTCACCACAGGGTCGTGACCTCGCTTTGTGGGAGGAGGGGGAGGGGCAGGGTCAGAACTGTGGCCCCTGTGCTCCCCAGGGTGGCCCCGGTGAGGAGGGTGTGGACCTGGCTGGCTCTGCCCGCCCGCCCGCCTGCCCTGCCCCGGAGGGCCTGCGGATCACCGTTGCACTGCGGAGGTTCGCTCCAGACGCCCTGGGGCTGGCAGACTCGGATGTGGTTGGGGGAGCTCAGGCTGTAGCCGTGGTCACACTTGTACAGGGCCACCGAGCCCGGCCGAGTGCCATTGAAGCGCAGTGTGGCATGCTCCACCTCTGCCGGGGGGCCGCAGTCCACCTCTGGAAGGACACAGTGGCCCTGTCCTGCACTGCGATGCATCTGCGGGGGGCCTCTCCCCCTGGGCTCTGCTCTCTGTCCCACAGGGCCACAGGGGCTGGGACCCTTCCCCCCTCCACTCTGCTCTCTGTCCCACAGGGCCACAGGGGCTGGGACCCTTCTCCCCTCCACTCTGCTCTCTGTCCCACGGGGCCACAGGGGCTGGGGCCCTTCCCCCTCCGCTCTGCCTATGTCCCACGGGGCCACAGGGGCTGGGACCCTTCCCCCTCCGCTCTGCCTCTGTACCACAGGGCCTGGGAACTTTATCCCTTCCAGGTGGAAGTGCCTCGACTTCCAGGACTGGCTGCCCATTGGATTTTCCTTCTTTTCCCTCCCCTCCTCTGGCCCTGCTCTGCTCTTTTGGGATTAGGAAGTGATCCCATGCCCTCCACCCCAACTCCCAGCCCTCTCACCCGCCTGGCACCGGCGTCCCATGTACCCTGCTTGGCAGTGGCAGGAGAAGTCTGTGCCCAGGTCCTCACAGGTACCCCCGTTCATGCAGGGGCTCCGGAAGCAGGGGGAGGGGGCTGCAAGGACGCAAGGGATCACCATCACTGGGACCCCCCCCCCCCCCGGCCCCGACCACCTTGGGGCTCCAGGGGAGCCCTGCCTCCCGCTCCCGCCCACCAGGAGGACATGCCAACTCAGGCGCCCTGGCCCGCTGGCCTCCGCTCGCCTTACCTATCTCGCAGTGCCGCCCGGAGAAGCCTGGGGGACAGTCACACTTGTATTTGCCGATGTAGTGAAAGCAGGTGCCGCCGTTGTGACAGGGCCCCGAGGCGCAGGAGTCTGGCTTCCCTGGAAACAGAGGGCCCGCCTCCGAGTCAGGTGTCGGGGTTCCCGCAGTGCCCCTCCCCCGACCCTCCCCCACCCCCACCCTGTCCGGGCCGATTCCGGCCGGCAGGGGGCGCACCGATCTCACAGTGCCTCCCGGTGAAGCGGTAGGGGCAGCTGCAGTGGTAGTCGCTGCCCGCCTCCTTGCACGTGCCCCCGTTCCGGCAGGGCGCTGAGCTGCACAGGCGTGGCCGGGCTGGGGGGGCGAGAAACACACGCACGCAGGGGCGGGTGAGCAAGCGCCGGCCTCCCGGCCCTGCAGCTCCCGTGGCACCGGCCCACGTCTTCGCGGCCTGCGGGCCCCGTGCGCCCAGAAGGCCGGGACCCTTGGGGACCCTCTGCCCACCCATCCTCTCTTTCTGCCCAGGCTCTGGGGACCACTGGGCCCTTCCTGGTGGAGAACTGGCCCCAGTGCAACAGGCACTGCGGCCGCCTTTCTGCACGGCAGGTGACGGCAGCCGGCAAGGAGCCCGGCTGATGCCACGCTGGAATCCACGGCAGTCCCAGTCCCAGTTTTTAAAGGTTTTTGTTTTTTTTTTTTAATTTAAAGTTTAGTTAGTTAACATGCAGTGCAATATTGGTTTCGTGAGTACAATTCAGTGATTCATCCCTTACATACAACACCCAGTGCTCATCCCAACAAGTGCCCTCCTAATGCCCATCCCCCATCTAGCCCATCCCCCACTCCTCCCCCGTAACCCTCAGTTTGTTCTCTACCGTTAAGAGTCTCTTATGGTTGACTCTTAAATACAGAGAACAAACTGAGGGTGGGTGGGGGTGGGGGAGAAGGGAAAGTGGTGATGGGCATTGAGGAGGGCACTTGCTGGGATGAGCACTGGGTGTTGTATGTAAGGGGTGAAGCACGGGAATCTACCCCAAAAACCAAGAGCACACCGTGCACACTGTATGTTAGCCAACCTGACAACAAATTATATTTTAAAAAAAAAGCATCATGGTTTCTTTCCCTCTTTTCTCTTCTCCCTACTTCCCCTGTGTTCATCTATTTTGTTCTTAAATGCCACGTAGAAGTGAAAGCATATGATATTTGTCTTTCTCTGATTGACTTATTTCACTTAGCGTAATACCCTCTAGATCCATCCACGTTGTTGCAAATGGCAAGATTTCATTCTTTTTGGTGGCTAGGGAATATTCCATTTATATATATATATATTTGCCACATCTTCTTTATCCATTTGTCACTCAGTGGAAATTTGTGTTCTTTCTGTAGTTTGGCTATTGCTGATAATGCTGCTGTAAAGCATTGGGGGTCACACACCCCTTTGAATTTGTATTTATGTCTCCTTTGGGTAAATACCTAATAATGTAATTACTAGATTGTAGGGTAGTTCTACTTTTGGGTTTTTGAGGAGCCTCCACACTGTTCTCCACGGCGGCTGCACCAGTTTGCATTCCCACCAGCAATGCAGGAGGCTCCCCTTTCCCTGCATCCTCCCCAACACCTGTTAATTTGAGCCGTTCTGACAGGTGTGAGGTGGTGTCTCATTGTGCTTTTGATTTGTATTTCCCTGATGATGAGCAGCGAGCATCTTTTCATGTGTGTGTTGGCCATCTGGATGTCTTTTTTGGAAAAGTCTGTTCATGTCTTCTGTGCATTTCTTAACTGGGTTGTCTTTTGGGTGTTGAGTTTGAAGTTCTCATAGATTTTGGATATTAAGCCTTTATTAGATATGTCATTTGCAAATATCTTCCCCCATCCCATAGGCTGCCTTTAGGTTTTGTTGACTGTTTCCTTCGCTGTGCAGAAGCTTTTTATCTTGATGAGGTCCCAATAGTTCAAGTTTGCTTTTGTTTCCCTTGCCTCTGGCCAAGGTCAAAGAGGTTGCCTGTGTTCTTCTCTAGGATTTTGATGGTTTTCTGCCTACCATTTAGGTCTTTTGTCCATTTGGAATTTATTTTTGTGTGCGGTGTAAGAAAGCGGTCCATTTTCATTCTTATGCGTGTCGCTGTCCAGTGTTCCCAACACCATTTCCTGAAGAGACCGTATTTTTTCCATTGGATATTCTTTTCTGCTTTGTCGAAGATGAGTTGGCCATGTAGCTGTGAGTCCATTTCTGAGTTTTCTATTCTGTTCCAGTGATCTATGTGTCTGTTTTAATGCCAGTCCCACACTGTCATCATGACTACAGCTTTGTAGGACAGCGATTGTAACGCTTCCAGTTTTGTATTTCTTTTTCAGAACTGCTTTTTCAGAATTCGGCTCTTTTGGTCCCATAGGAATTTTAGGATTGTTTGTTCTAGCTCTGCAAAACATGCTGACGGTATTTTGACAGGGATTGCACTGAATGTGTAGATTGCTTTGGGTAGTACAGACATTTTAACAATGCTTGTTCTTCTAATCCATAAGCATGGAATAGTTTTCCATTTCTTTGTGTCGTCTTCAATTTCTTTCATAAATGTTCTAACTTTTCAGGTACGGATCTTTTACCTTTTTGGTTAGGTTTCCTCCTATGTGTCTAATTGTAAATGGGATCAATTCCATGATTTCTTTTTCTGCTGCTATGTTATTGGTGAATAGAAATGCAACCAATTGCTGTACACTGATTTTATATCTTGTAACTTTGTTGAATTCATGTATTAGTTCTAGCAATTTTTAATAGAGTCTTTCCGGTTTTCTACATAGAGTATCATGTTATCTGTAAATAGTGAAAGTTTGACTTTTTCCTTGCTGATTTGGATGCCTTTTATTTCTTTCTGTCGTCTGATTGCTGAGGCTGATTTCCAGGACCACATTACGTGGTACTGTGTTAAATAGTAATAAGGGAAAGGGACGACCCTGTCTTGTTCCCGACAGTAGGAAAAAGGCTCTCAGTTTTTCTCCACCGAAGATGATATTTTAGCTGTGGGTCTTCTGTATATGGCCTATATGGTGTTGGGGTATGTTCCTTCTATCCCTACTTTGTTGAGAGTTTTTATCAAGAATGGAGGCTGTAATGGGGTGCCAGGGGGGCTCAGTCGGTTAAGCGTCTGACTTCGGCTCAGGTCATGATCTCACAGTTCGTGGGTTCGAGCCCCGCGTCAGGCTCTGTGCTGACAGCTCAGAGCCTGGAGCTGCTTCAGATTCTGTGTTTCCCTCTCTCTCTGACTCTCCCCTGCTCACGCTGTCTCTCTCTCTCTCTCTCTCTCTCTCTCTCTCAGAAATAAATAAAACATTAAAAATTTAAAAAAAAGATTAGAGGCTGTATTTTGTTAAAAGTTTTTTTCTGAATCTTTTGACAGGATCATATGGTTTCTACCCTTTCTTCTATTAATGTGTGTATCACAGTGACTGATTTGTAGATATTGAACCAGCCCTGCAGCCCAGGAATAAATCCCACTTGATTATGGTAAATAATTCTTTTAAGGTACTGTTTAATTCAATTTGCCATATCTTGTTGAGAATTTTTGCATCCATGTTCATTAGGAATATTGGCGTATAATTCTCCTTTTTAGTGGAGTCTTTGTCTGGTTTTGGAATCAAGGTAATGCTGGCTTCATGGAATGAATTTGGAGGCCCTTCTTACATTTGTATTTTTGGGGAACAGTTTGTGAAGAGTAGGTATTAACTCTTCTTTAAGTTTCTGTTAGTGGGGCGGCTGGGTGGCTCAGCTGGTTAAACATCCGACTTCAGCTCAAGTCATGATCTTGTGGTTTGTGGGTTTGCGCCCCGCGTCGGGCTCCGTGCTGACAGCTCAGAGCCTGGAGCCTGCTTCGGATTCTGTGTCTCCTTCTCTCTCTCTCTCTCTCAAAAATAAATAAATAAACATTAAAATAATTTAAATGTCTGGTAAAGTTCCCTGAGAAGCCATCTAGCCCAGGACTTTTGTTTGGAGATTTTTGATTACAGAGTAAATTTCTTTGCTGGTTCTGGGTCTGTTCAAATATTCTGTTTCTTCCTGTTTGAGTTTGGGTAGTTAGTGAGTTTCTAGGAATTTGTCCATTTCTTCCAGATTGCCCAGTTTGTTGGCATATAGTTTTTCAGGGTATTCTCTTACAATTGTATTTCTGTGGTGTTGGTTGTGATCTCTCCCCTTTCATTCATGATTTTATCTGTTTGGTTCCAATCTGGATAGGGGTCTATTCATTCTGTTTGTTCTTTCAGAAAACCAGCTCTTGGGTTCATTGGTCTCTTCTACTGTTTGTTTCTATATTGTTTACGTCTGCTCTAATCTTCGTTTCCCTTCTACTGCTGCTTTGGGCTTTATTTGCTGCTCCGTTTCCAGCTCCTTTAGGTGTAAGTTTTGGTTGTATAGTTGGGGCCTTTCTCGCTTCTTGGGACAGGCCTGAGTCGCAGCAGTTCCATTTTGGTTGGGTTTTCTGTGCCCATCCTGGCGCGGGTGCGTGTTCTCTGCGCCCTGACGGCCTCCCCGGGCCCTGAGGGGCTTGTGCGCCCGTGGCTGTGCATGCGGCGTCCACATATTTACAGATGTGAATCGAGTGGCATGTCGGTCCCTCCACCCTGAGGAATGGCACCTCCACAGGCCCTGGGGCTTCTCTTTGGACACTCCCTCCTCCTCTTGCAGGGGTGGCCGGAGCTGTGGGGGTTCCCTGGGTCAGAGTGGCAGGGGCCTGCCCTTGGGGCCCCCTTGAGAGCAGAAGAGACTTCCAGGTAAAGCCACTGAGGCCTCTGTTCCCTGGATGAATGAGGGCAGGAGGGGGCCGAGAGGGCTGTGTGTGGCCCCAGCGCTGAGCGCCAGGAGAAGGGCCCGTGGCCAGCTGGGCGCTGAGCAAGGGGCGCCGCTGCAGAGTCCTGAGCTTGGCTTCTGCCTGCACAGAAAGCACAGTCGGCGGGGCGCTGGCGAGGACAGCGATGCCCGCCACGTTCTGTTTTGTTTGTTTATTGTGAGAGAGAGAGAGAGCGAGTGAGCAGGGGAGAGGGGCGGAGAGGATCCTGAGCAGACTCCGTGCCACCAGCACAGAGCCCAGCGTGGGACTTGAACTCATGAACCGTGAGTGAGATCATGGCCTGAGCCGAAATCCAGAGTCTCATACTCAACATGCTGAGCCACTCAGGTGCCCGCCCACCACGTTCTTACACAAGAACATGTCTGCTCTTAAGTGGCTAAATGTTGATATCTTCCAAGTTCAATTAGATTTAATAAAGACCTAATTAAATTAAAAAAGTCAAAGATTCTAAAATCCATTTGGAAAAATGCTGAGCAGGAAATGAGGAAAGCCCATTCCGAGGAAAACCAGGTCGTGGCCAGGAGGCCACAGAGCAGAACTAACTAAATAAGCAACACTCAGTGGGGAGGTGGCGCCGGCCTGAAACCCCGAGAGTGGGCGGCCAAGTGATTCAGGGTGAGTGGGGCCTCTGTGCCGTGCCCTGCCCTCCCCCTCTGCCCTCCCTCCCCTCCCCTGCCCTCCCCCTCTGCCCTCCCCCCTCCCCTGCCCTCCCCCTCTGCCCTCCCTCCCCTCCCCTGCCCTCCCCCTCTGCCCTCCC